GGAGATCCGGAATGTCATAAAGACCAAGGACGATGTCACTCGACTCTGGCCGCATTGCCCTCCAGAAAAGATCAAGATTTTGTGTCTGGATATTGGTCAAGCCTATGTTGTATCTGGAAGCGCCTTCCTACCAGATACAGACCGTCCGATCAACGACAAAAAAGGAAAGGGGCGTGTCGTGACGACCTCTGCTTTCCCAACCGCTACTACCCACAGGGCCACTCCTGCCTCTTCGATCTCCACAGCCGCCCCTGGGACGAACTCTACTACCTCTTTGATGGATCCGCCCTATCCAGAGACATACTACAACATATCTGTTAACCAGAAGGCCGTGTACCAACCCACATTCAAGTTCCGAAGATGGACAGAGGAGCAAAAACGGGTGGTACCGGAAGGTGCAACTCAATCGATCCAAGAGATTGAGTCAGACCTCCCACCGCTCCGCGGGCTAGATGCAAGCGTTGGGCAGTACGTTCAGCAGCTCGAGATGGTCGCGCAGCGCTTGAGCAGTTTTTACAATGGCTCGAACAGGCTCTACCAGAGCCACGAATGGGATGCCCAACGTGCACGGGAGGAGGAGTACCTGGTAATCGCAAACAGTTTGCTGAGGTCGGTGGGGGGATCGATAGGCGTCAAAAGAGACGAAAAGAACATGGTGGTGATTGGCATTGGACTTGGTCAATTCAGCAGTTGCTCGCGCCTCACATCACTCCACGACTCCTTTCTGGCATTCTTTGTGCCCCTGGTAAGTGTTTCACTCCTCTGGCGATTTCTTGTCCCTACGACAGATAGTTCATTTATTGACGTTCACACATTTCACCGCCATCGCTCTTTAGGCCAGGTCGCTTAGTTACATCGTTCTTGGTGTTAATGAATATTACAGCTCCAAGAAATGCCCCCGTGGTCACACATTTGTTTCCCAGGTGTCTATCCGAAGGCTCTTCTGCGAGGACTGTGGAATGGAGTTCCACAGGGATGAGATGGCGGCCCACAACATGGTGAATGCCGTCCAAGGACATCTGCTCCACCAACAGCGGCTTTTGTACCTGCAGCCGGTAGACGAGGAGGGAAATTATCCGTGGATGAAGACGGAGACCACCGGGGGCGCTGAGGAAAAGGACCACCAAGCTTTTGAGGGAACCAGCAGTAGCAGTAGCAGCATCGACAACTGCACTCTCGATAGCGTCCAAGACAGCACCCAAAAGGCATCCAAAAGAAAGGCTTCGGAGGAGGAGGAACAGATCATGGCGATCCTCCAGAGGACGCGCCGACCCCGCGAGGAATAGTAGCCAGACTAGTTTTTTTTATGTGCTGCCCCCTGATGATTTCCCATGTCGTATGCGACGCTTAGAAGCCACTTCGGTGGCGTAATAGGTGCGCAGATGTGCGGATTTCCAACTACCGAGAATTTATTTTTTTTCATATAAGAAAACCCTCCGTTCAAGATGTGTGATTCTCTAAAATACGTTCAATTGCATCGTTAATGTAGTCCTTGCGCGAGGTCAAGTCGACACAGAAAAACGCCATCAACCGTTCACGAACTATTCAGAGAAAGACGCGATAGAGAGCGAAGAATGGTTAGTAGTCCAGATCAGTGTGCAGTTTTTTTTTTTTTTTTTTTTTCTTGTGCTTGTGTGCTTTGACGATACCTTGCTTCTTGGTAATACTCATGAGATCGGCGGTAGCGAGGACATTTTGAATCTCGTTCGCGAGTTGCTCGTCTGTTGGCTGGTCCGATCCACTATTATATCCGTTGCCTACCACCACTTGACTTATTCCTATGCTCACTGCCGATCCTGTCCTATCATGGGTCCGGAAACCTACATCGAATGGTCCGCCGACCACAGATCCTGACCCTCGTTGTGATCCACCCATCATCGATCGAGCCGCACTATCGACAAATGGATTCATGCCCTGCATATGGTCATACGTTGGCTGCTGACCATAGACTGAATGGGAGCCGCCTACCACGCTTGGAGTACCAGTGCTACGCGGTACCATGTAACTATTCACGGCTGATCGAGGCAACGAAGAAATGGATAAAATGGACGCTCTTTTCATATCCTCCTCAAATACGAGAGAAGAACTGGAGGCATGGCTCCGATGGTAGGGGCCCTGCTGCTGTAGGTGCTGGTGGTGCTGATACTGTTGCATGGCATGGCTGTTCGGATACTGCTGCATTTGCTGCTTCTGGATGATGTTGGTGTCGCGATAATACTCATGTCCGAGATCCTCCTGTGAGCCTGCAGCGGAATACTGGGGAGGCAGCGAGATCCCGGATCCACGAATAGAACCACCAGTAACAGATCTAGGCGGTTTTGAGATGCCCAGAGACTGCCTGTTACCCTCGGATGCCTTTGACCGATAAGAGATAGCTGTTCCCCTGCTCTCGCGGCTATCCACGGAATCGGTCTCCCACATCTCTTGCTCGTAGACGCTCCATTTCTTCATCGGGATCATCTTCTCGTCAAACGGTTCCTCGTCGTCCCCAAGGATAACCACCTTCTTGGCATTGCCGCTTTCGCCGACGACCATGCGAGTGTTTCCCCAGGAAAAATCATCAAAGTGCCAGAAGGAATAGACCGGAATAAAAAATGAGAAGAGCGGGATAGCCATGATGTAGATAAACATCCATCCAATGTGCTGCCACTGTCGCTTGATGATGAAAATCAGTGCCTGAAGACCATAAACGGCTCCGAGAAGGATCAGCGAGATCTTTGGCAACGTTTCCATGCCCGTCGCCACAATGACAATCAGGTAGATCAGATAAACGACCGAAGCAGGCAGAGTCAGGGTTCCAAACAAGTCCAAAAAGACGACAAATCGCATCGAAAAGCAGCAAAATCCGCACATCTCCGGGAGGAACATCAGCTCTGCCAGGTTATGGATCGTAGAGTTGATCCATCGACGACGCTGCGACAGCAAGACACTCCAGCGATCAGGCGCAACGGTCCTGCAAGTGGCGTCCGGAGTGAAAGTCATCTTGTACTGCGGGAAATGCTTCATCATGAGCGTGGTCAGATATCGATCCTCTCCGAGTGACAGCAGGTTCTTCTTGTGCAAGGTATCCACCTGGTTGTCAGAGTATTCTTCAATAACTTTGCTCGAAATAATCAGAGGCAGCGATTTGGCCACGGTCCGAACTCGGTACATGCAGAAGCATCCCGGCAAACAAGTGACTGATCCAAATAACGACTCGAATGCCTTGGCAAGATGATGTGAGATATAGTACTCGTAAACCTGAATCATGGTCGTCCAACTGTTTTCCTCGTTTCCGAGCTGGGTCTCTCCACAGAGTCCGATAATCTTGCCATCGTGGATCATACAGCTCACCAAACGATTCAGAGAGTCCGGCATCACCTCCGTGTCGGCATCAACCTGCAGGATGTACTCGTAAAAGCTTGGGTTCACGCCAATAACGTTTTTCATCTGGTGATAGATCTCGAGTTCCAGGGGACACATGGGTGAGTCAAAATGCACCTTGTTCAGGAATTTCATCAAAATGATCTGCGAATCGCGCTTGCCGCGATTTCCGGGACGGCTCCTCTCGCTGGGCTTGCCCACCTTGACGACAACAATGTAAGGAACGACGTGACCCTCATGCTCGTACAGTCCCGAGTAGATCTTGCCCATATTGAGCTGTTTTGATCCGTCACCAATACTCTTGAAGGCCAATGGTTCAGGATCCACGTTCGGGTCCGCGCCAAGGATATTGAGCACGATTCTGGGCGTCGGCAGATCATTACCGCTCCCGATAATCATCCCATCCGCAATGATGAAGAGCAGCTTCCGCTTGTCATCGTACCGCAGTGCTGTAATGGAGTCAATTGTCTTGCGTAGGGAATCCTCGTCCTCGGTATAGCATGGAATCTGGATGATCACAAACTTGTCATGCTCTTCAGGTACGCGCACAGAGCCGAGCTGCAGAGCTGCCAAGAACTTGATGGCAATGACAGAGACCAATACCACAGACGTGCATAGAAGCATGTAGTTGGTAAACTGGCACTGGAACGACTTGCGATAGTCGACCTTACCGACGTAAAAGACCTGGTCAAGGCAGCTCTTAGTCAAAACGCGGGTATTTGAATCCAGAGGGAGCTTCTTCCAGATCGCGGTCGTGTCCTCGCCATTGTGGTTAAAGGCCATGTCCTCGATGGATTTGTCCAAAAAATGCACTGGGGGCACACCAGCTCCCTGTGTACCGGTATTTCCTGGCGCACGGATCGTGTTGTAGTAGCTGGTCAGATCATAAACGCCATTCTCGAGTACGAACCACTTCCTATCGGTGTCTGCCTGGATGTCCGCCATCTCGAACGCCAGGTCGCCCTTCCTCATGGGCTGCAGCCTCGGCATGGCCACTCTCCAATACCATTGTCCCTGGTTGTTTTGCAGAGACCAGCCAATGGTCGTATCCGAGGTTGGTGGTCCATGGACTTGAGAGCTGATGAGTGTGTTATTCGAAGCCATGCTGAAGGCGGGGCTATTGACCAGTCCGTAGCACGCAATGTTCATCTGCAAGGGAAAGTACTCGGTCACGTCAGTTCCTGCGAAGGGCAGCATGTATGCCGTATCCGACGGGTACGACGCATGTCCATTGGAGTGGTCTGACTTTGCAAACCTGGTAAGATCGTAAACTTTTCCTCGGAGAGACACGAAAAAATCGTCTGGCGCGGCATGGTACCCAACTTCCTTCGCAGAGAAGAGCCGATCCGCTCCAGGGCACATCAGCTTTCCGAACCCGGTGATCACAAAGATGATAGCGGCGGACATGAAGAAAATGATATAACAGAGCGCAACCTTCTCACGCCAGGCCATGCGGATATCCTCGCGTTTCATCTTGCCACAGCTGGAGAGCATAAAAGACGGGATCCACCAAGTCATGCACCAAGTGAAGAAGACCCAGAGTTTGCGCGCACGCGTCGTCGGCACCACTTCGACGGGCTCTTTCAGCTGTGGCTTTTCAGAGAGTCCTTGTTTCGCGCTGCCAGCATGACCACCACCACCTCTGCTCTTTTCACCTCCTGCTGCATCAGCATTGCTCCTTTTGTTTCTAGCAGCCCGAGACAGACCCCGCTTCAGCGCACTCTTGACTGGAAGTACCGTCATATTGTAGTCGCTCATCACATCGTCGTCCTTCTCGTCTAAATCGGAAAACATGTCGTCGTCAGGACCCTCAGCCTCCGAGATAGCGTCATATCCATTAGCTTTGCCCATAGAAAGGCTTAGAAGCCTGTCTGTGCTGGAAGAGGCAGAGCCTAGCTTTCTAGAATCTGTACCAAGCAGATCGTCTCCGTTGGCACCATCAATAGTAGCCAGTGCGCCAGGCTCTAAAAGGTTCCTGGCCTCAAGTCCTTTGGCTCTCGCCTTGGCAGCCTCCTCCTGAGCGGCAGCTGCAGCTTGGGATATCTTCTCCTGCAGGCGCTCCCCCTTCTCGATGGCTCGAAGGTCGTCCTCCAATTCTTTCCAGACCTCCTCTGCCAACCAGACGGATGTGTTACCGAGCGCAAACTTGGGGCCAATCTGGCCATCTGGTGAATTCCAACCTCGACTAGGAGCATTCGCCACATCGAGACATCGGCCCTTCTCGGTCTTTGTAGTTCTGTCCAAGCCAAGTCCTGAGACGAGCCTTGTGCGCTCATACCGGGCTAGGAACTCGCCAAATGTGTACGAGATTGTGTACTCGGTTCTCTTGCGGTGCGCAATCTCCGGCAAAAAGAACGCGTTTACCTGAGTCCGCAGCTTCTTTGTGTCCACAGCGGTGCTTGACTGCACGTCATTGGGTCGCAGGCAGATCATATGCCAAAGAGTCGTCTCGTCCATCGTCTGGATCATCTCGTGCACAGTCGTGAATACTTGGGACAGCACCGTGCTCACTGCCAGAGAACCCTCCTCCAGTTGCTGTGCTTGGATGATGGCGTTTAGTTCTTGATGCTGTTGTGGTTGTTGGTATTCCATAGTCCCGGTGCCAACCTGGCTCCGACGAGAAGCAAGATAGGAGCCCGCAGGTCCTCTGTGTCGTGATGGCTGACGCTTAGGTCTAGTCTGAAGCTGTGCCTTGACAATAGTCTTTTCGAACTTTGGGTGTCTCTCCACAGAGATGGCACCGGCAGAGTCGGTCGAAAACAGGTCCACGATGAACTTATTGGCAGAGTTCCTCAGCAAAACAATAAAGTCGGGCGAGACCTGGTCCAGGTTCTTTTCCAAAAAGTCATCGACAGAGTATTCAACCTTGCCAGTGAAATGCTGGATAGCGAAGTAGTTAGATGAGGTTCGGTTGACGGTGAAGATAGCCTGGCTCTGACTGTCGCTCCTGAACTGGAGTGTTGCTTTGTGAAGACAATCGGCATCGGTTGCAGATCCTTGGCTGTAAAGTGTGCTGGAGTCGTCCATGATCCGAATCAAACCCCCCAGAACAGCTGAGTTGGGGGACTCACCCCTTTGCTGCTGTTGTTTTGTTTGTGCTCTCGCTGAATAAAGAGTGGAATTGTTGAATGAATTATTTCCTTGCGCTGTCGAACTTCCTGCCGGCAAAGAGAGAGGCTGGTCATCTTTGAATTGCTTGCCAACAAGCAATTGCAGACAGCTGTTGTCAAACACCATATTTTTGGTGGTCTGCTGGCTGGTCAAGGTGCTATTAGTGTTGACTCGAAGCATCGGACCGGGTAACTGTATCCCGTCTTGGGCCTGCAGCCTATTGAACCCAGCAGTATCGTCCAACATTCTTCTTCCGATGAATCCGTGCAGCAACTCGTTTGCAAAGTTGACGGAGAATTGTTCAAAATTAGCCAGATGAATTGAGGACGATCCTGAGGCCTCTGTCAGACCTGCTTGGTCGAGGATGGCCACAAAGTTTGCTGGATTGGAGTGGCAGAGTGTTTTGTTGATCTGCTCCACAAGGTATCCGAACAAGGCCATATAAAGTGTCCTCGAAAGGGAGTCGCGGTGCGCGGAAGATCCTTGAGCATTGAGAACAACCGTACACAGGTCGCGGCGGATCAACTTTGACTTGTATGTCAAAGCGAGAAGCAGCTTGTCTATTCAATATGGAATTGCAGTTAGTACATCTAAAATTGTATAGCATGATGTCTTCACCCTCTCTCTTCGCCTTCAAAAACGTACCGCTGGGGACACCGAGAATATCGGCAATAAATTCCAGAACTTCTGGATTCTTAACGACAGCAGCTTCCTGAAGCGCACTCTGCTTGCTTACTGAAGCTGGGTCCATAAACTGAAGATTACCAAGGTGCAGAATGGCAGCAAGGAGACGCCAAACGTGTTGGGTCTGCCTTGGTCTGAATCCACAGGCAGTCATTGCGCTCTTCAAATGCTCGAACCCAAGAGAGTCATTCATGGTTATGCCTGCTGAAAATGCCGCACCAGGAGTATTGACGCCAAAGACGCCAGGTACCGCTCCTGATCCAGAGCCCATGTTAGCGGCTTTATATCCAGCGCCGTGTCCAAGAGTATCCTGTCGAGCCAACTTTGACTGGCTGATATAAGCAAATGATTCGTGAAGACGAAGCTGGGATTTCTCCTGTTCTGACAGAGTATTTTGACCGGCGTTGAGGAGGTAGTAAAAGACGTGGAAAGTGCGTTCCTCTTGTGGGATCTTGGTAACCCTTGCTGCGTTCAGGAGATAGCACAGTGTCTTTCCACCCATGATACGACCTCTTTCATTGAACTACCCATGGAGATGAAATACGTATGTAAGTGGTGGATTTTTCTGAATGGATGAATGCATGTATCAATGGGTTTACAAAGGTTATTCGGTTACTCCTTACCTGGACTTCAAGATACTTTGAAAACATGCTAGCATTGTTGTTCTCTCTTGTGTAACAGCAGCCGAACGTGTCCAAGACTTGTTGTGCCTGCTGCAGCTGGGAGGCTACGCGTGCCTCCTTTTTGGTATGGGTGGCCAAGCGACACAGTTGCGACATGATATGAGATGCGCCGGTGGTCTTGCCGGAACCAGAGACACCGCTATTGATGTGCCAAAATGTTTGCATTATTATCTTGAGTGACACACAACGTCCTTTTTTTTTTTTCTTTTTCTTTACCTTGTGACAATTGCTTGATCTTGACCCGTTCTCCTGAGATGGAGGTAAATTCTACCAGCAAGTTCATATGGGTGAGGGGCAATGGAATTGAAACCACTGGTGCTGCTATGCTGACTTTGCTGATCCTCATTCTTGTTCTTTGATTTATATGGTTGTTGTGTGGGACGCTGGGTCTGGTCGACTGGCGCTTGGATCTCTAGCGCTTCTGTGGTAGAATCAGCCACATTTCGGTAACACCAATCCGCATACTGTTCTGCGTGGGTATCATTGAGTGTAGAGAGGACTTCGTATGGGTTAACAACTACGAGGACGGAGGCGTTGATTCGGGTGTAAGGCAGCTTTTGTTTCCATCGAGAAGAGATATTGTGAACAATGGCGTCGTCGGAAGTCGAGCCCAGATGGGTGAGATCTGCGGAGGTATAGTCTGATAGGAACGGCATGACTATGGATAGGGATCAATAGCGACAAAAGGGAGATCGGTGGTGAGAAAAATTATAGAACCTCAGGGTTGTTTGAAAGTAGAATGATAGGAGCGAGGATTAAATGACAATGACAATGACAACGTGGAGGAGAGATTTAAAGATTGCAAATGCAAGAAAGAGAGGGAAAGGGAGGTGAAATAGCTGTCTAAGGGCTATTTGCTCCCAGCGACGAGCCTTGAGCGAAAGAGAGAGCTGCATCGAGAAAGGGAATGGCGCCTCCTATATTACAAGGAGGGATATATACTTTCGATGGCCTGTCTGTCCATATGCCTCCAAGGAGCGCAAAACTACCATGTCTTCCTTCCGCAGGCGCCATCCAATCTAGGGTCAGGACAAAGCGAAAGACCGCGGAGAGAAGGACCATTTCGTCTCCACCTATGGCTCCTCTTCTCATCCACGTATTATCAACAGATCACAGTCGTCTGCCATAACGCAGCCCCGTTCCAGTCCAATATGGATCGGGGAAATATTTACCTTGGCGCTATTGCACACATTTGTGAGATGCAGGGTTCCGTTGCTCACTCCCATAGACAGTTGTTATGATGCCCTGCTCTGGCAATGAACTTCAGTTACATTGAAGTGCTTCAGAAGCACCGAAATGAGTGGCGGCACAACCACTATAGTTATCGTTCACGGGGTAACATCCAACGCACAAGGGATTTTTTAAATATATAATGCATCGCAACAGCTGCAAGGAGACGCATTAAAAAAAAGAAACCAAGTGGTTGTGCCATTCTGTACTGGGTTCATGTTATCCCACCCTCCTTATTCCTCTTTTTCTTTCTGTTGCGTCCGCGAGAGTACATAATTCCTAGTGTCTCAAAGGCATCCAAGGAGAAGGGTAAGCTTAAGAGTGAACAGTTGAAAAGACTCAGGTGTGCCAGTACATGTGTAGCATCGAACTGTACGTATAACAAAAAAAAAAAAAAAAAAAAAAAAGAAGGATAGGGACGCATGCTGAAAACTGGATGATACTCTGAGGAGAGAGGGGGAAAGAAGATAGTCAAGGAGGCAGAAAGGGTGGGAGGGTCGGGGGGAAGGGGGATTCATGCTCAGGAGTGTGGGCGCCATTTCGCTGTTGAGCATATGCACATTCATAAGGAGTCCCGGCCCTCGTTGTGGTCTCAGGAGGGAAGGGGGGCCAGGGCCAGGGCCCTTTGCAGCCAGGGGAGTAGTGGGGGTGTGCTGGAGCAGCGCGGCATAGGACGGCAGCGCGCGTGGCGGGGTTACGCGTCCCAGGCAAAGGCATTCGCCTAAATGTATAGTTCGTCAAATGAAATGGATCATCCTTCTACGGCGGTCATGGTTCAGTTGACCCGCCGCGTATTCCTCCATTTGTTTCACTGCCGCCATCGCGTTCTTTGATCCTCTTCCTTGCTCCTGCCTGCCTTCCAGCTCCCTTCGTTCCTCCTCATTACCTCTCAGGATCGACAGCCAACCCTACATGGACCAACTTCAGAAAGGTAGATTTCATCACCAGACTATTCCCACACTTGCTGATCATGTGCAAATATTGAATACCATCGTCTTCCCACAGGGCCGGTGACCCTCTTCTTTCACTCCCTGCATCGTTGGTCGGGTGAGGAACTCAATAGTCTCAAGGACATCATTAAGTAAGTAGATGGATGGCTACCGATCCTTCGGATTGTTGATATGAACCACACACATTCAATACGTCGGGACTCTGGATTAACACCATACTTCCTGATTATCGTTTTATAGTCAAATTGGCCATCAGAATGCCTCGTCGATCAAGTACGACCATAACCACTGCGTAAGTCTACGAGATTGCAAATCAACCATCCAGGCCGAATTGGGCTAGGAAGCACACAGGAAACGCCTATCATATGACACGACCTTCGACCAGCCTCACAAGTCTGGAGACACGCAACGATGACTTCTCGGAATTATCAATACCATCAAGGCTTTCTAACAACGTCGCTTCTGCTTCCTTCCTACAGGTTTTCACCGTCACAGGAACGGACTCGAGATTGCAACACCAAGCGTAGGTGACACTTTAATCCTCTCCGCATTAGGCCTTAACATATTGGACAATGGACGCGGACAAGGATGTAGATGCGGCAACAATAATTTATTAATGTGCAACTGTTATCTGTTTATAGCATGGACGCATTCAGCGAACTGCTTGAAAGAAAGGTGAGGTTTTGACCACATCTTTCCTTGCATTGCTCTGCTCTCATCCTCAGCGTTTGGTACATCGGCAGAGACCATTGTTTCGTCCGCAGCATTGCCGCTGACCAGCAACCTTTTTCTCGTATCGTACTGTAATTTAGACCCCAGCGCGGCCTGTACTCCCTAACAGACCGACCCGAGACTCGATTCCCGCATCATCCGACACGATAGAAGCGCAATCAAACGACAACTATGGTCTTCTGATCGACCTAGACGACCCCGGCACATCAGGGACGTCATCAGGACTACAGCCTGTTCCATCTCAACAGAGCAGACAGTCGATCGACTTCCACGTCGATGAGCGAGTTCGGGACCCATTCCAGATGTATTACGCGGACAAACGCCAGAGGGACGACTTGCCGACAATGCTGGCCCAAGGCTGCGAATGCGTAGCCGAGGTCTCTGCCGATGGAAGAGTAAGGAGCAAAGTTTTCTCGTGACCTTTTTGTTATCAGGGCCCGTCCGATCTGAAGTGGATATGGTACTCATGCACGCTTCGCCATGTATGTGGATTTACCTACGTTAGCTTATCACCATTTCCGGCGACAACAGGAACAACGTAGTGAAATGCATTCAGCAGATCGAGCAGATGCAGGAGTACTTTCTCCGCACGCCCTTTAGGATGGAAAAGGTTGCCCTTGTTTATGGCAGCAGCCGCGAGGAGTTTCGGCTACTCTTTGTGCCGGTTGCAGAACACAAATATTACTCGGAGCATCTGTCATTTCTGCCATCTTCTCTGACAAAAGCCGAACCTGGGCGTTTCAGCGTTATCGAGAAGGCTGTGTTTGATGTAGCTCGCAGTACCTGGACACTTCGTAACGGTGTCAGATTACCCTCTCGCACGCTCGATCCACCGCCAGGTTTCCCAGCTACCCCTGCAATCAGCAGTAGTGTGCAGAAAGGAAAAGGACCCTCACAACAAGCTTGGGGCCGAGGATCTCCTGCTTCAGACCACCAGACACGGTCGTCTTTGGCAGGATCTCGTTCTGGGAGCGCCACAGGTAGAGGAGAGTGGCATGAACAAGAAAATCCCGAGTTTGGATTTAGTCCTAGCAGGGAGGCCATCACCAGTCCTCGATATTCGAATCCATCGCCAAGCCGGCCGTCGTGGTCTCCAAACCCACAAAACCAGTCTTCATCATCCACACATTCACAAAAGCAGTCGCCGTGGTCTTCCAGTTCCTCGCCCGGCCAGTCATCTTGGCCTTCCCCTGGAGGATCCAGTAGCAGAAGGCCTGCGCCAGCGATTCAAACAACATTCCAGAGAGCGGAGGAGTCTGAGTGGCCAGCACCTGAATTCAACGCAGGCGATGCCGGCGATTTCCCCTCATTGTCATCCACCCCAAAGGGCGCGCCCAAGAGGACAGGCATGCCATCACTGCCGCCTATGAGACGAGTCGACACGAGCTCTTCTGGATGGAGTACACCTTCACCGGCCCCATCTCAGCCTTCGTCAAGAAGACCTTCTAGTAGCCTACAACGAGATAACCCAGTATCACAGACCAATGACAGCCTCGTCTTCGGTGAGCAAGAGTTTGCCTACTTGGAGGGCATCCGTGGGCAACCATCTAACAGCTCAAGGCCCAGAGAATATAACAGCAACGACTTGGAGCAGGCGAGATTGCGGGATCCGGTTAAGGAATATGAGGACCATGAGCGAACTATCCACATTCTTCCACGACTTCAAGCTGGACCTGGTAGTGGAGACATATCGCCAGCTACACCGCCAGCTACACCACAATCGCCTTTTGTCCAGGGTATGAGGGTATACAACATGCGCCAACTCTCGGAGAACATCAGAAATGGCTTGAAGGAACTGCGTGGACAGCGCAAGGAGATTCGGCTTACCGGACGACTTGGATGTGTACTCTATCCAACGGACCCCTCGATCCTCAATCAACCATGGGAGTACACTCAGCTCGAGAGCGTTATCGTGAAGGAGCGCGGAAACCGACCGCTTTTCTCTCCCATGTAGGGCTCTTAATCACTTTACATGTTGTACGTTTGTAGTCTACTACGTTTGCAAGTTTGTCCACCAATTATTCTCTTTCTCTTTCGTCACTCTTATTGCCAATAGTGCGACGGTTGATCACAACAACATCCGCAACATGTATGGATTCCTAGGCCCACAAAAGTCAGAGTCGGCCCATTTCGAAGTGGAGTGCAATACCAGAACCAACCCAACGTCCAAATACGTTCACACCATCGTAACAGTGCCCACAACAGTCGCTGTCCTCGATCGCGTGGTGACTCCTTGGGAAACGTACGGCGAGGTGACCTGGAATGCGGTTGACAAGCACATGGATTTTGAGATTCTTCTTCAGGCTAGAGAGGGCGTGATCCATGACACCAAGAGCGCTCTGGGCCGAACAGACGTGAAGCCCTTCTCCGTGTTCCGCAAGAAGCTCTCCATCGGGTAAATTAACCCAGCAGTCATGATATCGATGGTCTTGTATATGCAAATGCGGAACTTTTATTAATGCTTGCGTCTTCTCTGTCGTTCTCGATAAAAGAACAAGGAACAGTCATATCACTTGCTACGACGTCAAAAACTTCCTGGAGGTCCGCAGGATCAGTTTGCGACAGACGTTCACCTTTGACAAGCCCGGGCAGTTCACGGTGATGGTGCATAAGGTCGAGGAGCTGAAGCTGTCGAGAACAGCGGGACTCGAATCTGTGACAGGAAGGGCGGCCCAGGAGGGCAACAAGATGTGGTACGAGTTCGAGGTCTGCAACGAGGCGCTGAACAATAAGCTGAAGTCAAATCTGAAGCTCATCCCGGGCGCGGTCGCTGATTGGGATGTGAACAGCCTTGTGGGCGAAGATCCGATCAACTCCACGGAACTTGCAGAGATGGTTAAGACATTGATGCTCTTGGTGGATAAGTGCCAGGATAAGTTCATACTATGAACGCGCCTTTTTGCGAACCTGTTGCGTGCTCAATAGCGACACTTTCATTACATCTGGTCAAGCAATAAAACATTGCATTCAACCGTTGCGGCGCCCAAAAAAAAAAAAAGGGGTACAAAAAAGTATATTACAGTTCTTCGACTCTAATGACTCTAGCCTTGATTCGGATCTTGCATATGGCCTTGGTTCTGTTGTTGTTGCTGTTGTTGCTGTTGTTGTTGTTGCTGCTGCTGATGATGATGTAACAGCTGCTGTTGCTGTTGCTGTTGTTGCAGCTGCAGCTGGAGGCGTTGCTGCATGGCGATGAGTGCCGGTGCTGTGAAGGGTGCCCCTTGCATGTTCTGTAACACGTTGGGAGCGCCCAATGTCTGTCCTGGCATGCCCATTGTTTGGATTGGGCTATTGTTAGCGTTCGCTACTGCAGCTATATCAATGAGCATAGAAAAGAAGAAGCAAGAAAAATCAAATCAGCAACGATATTTAAAATAAGAATGCTCGATCGGGTCTCCTAATAATCGACCGAATACCTTGTCCAGCCTGCGATGATGCCTGCTGCTGCTGGTACGCGAACTGATGCTGTTGCTGCTGTTGTTGCAGCATCCTGGCCTTTTGCTGTTGGATAAGCTGTGCCTGTAACAGGAAAGTCTGTTGTTGCTGAGGTGTAATCCCGCCGGGCTGATTCGTGGGTGATATGATATTGGGTGTGTTCACTCCTGCTTGCTGCTGATGTATCTGTTGTTGCTGTTGCTGTTGCTGTTGTTGTTGTTGTTGTTGCTGCTGCTGTTGCTGGATCTGTTGTTGCTGTTGCGCCGCAAGCTGTTGCTGCTGCTGCTGAATAGCCGCCGGTATGCCCACGGTCACTTGCAGATTAGGGATAGGAACCTTCAGGAACAGCAACCCGATCAGATTGAAACGCTTCTCATTGTAGATCAGGACCATGCCGGCGTTGGGACCGATCTGAGGGAATCGAACCGTCGCCACGACTTTCTTGATGCCGAGGTTCTTGGTGAAGGCATCAAAAATGGAGCTGTTCTCGACAGAGTTGCCGGCAGAGGGGTAGATGTAGATGAAGGGGAGGCTGTGGGTCTCGGCGAGCTTCTGTAGCTCAGAAGTCTTGGCGGGCATGTGGCCCGAGATGATGAGTTTCTTGGGCCAGAGCGAAAAGGAGCTATGGACCGTTCACAAGCAATAACCAGTTAGTACATCAATATAAGTTCGTTATGAACGCTAGATAGGGCAATGAATGCTGAATGGGGCAATGGATCGAGTGCATAAGCACTTACTATTCCTCTTCCAGGGACTTGTCGATCTTCTTGCCCGCAAAGGTCGACACCGAGCACATATATTCCCGTGGCGGTTGACCGTTCGGTGTATTGATCATCCAAGAAATATCGCCCGACCAGACGGGATCACCGCCTAACCCGTTGTTACGCTGCTGTTGTTGAGCAGCCTGTAGCAGTAGCTGATGCTGCTGATGAAGCGTCTGCATTTGTTGCTGTAGATTTGGCTGCAACGGCTGCGGAAGTTGCTGTTGCCCATCCTGCGCAACCAAAGTTCCTTGTGAGTGTAATGCTGTATTTTGCTGTTGCTGCTGTTGGTTCTGTTGCTGCTGTTGCTGCAGCTGGAGTAGCTGGTTCTGGTTTTGTTGTTGCTGCTGCTGTAGCATCTGGTTTCTCTGCTGTAGTAGAAGGATGTTCTGTAACTGCTGCTGCGCTTGTTGCTGTTGTGGCGCGACTTGTGGCGATTGCTGTTGCTGTTGCTGCTGTTGCTGTTGTTGTTGTTGTTGTTGTTGTTGTTGTTGTTGTTGTTGTTGCTGCTGCTGCTGCATTTGTGCGACAGCATTTTGTCGTTGGATAGCCATGAGTTGGATGAGCTGCTGTTGCTGCTGGTGCGTAAGTGAACCGCCGCTGGCACGCTGCTGAAGCGCCCTCAGAGCCTGAAGCTGAGCGGCTGTGAGTTGTGGGGTGATATGCTGTTGCGACTGCTGCTGACCAGCTGGAAGATTAGTGGCCAATGCCTGCGCCGGACGCTGTTGTTGCTGCCCTGGCGCTTGTCCCTGCTGCACTGCTGCCGTGACAATCGGTGATCCTGCGGCAATGTTGGCCACAGGCGAACTTACATTACGCTGCAGTGGAGAACCCATCGCCGCAGATTTGGCAACCAAAGGTGAGCCGACCCCAGACGCCGAGCCCTGTAGTTGTTGTTGAGGTTGTTGCTGCTGCTGTTGAGATTGTTGCTGTTGTTGCTGTTGTTGCTGTTGTTGCTGTTGGTGCTGTTGTTGCTGTTGTTGGGCAGCTTGCTGCTGAAGCTGGGCCTGTAGGGGCTGCGCCTTGAGGTGTTGCTGCTGCTGTTGATAGAGATTGTACTCCTGTCCAGTCGCACCTGCAGGCTGAGATTTTGCGGGACTGGAATTCACGCCCATGCTGACAGATGTGGTTGGGGTTGGATTGGGGAAGCCCTGCTGTGGTTGCTGCTGCGGCTGTTGCTGCTGTTGCTGTGGTTGTTGCTGCTGCTGTTGTTGTTGCTGTTGTTGATGTTGTTGCTGGAGCAAGAACTGACGCTGGAGTTGTTGCTGTTGTTGTTGAACAGCCTGCCTCTGCGCCTGCTGCTGCTGCGACTGCTGAGCAGCAGCAGCCTGTTGCGCTGCAGCTAGCTGAGCAGCTTGATGAGCTACCAGCTGCTGTGCCAGCTGTTGCTGCTTAATCAGTGGCGATGCTTGCTGTTGTTGCGGCTGTTGTTGCGATGGTTGCTGCTGTTGCTGTTGTTGCTGCTGCTGTGCGATCTGTTGCTGTAGTTGCTGAAGCTGGTGGACTTTAAGTGCCTGGACATGTTGTGCTGTCAGTTGTTGATGTTGCTGTGGCGTCAGCGTCAATCCTGGTCCCAAATTCAACATTTGTGTTGATGTAGCCTGATTCGGCGTGTGCCCAGGTTGCTGCTGTTGCTGCTGCGGCTGTTGTTGCTGCAGCTGCGCTTGCGCCTGCTGAGGCGTTGATGCGAGCTGTGGGGTAGTCTTTGGCTGGGCCACCGCACTTCGAGCTTTGGACAACGCAGGACTGGCCGCCGTGGTAACAGCATCGGCTGTGGTCTCTGGAGTGCCGGTTATCGGGACTGGCTGAGCGTCGACTCCAGGTTTGGCAGCTTGATCCTGCGCTACCTTTCGGCTATCATCTGGAGCAGGAACAGGCGCAGATGGCGTGTGGGTGTCGTCGATTTTGGTCCGTTTCGCAGAGGGTCCAGATAATTTTGGTGAGTTTCCAGTGGCAGCTGGTGAGCTGGCAGACGTCTCCCGCTTAAGGTCCCCGGATTCTGACGGTCCAGCCATGCTGCCCCTCTTGGCCTGGTTTGCGGGGACATTGTGAGAGTCGGACACCTGTAGGGTGGAGCTGGCTGGCGCGGCGACTGCTGGTGGTGTTGCAGGAAGCTGGAATCCGGCAAGTTTGACGATATGACTTGAAGACGATTTTGGCGATGCATCGATAATTTCAACCGTTTGCTGGTTCGTCTGTGTAATAGGGTAAAGCGTGATTAGGAACTGTAATATGAAGATATACGACGAGTCCCAGCATTGAATGGCTTTCTTAATCGGCAATGTACCTTTTTGACCAGCTCGATTAGTTCGCTGTGCTGTGATGGCGCTATCAATGACAGGGTGATCAAACGCTAAGGATCGTGAGAAGTATCTAGTTAATAATGAAGCAAAGGGATCTAGTACACGGACAAAACTATAACAGGACCTACTTTGAGTAGTTCCTGCGCTGCATCATTAAGATTGTAATTGTCGTATCGCTCACTGGAGTTGCATCGGCAGCCCGTCGTGTGAGGGGAGCTATCAGCGACAAGAATAAGATGCCGCTCCGGTTCGGCGCCGTCGATCCCTCGAAGTTCATCGTACTGATCAAACATCTACAGAAAGGCAATGGAGTGCGCGGTTAGTCATAATGTTCCTAGGAACAGTGTCACCAACGACTACTGTGAAGGATGCTGTACCTCAAGTGCCGAGACGAGACCCTCAGTGACAGCGTTGCGGAAGACGCCACCATATTCAAACTTGATCATTCGCAATTCACGGAGGAAGTTCAGAGGATCGTTTGTAAAATATCGCGTATCGACTGTCGAAGCTGAGCTGGGTTGGTAATCGCCATAAATAGCCAGTCCACAACGTACAAGGGGCTAGCCGACCAAACCAAGACGATACATGTTAGCAACCTTGCCCTATCTCTGGACTCCTGGAGTCATTGCCTTTACTGATCGATAGCATTAGCCTCCTACCACGTCCTTGGGTCGAGGTTGGTTTGTTTCTGGATCGATTGGAGGTGTCCGGAAATGTCTAACGGTCGTACGAAATTAATTAAGGTCGATTAAGCACCAGCAGTGAGAAACAACCAAGAGGAGTGGGCATGCAAATCCATATCCATTGAGCTACATCACAACGCGCCTTTTAGCACTAACTGATCCCACAAATAAAGGAACATAAAGGACATGGTGCTTCATACTCATGCCTATTGTCAATTGAAGACGTGGTGATGGATAGTACACTTCGCTCCAGATCAGAAACGGTATCACAATCTCTTACCGAAGAATGGGTTCAATATAAGAAATCAGGAGCGTCTCGAAATTGGGACCCATCCTGGCTGAGTTCTCAATAACAAAGACGCAGAGAATCTCGTGTCGGTGGGTAGGCGGACCTGGTGTCGAGACACTGTGAAGTGGCATGGGCGAGGCACTTGCCCCTGGAGAGGCGAGACCAAATGCGGGAGAGGTTGCTGTAGGCCCTACCGAGGGCGTGTGTGCGTTGGCTGCCAGCATCGCTGTGGTATCAATTGTAGGTGTGAAGAGAGTACTAGGGCGAGGGCTATGGTCTGTATTGCTGCTTGGTATTACTCTTGCTGGACTATTTGCTAGTATGCTGATTGACAACGAATGTCGCTTTTTTGGTCCAGTTGCTTGAGGTGATTAGGATGGCGGCTGATCAGGAGTAGATCGGACGTTGTCTCCAGAGGTGTCCAAGGTAAATATTAAGGACGGTATTATAGGTAGACGCGACTGAGAGTCTATTGTTGCAAAGAGGATGTGGAGAGATGTGGAGACTATGAAGAAGGGTGCGGGCGAATACGAAGCAGCGAGTGAGCGTGTGTCCACTGAAGAGAAAAATAAAATGTGCCCAATTCGCCGTCTTTTTATAGGCGGTGCGCGGCAGAATTTATACCACTGCATAAATACCACTGCTGCTACGAGGCTTTGCCGGTCTACATTCGCGGCCACATGCCAATTGCTATATGTTAGAGAAGATATTTGGCTTCACAGAAACGGATTTGTATCAGCAATGGTCTCACCATCGCCACTCTCCTCGTTATCCTTCCTGCCTCTTCCACCTACGCGTATGTCACTCTCCAGGGACATGTTCTCCATCAATTCTTCAAACATTGGCTTGCGTATCGCCTGCATCTCAAATATTTCGGTCCGCCCAATTTCCTCCAGCACACTGCGTTCCAGTACCTCTTCTCCCTCTCCCTCTCGCACTTTGACCCTCACATATGCCTCCTGTGGTCGCTTCGATGACAGGTAAATACCGGTGCCTCTAAAAGTCGAGTCCACTCGTTGGCCTGCCAGACTGAGGCTGGATGCACCAGGGAGTTCGACATAAAGCGGGATTACATTCGCATGTATCCAAGTCAGATCATAACCTGACCTCAGAAAGATTCGGTCGATCCAATGTCTGCTTGTTTTGAGTGCCACTGCCTTGGGTCGTTCCTCGCGGTCCTTTGTCACGATAAAGATCACTTTGCTTCGAATGCCAGCTGGAACTCCATAGACCTCTGATTCAAATTGATCCACCACACAGATCAAATCCATAGGTCCAATGCCCATCCTAGACGTTGCGGCAATGCATGCCAAAAGACTCTGCAGCCGTTGACACTCGCGGGCGAAAGACTGAACATAGTGCTCCCGAGCTGCATCTGTACTTCGCCAGATCACCAAAGGACTATGCTTGACCTGCAGGCGAGCCCAAGAGTCATCTACAAGGAGCACACGCCGAAGGCAAGGTGGCGAGTTCTTTGCTTGAATGTCCGCCATTCGTATCCGATCGATTAGATCCAGGTGGAAGGGTTCGGGCAGCATCACTTTGATATGAGTATCTGATTTTGGTGATACAATAAGTGCCAAAATATTGGAGGGCGAAAGAATGGGCGAAGCGAAGCCATCGTTTTGGCTGTTGGTTGCTGTGTCCGGTGGTGGTGGCTGTCCCTGCATATTTAGCCTTTGCTCAGTCAATGCTGTTCCTGCATCAATGACACCTGGGAGCACGCGCATGATTTCGGAGAACAGCTCTGCATGGTACTTCAGGATTGGGCATAGAGTGTCTAACATAAACGGCGTTGGTTACATCAATGAAGCAAGGAGACATCCAAATTGGAAAGTGTACTTCACGAAGGACATACCTGAGTACAGGATGACATACTGGGACTGCAGTCGATCTGACTCCGGTAACTGCTCGATATTGGAGTAGATCTTGGAGATTAAGGCTTGGTCTTCCTCCATAAGCGTTCCTGCAAATGGTACAGCTAGCTGTAGCATAGGAGCAGTATTGGAGTGCGGGTAGATAGGTTCATGTGTCTGGGTAGCCTCAAGAGGCAATTCTTTGATGCTACTGCTACCGTCGTAAGCAGAGGAAGGGTCGGTAGAAGGAACAGGAGAAGACATTGGTTACTGTTGAGCGCGAACGCAGGGGTGCAATCCCCTTCCCAAAGACTCGTTAGGTTGGAATGTTGGATGGGATGTTGCTTTGTGAATGGAGGGAAGTGCGGGGTAGAGCGCGGAGTGTGAGAAGATTGCGACGTGTACCTGAACTCTCTCTTGGTTGCACGCGTTTTGTTTATTTTGATGACTATCGAGCACACTCTTTTTAGCCTTCTTTCACTTCCTCGCTTTTTCAGGACACATTCCGTTCATGACCTCCGTAGACCTCTACTCCCTTACTCTACCTCAAGGATAGCAGCAGCAATACCGAGCGGCACTACGCACACCCACACCTTGTTATACCAGTGCGATTCCAGAACATTGAGTCCTGGCGAGGTATTAGCCAATCAAGGAGCAGAAAACGCCACCAAAATATTGCTGTGGACAACAATTTAACCACAATAACCTCGCTGTTCCAATATACCGGCTAGATCAACCAAGGCACTGTCTGAGGCAGAACGTGTGCAGCCTGCCCCAACTCAGACCCGATGCCAAAACGAAGCGCAAAACAACACTCTGAACAGGTGCTTCAGGAACAGCACTCGACCATCAGCTCCCCTCCTAATCCTTCAAAAGGAGAAGTCCCGCAATCCCCGCCAACACCCCCAAATGACTTCATACCCATCAGTAACTCAAGTTGGGACACGGCGTCAGCATCTGAAATTCAACGGGGATCGTCCCTTGCACCGTCCACAACCATACCGCCTCGGTCAAAAATTCTTGTCCCGGACTCAGGAGACGAAGCCGAGTATGATGTTGTCAATGCTAGGAGGAAGAACTGCGGCTCAGATGAAGGGCCACTGGAGTTGACCTGTGTCAAACCTTATACCGCTATCCCACGACCTATTGCTTCTCATACTGAACTGGCAGGCCAGGGCAAGAACGAGTCCAGATCATCAAACTTGTTCGTGCAGGTAAGCGAGGAAGAGCTGCCATCTCAAAAAAAAAAAAAAAAAAAAGAGTCAATCTTCCATTGGAGTTTACGTCTTCGTGAGCGCCGTTTGATAATTTTGTATTATTTCATTGTTGACTATAGGATGTACCCGACTCTGAGGACGAAGGATTGAACTTGCAGGTTACAGATGAGCCAGTATTAGAGCATCCGGAGAATGGGGGCCATGACGGGTCTACTCAAAGTATCGACATCTTGATCGACGAAAACATGGGGATCTTTGAGCCGCGTCAATCCAGTACCAGCTTTGTGGACCGCGTCGACCATTCTACAGGCCACAATGAATCGTCAACCTTGGCAGAACTGCCGGTGAATTATCAGAGCCAAGTGTATCAACCGGTTATCCGCTCCTATCCGCTCAGAGAACGCACATTCCAACAGCGTATGCCCTACACCGCCGACAAGCAGCTGCATGCTAGACTTATCGGAAGCCGAGGCAGCGGTTCTTCTCGACATTCCCTTGCACGGGACCTTTCGCGGGAGGATCTCGCTCTGCTGGATCAGCAGGACGACGAAGAAGACCCAGACTATGAGGACCGTGGTGCGCGAGATGTGCACGCAGTAGACGGTATCGATGACCCAGATGTGCTTGATGGTCCCCTGAGGTCAATGCAGCGTCCGCACTTGAAAAAGATAAAGGATAAAAGAACTATGGCAAATATGGATTTTTTCCTTCAGGATTTGGATGATGACGACCTTCCAACGATTGAGGAGTTGCGCCGCCGATACCTAACGCCTACACACTTAGATGCTCGCAAATCAGCAACCAAGGACGTTAATGACTCCCTTCTCCGCGTCAAACTGCCTCCGGCACTGAGTGCACGGGCGAAACAAAAACTCGAACGACTGGCATTACAGCCCCTGGAGCCTCTGGATCCTGTCGATGCAGAACCAGCGATTCCCTACCAGATGAGATTTTTTTCGGCAACTCCACATCATTCGACCGATGAAGAAAACGAGGCTGGCATGCCGTCACCAGACGGATCTATGTCAGGAACACCATCTAGGACTGACGTGGCCAACATCTTGCAAGTCGACATGGCCCACGACTCCTTCAGCGATAGCGATAGCGAACCCCTGCCATCGATCAAGAAAACCAAAAAAATTCGACAGCACGTTCTGCCCATGGCGTTCTTCAAGAGGAATTTATTACCAGATGATGCTGCGGCATTGAGATCGATGCGCTCAAAGCAGGCGTGCACACGGGCGTCCGCTGTGGAAACTAGAGCCGAGCCGGAACAAATACAGTTTGCACACCATGCCAAAAGACGGATCGCATCATCAGGTCAAGATCGTGGTGGTGCACTGAACGACTTTATCGCCCAGTTGGCACAGGATAAGAGCGAGACTGAGGACGAATCATTTCGGGATCTTTCTCCGGGCAGTCCTGATTTTGATAGCGATTCTCATGGCGACATGTGGAGGTCCCATCCTAGCTTGAAGGACATTGTACCGTCCAAGAGTCGCTCATTGTCGTCTGAGGTAAATGGGCTCGGTTATGTATTTTGAAATTACTATCATTTCTACTCTAAATTATTAATTAACTTTTCATTCATATTGTCACTTAGCCCTATAACCATGAATATCAAAAGTCATTGTCCCTAAAAGATGCGGGTTCATCGGATTCTGAGCGGCAAACTTCACCAAAGAGGCAGGATCCAACAGATGATCGGAGTAGATCGACTAGGGAGTCACAGGCATTCCAGAATCCGTCGAGTAAAGGTCGCCCAGCATTTCGTGCCGAACGACTGGACATGATCGACAGAATGATTGTCAGGGGTCCTCATAGGTCATCGAAGCCCAAGCAGTCGTCTTCCTCGATTACATACTCGAGGAAGCGACGTCGAGTAAGTCGGAATTTGCCGTCAACAAAAATTCGTCGATCTGCGAATGGCCACATTAGAAATACTCCACGTTCATACAGCCATCTCAGCGAGTACTCTTCGGCAGACGCACAGGAAGTGGGCTCCGGATCCGATTCAGCTGTTTCGGACGACTTTCAGGACAGCGCCGTCAATTCTCAACCAAGGAAACGCGCTGGAAATGACATTCGTGGATATTACAGGCACCAGAACCGTCCTCTACACGAGAGGCACAATTCCGATACAGATCAGGACTTTTTTGGGGACGGTTATGCGTTCCATGACCAAGAATACCAAGACAGTGCAGGCTATATCGAACACTCCCTCAACCAATACGATACTACCACACCTACACATCCACCAAGACGACTGTGCCGTCCCAAAGTCATCCCTAAGCTGCGGGTATTCAAACCGATGCGCCCCCAACAGCCACACACGCGGTCAAAGCCAAACCGGGCAACTCAGAGCAGACCAAAGGTGCTGCGCCAGCGAACGATATACTCTCATCTATCAAGCTGGCACCCACAACAACCGGCGCCAAGCCGACCACAATTTGTCAACAAACCTTTTTTCGAGGCTTCACCGAGGAAAACAAGGCCTCACCGGGATCGCGATCATAGTCAACATCCAGGAGCTGGCAAGGCAACACGCCAGGAAAATACCGGAGACATGGAAGGTGACGTTCCAGTAGATGACTACATAATGCCGGATCAACCGTGGAGCAACGAGGATGGTCCTGGATTCGAACAGACACCTTTGCCAGAGAGTCTTCCAATACCACTACCAGCCCTCAAACCTTGGAATCCAAACTATATGGCGACCGAGTTTCGTGACACAATCTACACAGGCGCTCGGAACCAACTTTTCTCGGACAAAATTATCACGAACGGACTCTACTTTCCGCGCGACACCTATATCGGCAGAGGCATGCTTTCACAGCTGCTGCGGACCATGTCACTTCAACCCAAGGAGGGTTTTTTAACTCCTAGCAACACGGCCCGCGCCACCTTCTTTGGTCAACCATTTGTGACTAATTGGGAGGAAATGTCGAGTATCGAGCGTGATCTGGATTCAGTTGTTCTTGATTTCAACAGGCGATTTCAATCGATCCATGAGTCTTTCCGAGTTCAAGATGTCAGCAACCTCCGCAATGAACTTATTGCATCAAGCGAGCTTTCTGCCTGTTTACTAGCACTTGAGAACATGACTGTACTCTTGATGGAGCGCCTAGCGGTCTCGTCGCCTGCTGAGCGCATTTCGTTCTTGAGTATTTTCAAGTTCAAAGTCATTGATGCACTGGCGTCGCTTCTTGAGACGATGCACATCAAGTCTCACCACCCACAAATGTCTACCTTCCTGCTTTGGGCAAGATGGGCGTTGGTGACATGGTATATTCTCGCGAGCTACGAGTTACATGATGGACAGGACTCGGTCAACAGCACTGCCAGTTCTCTTTTGCACCAGTTACTTAGCACAGGTAGCTCTGGACTCTGGACGCAGCTTACAGCATCGTTGAACCGACTTCAGGCATCGCCCGGCGTGATCCATGGCCAGGACGTACTAGAGATCTGGGTATGTCTTATCCAAGTGCTCAGCCGATATGGAGAATTGCATGGCTCCTCGGGGGGCTTTTGGTCGTTGTTCAATAAGAGCGTTCGGGATATATGGCTGAAGGATGAAGGCTCAGTTGAGAAGGACGGGACAATAGTCGAAGTTACTTCGTGGCAAGATCGGGGCAACAACGTCATGGGACTGCTGCAGGATGTTTGCAGGCTTCACCAGTTTGAGAGAGACGGAAGCTCCAATGCTACAATTCGTACAACCGAGAACTGGGAGCTGATCATATTTTTGCTTCAGAAAGGCTGGTTGGAGCATATGCCTGCTGAAAGTACAGAGACGGAGCGTGATTTGCGAAGGTTGCTTCAATTCTGCCACTCTCGAATCAATACATGGGGTTGGACCCCTTGCGCGGATATCGTCGTGTTTGTCTATCGGTACTTTGCTGGCAGAGGCTTTCGGGATATGCCGACGGAGCATGGCTATCGTTTGCCAGAGTTTTTGAAGCAGATGATCACAGCAACGACCCTGGATCGTAGGGGGGCCGAGGTACAGGAAATGGATGATCCACAAGTAGGTCAGCCAGCCGAGTCCGGCCCCAATATGGCGTTCGTAGAGACAATGGACGAGTATGATAGATGCTTTGAGGTATTCCTGAAAATCTTGGCAAAGACGATCCATTGGCAGATCAAATCCATTTACGCAGACGGAGAGTTTACAGATACGCTACAGACATCAAGTGCAAGTGCAGCCTTCCAGACAAATGGCTCGCTCTCCAATCAGGGGACATCATCCCAAGCGTTAAGCAGGATAGAGAAGATGAGGGCCTGCAAGCGACTACTTTCATCCGTCTCGCCCGCCATCGTCACTACCATCTCGTCGTCCGGTTCGAGCGAGCAGACGTATTCCTCTTTGTGCAACCCTTGTAATTTGGTGCTTGTAGTTGCACTTCTGGTACCGGATTCCATTCGTCCATCCAATATTGGTCAGCTGAAGAGTCTACTTAACTTCGAAGGCAGCGATGACGCATCCCGGAGAATCATGCTAGAGTCGATCTTTTACCTTGGCACAGCATGGCAGCGACAGGATAAACACAGCGCCATCGCTGGGAACGGCGGACGATCGCCGAAGAAAATTTTGGATTACTATTTTGAACGACTGGAGTTCTTATGCCAGGCGTTTGAGGAAGATTTAGCAGTGACTGATGCAGGCACCAGCTATGTGTCTCGTAGCAAACGCCGGGCCCCAGTGGCTGCTCTTATTGAAACTGCACTCAGCTATGTCGGTCGCTTATTGAGCAACGAACAGGACCTTGATATTGGAGGGTCTCCATACCCGCCTCTCGCATATCTCGATCAGAGTAAGTTCCTGGTTATCGACTACCATAAGCTCTTTTATGCCGATCCGCAACCCTAATGCTGACATAAATGCTAATGCCATGGATGCAACTAGGACTCTCTCGTTTCTTTCATCCCGATAAGGCATACCCTCCGGAACTGAGACTGCAGGCACTTGGTATTGTCGAGAGTTTTTTGGCACTCAGAGGGTCTCATATTGTGCACCTCCAGCATGTGATGACCAAGGCGGCAAAGAGCAAGGTACAGGAGGTTGTGGCTGCAGAAGGCATGAACACCAGCCAGAACTACACCAATACTTCAATGGACGATGAGTTTTCTTCGCTGGAATTCGATCAGTTTGTCTTTGACGACATGGATCTCTTGGATCCCTCGCCACCATCGGATGTAAAGGCCCCGGAGCCGGGCAAGCCAACCATCGTGCCTGCAACTGCCACATCTATACCGCCCAGGGATATACCAGTGGTCCTTCCTCAGGATGAAGATCTAGCGAAGACGATACTGTCGTGGATTTATCCAAGTCTAGAGAAGCTGATCAAGGCACGGCAGCAAGCTCTTCATGATAAGCAACAACAACAGACACGGTCTACGATACCAGGAAACTTGGCTCAGCAGCAGATTGGGCCCACAGGCTATCTTGCTACTATGCAAATCGCAGGACGACGAAACACTGCCTCCTCCGGCGACCCAACCGCAGTGGTAGTTTCGAATCTGGCATCGATGTCTCTACAGGGTGCGGAGCGAATCCTTTCGATTTACGCCGACTGTAGCGTCATCCTGCTTGATCATCGTCGTATAAAGATGGGCGACATAACGAGCCCGTTCAAGCGCGAAGCATGGCTCGGTCCTTGGATACAGCACTGGAGACTGCAGGATGAGTTGGTCTGGGCGATGCGGGTGACAGAAACTAGCCCGGGCATTGTATTGGCGTACGAGGACATGTTCCTCGGCGTTTGGTTCAGTACTGTCAGCATTCCTGTCCACGAGCTGACTGTACAGCATCGCTTTTTGAAAGCCATACTGAGTATTGTGGATTCTGCTGCAGTGGATGCTGTCAGTGCTCAAGGACCGGTGCTTTGTCGTAACCTTTTCAAAGATCTGCCGATCGCCCACTTGGACTACAACTGTACTGGGGTCAAGGATGTTCTCAGTCGGTCAGGTGAATTAAATGTGGACCGCAGCCTTGTGGATACAAACCAGAATGCGAAACTGTTTCAGGAGTTCAAAGAATCGAGGCTGCAACTACTGGCCAAAGTCCTAAGCAACATTGGAGAGCACTACATGGCAGTTCGGCCGACCCCCGGTTCTGCGGATCCAAAAGCATATTATCAAGCGCATTCTGTCAAGTCTCGCTACCAAACATATCTGGGTTTGCTACTCAACCAAATCAAGAGGGACTACGAGGTGAGCCGGATGATGTTTAAATATCTTGTGAATACGAAGCTTTTAACATCTCGGCCTGTTAATGCGTATTGTCATATTGTTTATAGAGACTAGAGTTGAGGCGGATGGTGCGGGAAAACATCACACATGTGGACTTGGCCCACCATGTTGTAGGCCATGTCATCCAGCATTGTGGGTTGGTTATGCAAAGCTCTCAGCTCGCTGGTCCACAAGACTCTATTCTGAACTTCCTGACCTCGTCTCGCCACTTTCCACAGCCCCGAATGCACGTGAACACCGCTCGTCAGATTGTTCATAGGAATTATGGGAGCAATGCACTTACGCCCACTTATTTTCGTGTATCTTTCTGCAATAGGGATGGCGTCTATATCCACCAAAAGATCCGAGGATACGCCTATCTGTATCAAGCAGGAGAGAAGCAGTTCTTCCAGGATTTGCTGCAGATGATCATCAATCTTTTGAGGATCATTCCCGGCAAAACTAGTTTACGGTTTGATTGGCTCTCTCAGAACCGTGTTCATGCACGTCCCGCTGTGCCTGGCGCTGGATTACGCGCCCTCTCTAAGGATGGCGAGGAGTCGAGCGCGTACTTTGGATTGAGGGTCATGGATGCCGGATCAATTATCTATGAGTACTTTGACCAGGACAAAGAAGCGCCCACCACTACGCTAACCAAACAACTGGCCTTGGAAGTCGCAAATGAGCGATTTTTGCCAGCTTCTAGATCGCCAACTGCAACCATACCTCAACTCTTCAGCATTCAGCCAGGGAGTAACGGCAGCACTACAAAAGGCCAGAGCACCGACAGCATTTCCACCACGGCGCGGGTACCACCCTCTACTCTGACAACACCTCCTTCAAGGTCCTCTGTTCAAACACTCTTTGGGAATCAGCTCGACAAGCAGAAAGACACCTTCGATCATTGTAAGGAGGCATTGCGAACATTAACCAGCTCCCTAAGGAACGTCGCTTTGGAGGCAGAAGATAGGAAGCAGTGGTGAGTGCAGTTACCCGTACTGTAATGCAAATGCCTGCATTTCTTAGACCTATTTAGAACTAGTAGGATTGATTTTCTCACTTGTCTGAAATTTATGCTTCATAGGAACACTGTTATGGGTTCATTCAGGACAATGGTCTTTATTTCGATATTCCGACCTCTTTTGACCGCATTTCTGGGGCCAGACAGCCAGCAGGGCTATTGCTCAACGCTGGTGCCGACCGATGCTGGAGCGGAACATGGTCACACGATGGCACGGGCACGCCCGCAACGGCCCAGCCTGATGGTCATATCAGTGCCCGTCATTCAATGGTTGGTGTCTCTGATTGCAGCTCTTTCCAGCGATATTAGCTCCCTGAGCGCAGGCGCCCCGACATGGACTCCTTCGGTGGCTAGTATCCCCGCAGGATCCTTTGAAGATAATTCCATGACACAGGCGCTTGAAGGTTTTCAAAAGGAAACGTCTATGCTGTTCTCATCCCTGTTGCAATCTTTGGCAGGCAGTTTCGATCTAGTCAATGATCTGTGGATGGAGCGCACTCGAAGGCGTCTCGGCGATCTCAATGCTCAAGGCGATGATATGGACTACGCCCAGGACGACAGCAGAGACTCTGTGAGAGCACTGTATCTATTTGGCCATGTACTGCAGGCCATTGAAGCGATTGTCAAAGTGGCGCGGAAGATCCAGAGGGAGCATGTCGCCTTTTGTAAGCTATAATTGTGAGGACAGCATGGCTCAAGTTCCTCGGAGATGCATGTCTAATCTGTCTACTCTTCGCTTTACTGCTTGTTATCTTACAGATGAACGAAATATGTCATGGCGAGAAGCGCTGCTGGAGTTGGTTCAGTTTGCTTTTGACTACGGCTACTGCTTGATGATGAGCATTGGTGGACCTCTTGAAAAGGACTACGATATTGAGGAGAACGCTGTTGAATTCGCAGAAAGTTTTCCGGATCACAATCGCGTAAGAACCATGGCTGAACTGATAAAGAGCTCCTTATCGACCACAGATCGGATTCCTGGAGCACAGGATGCTGTGTCAATGGAGGCATCTTTTCAGGAGTTTCTCTCAGGCCACACGCAGTTTTCATCGTTTGAAGGGCTGGTACGCCGTGAGCTCCAAAATCTTTCGTCCTTGGAGAACTGGTCCGGGGATGTTTTATCTCCAAGCGCCAATCCGACAAGGACTAGCAACGATACAACCTCAGCTAATCCACTGCAGCGTGACCAGGCAAGATTGGGTCAACAGCTGGAAAGACACCACTGGGCACTATGGAATTTCCAGAGCACATTTTTGGACTTTGGCCAATCCATTTCTACGCTGGACGGGAGACTCCACCGTCAAGTCCAACGGGCGCTAGGAACACTGCTGAAACCGCCTGCGATATCTTCTTATTCTAATGGTTTTGTGCCATTTAAGCAGAACGATACAGATGATTCTGTCTGGTATCATATTTTGCACCATGCAACCGACCCGTCTCAACTTCAACCTCCGAAGTCCTTGGCTATTCTCCGATGGTGCCTAAGTCGTGAGTGGCAATTGTTTCTCGCTAAGTGGGGTGATACCGGAGCAGCGTGGCATGACAGCGACTCGATACGAGCAGAGGTACCAGTGAGCACAGCAGGCCAAGATCAGGAACAATATCGAAGTGGGCCATCATTCATGCGGGGTCTCGATGATCTTTTTGTATAGACGCTTTTTTTTTTCTTCGCTGCATTTGTATTTCTACCGCTATCTTAATGTAATTTACTCTTCAATCTTTTGCCTGCTCAAATCGCCATCAGTATACAGGAGAGCTTTATTAGCTCTCATGGCATTATGTTTATATATCGATGTAAGCGTCTTGGCTTCTCATTGCTTCTTTGCGCCAGATGCGGTATTAGGTGTGCCAATGCTGCCGCTGCTATTTTTGGAGCCCTTGGTAGAGTCGAGGTCCTCATCCAGGGCTGTCGTTTCAAACAGAACGTCGCTCTCGTCGTTCGGCTTGCTTGTGGACGAGGACTGTGCTGGTATTGATGGGAAGGAAATGGGGTTGTTTGCAGATGGTGATGGTCCCAAGAAGGTCTTTTGACTGAGTCCTGGGAGACTGGCGCTGTTTCCTGCCGCCGCATGTAGCCTCATATCCAAGGCCTTCAATGCCAATGCTCTACAAGATAGAAAGAAACAGCAGTGTTAATAAAGTAATCGCCAACAACTCCATCGCTTATTTTTTTTTTCTTTCTTTCTTTCTTTTTTTCTTTTGTGACTATGTCAGCAAAGCCCGATCCATACCTTCTGCGTTCTGCTTCTGCCCGCAGGCTAGCAGGTTGTGTCATGGGTAGTACCATGCCTGACATCTGAGGGCTTTCAAGATCGCGCTCAAAGCTCGCACCAAATCCCAATGGCGTGCAGATACGAAGTCGCACCAAAATGCCAAAGACGAGGTTCGACACGGCTTTGACAGGGGGTCTAAAAGAGAAAAAAAAAAAAAAAAAAAACGGTGACGAAAAACAGATCAGCGACCACCAGGTAAAAAAAAGAATCATTCGATTTTGAAATAGAGCGCAATTGACGTACTGTGCTGCCTCTGGAAAGAAGGATGCAAAGGAAAAGGTTTCACTGCGGTCTCCACGGATACCATCCTGGATCTTGAAAAATCTCGAGTAGATCCAGGAGATAAGCAGGCCATACATGGCCAGCATGAGCTGAACCTGACTGCGCGTGATCAGGCTTTCGAAAATCATGAACAGGGCAAAGAACATTGGCAGGGTCTAAAGTATAAAAAAAAAAAAAAAAAAAAGTGAGAGGAAATGCCATGGTATTAGTACCCAATCGATCGATCCCATGCCTACAGCCTTTCATACGGAGTCGGATAGGTTACCTTGACACGGACCGAAAAGATGCCCCACATGGTGACAAGGTGCTCAGGAACGAGCTGCTTAAAGCCGATCAAGAATCCGGCCATGACTGCAGTCAGTCCATAAACCCGTGTATCGTATCTGATAGTTCGACAAAGAAAAAAAAACAAGATGGTGATCCGTTTTTATCAGCCCTCAAAGACGTTATTTGAAAGTTGAAAGAACAAAAAAAAAAAACATGTGTTGCCTCATTGCATTTGCCGTACAATAGATCCTCGTTACCGCGAACGATGTACTCGAAGAGACAAGTAAAGTAGATGGCGAGCATGCTACCGACACTGGTCACCGCCAAAAACTTGAAGAACTCGCGTGATCCCCATGCACGTTCCAGATATTTGCCGCTCCCGAGCAGGACCACTGTGTTGATAGCAAACTAATTTGACCGTTCAAACGAGAAATGAAAACAGAGAAGGATTACAGCGTGAGATATGGATCCTCCTGAAAAGCCTCCTGAACATCTTTAGTGGCGACAAAAGTGCAGATCGCTTGCTTGCCTGGATGATACTCCTCTCAAAGAACGAAGCTGTAGCAAACGTCCAGAACCGGTAAGGTGCTCTAATGCCGCCATGCGGACAATAACATAACAAAATGGGGGTAGATCTGTCAGTTTTGCCCTCCCTTTGTTTTTGTCAATTGTGAATTGAAAAAGCATTTGGCAGAGAACTGCACAGCAATTAACACAGCACTTGATACAGTAACCACCACTTACGAGACGGGCACCAGGGCAAGGAGCGAGATAATGGTACCCTCTGCACTTGCATATGGAGCACTAGGATCCAAACCCGAATCGTCGTCGGAATAGCTGACCAGGGCCATATCTCTGAAGCGAAGGACGAATCCTAAGGCGGTCATGACCGTCATGGCTGTGGATATGCTTTTTGTCAACGGCGGCACGTTGCTAAAGTTGGTCCGCCAACTCGTGGCAGCGCCTGCTGAAGACATTGTGTATTTGAGAGGGAGGAGAAAGCGCTTCGGATGCGGATGGGATGGATGGGATGAGAAGGAGAGAGAGAGAGAGAGGGAGAGAGAGATTAGGGGCGTGAAAGGGGATGGGTGCCGAGGATGGGATGATGCTGTGTGTGCGTTGGAGCAAAACGAACGAACAAGCGCCCCGGGCGTGGCGCCAGGTAAAACGCGCTCGGTGGAATTTGTCACCTGACAAGGCAAAGTTGTCGCACCAGCAGTAGCTTTATTAAAAGTAACGAATATGTAGACAAGTACGCGGTTAAGAACACTGCAAAGTGCTCAGAAGATCCCGGATCTTTGGTTTGACTCTGGTTGCCCAGCCTCCTGTCTTTGCATCGATTATCGATCTTCGCAAGATTCAATGCCCTGTTTAATCGAAAACTTTCAAATCCTGCGTCCATAGACAGCATATTTGAAACGTACATGCGTCGCAATCCAGAGTATTAACATAATAACATAACAGCATGAATGCCAGTTCCAAAGCTACTGCAGTGTCTTCGAGATCCACCCTGCGATCTTTGTGCGATCAGTTTCTGTGACCCTTGATATCTCCGTGGTAAACATCGTCTCCGGGCGCTGAGAGGATTTCGGGTCGACGACGAACAAGGGCTACCGTTTCTGAACTGTATATAAAACACTAAATCCATAATCTGCAACTACTCCGTGCCTTTCAATAAAGAAGTCCTGCAAACTGGAAAGCGGTAAAAAAAAAAAAAAAAAGTCAGCTGTTGACACCGCTGTGCTTGATCTTGGACGATTTCAGAGCCAGTCTATAGAAAGTTTTCTTTGATGGTGTCCAGGATGTCTGCGCTACAAGAGATAATAGAAAAAATCTCAGCATTATATGAAAATAGGGCCGCTCAAGATATGCCACGTCCGAGATGTTGATAATTAGCCAAAGCAAAAGGACCAGATCTCGTCAGCTTTCGTGAAAAAAAAAGACTTGAATGGTATGTTTTAGTAATGCTGAAGTATCTCCAAGTGAGTATTCACGGAGTCTTCTTTTTTCGCCGAGTTTTTGTGGATCCTCGTGCTTTGGAACCCACTGAATCAAGATAAACCAAAGTTCAGTTGCATTTGGTTTAGCGAAAACGTACTGAAAGCTATAGGATATGTTCACATAAGAGTTCACGACAATCAGGAACACTACATTACTTCCGTACCTTGCCTGAGCCCTTGTTATGGAGAATGCAAGCAGGACAGGTGCAATAGAGACAAGAAATATCAGGGATTCATACACATTGCCCATACTTGTTTTCCCCTGCACTAACCCGATGTTCTTGATACGCCCATCGAAGAACACCGTGAATGCGATGTATGTTGAGACTATGATCAGCAAGCTCTCCTTTAGATGTAAACGCCGGTGTCCGAGTTCGAAGCAAGATATCGATAAAGCGTTGAGCCATGTGGCCCTTCGAGTGCATCCTGGATCCGATACGAACGGCAGCAGCAGCGGCAGGAGCAGAGACCGTTTCTTTGCCAGTATGTGCAGGACTCAGTGGAGACTCAGGATGGGTCCACCCTGAGTCACGTTTGAAGCCACAGGATTTTATTTTTTTTTGTTGCAGGGACGAGGACGCAGCCAAACAATAAAAGGGTCCTCTCTGGTCGTCCTCCTGTTCTGTGTCCTTTTTTTGCTGCCGTACCTTGCTTCCTCTCCTCCTCTTCTTCTCTCCATACCGTACGTCTTCATTGCCCAGCCCGATCAGAGAACCGAATCAAATCCACCTCGCTCTCAAGTCGATCCCACCAAGCTAACCCTTACCTCCTTACACCCTCTCCTACCACCTCCTTCTACTCCTCCGCCCCCTCACAGGTCAACCGAAATGTCATTCCGCCCCGACTACTGGACTGCCTCCAAGGTCCGCGAGACCTTCATCTCCTTCTTCCGCGACTCGCACGCACACACCTTCGTGCCAAGCTCATCGACCATCCCTCACGATGACCCCACCCTCCTCTTCGCAAACGCTGGCATGAACCAGGTACCTTTCTTTGCTTCGCTCTCCTCTGCACTGATCAACGCTGAACAAAGAGCCCCTTTTGCCATGTGCTCACCAAAGCTGCTTCCTTTCTTCTCTTTTAGTACAAACCAATCTTCTTGGGAACCATCGATCCCAACTCCGAGTTCGGCAGGCTCACACGCGCAGTCAACTCTCAAAAGTGCATTCGTGCCGGTATGTGAACTTGCTTTTTTCGCTGTGAAGTTTATTCTGGGCTACTGGAGTGTGGGAAACCAAGAGCCTCGAACAGGCCCTCCTTTTTTTTTTTTCCTCCGAACTGCGGCTAACCACTAGTTATTCTGATAGGTGGAAAGCATAACGATCTCGAGGATGTCGGGAAGGACACATACCATCACACCTACTTTGAGATGTTGGGCAACTGGTCCTTTGGAGACTACTTCAAGGTACATCTTGACTGGTTTTTTTTTTTCCTTTTTTCCTTTTTTTCTTTTTTTCTTTTTTTGGACAAGTCATCGGCCTATCATGAACCACTCTCTAATCCGTACTAAACATATTTGTAGAAAGAGGCAATCGATATGGGATGGAAGTTGTTGACCGAAGTCTATGGTCTTCCCAAGGATCGTCTCTACGTCACTTACTTTGGCGGTGATGAGAAGCAGGGACTCCAGCCCGATTTGGAGGCCAAGGAGCTCTGGCTCAAAGTCGGTGTTCCCGAGAACCGCATCCTCCCCGGAAGCGCCAAGGACAACTTCTGGGGTATGTCGTTTGACATTCTGCGCAGTGTTACATCGAGGGATATGAATACTGCTGATGCTAATAATCATTGTATCTTTATGTCTTTATGATAAATAGAGATGGGCGAACAGGGACCTTGCGGACCTTGCTCAGAAATTCACTACGATCGTATCGGAGGTCGCGATGTCGCTCACTTGGTAAACCAGGATGATCCCAACGTGCTTGAGGTCTGGAATCTGGTCTTCATGTCTTTCAACCGCGAGGCCGATGGTTCCTTGCGCTCCCTCCCCAACAAACACATTGATACCGGCATGGGCTTCGAGCGTTTGGTTTCAATTCTTCAAGACAAGTCTTCCAACTACGACACTGATGTTTTCGAGCCCATTTTCAAAGCCATCCAGACCGTCACTGGAGTTCGCTCTTACACTGGATTGCTGGGCGCTGAGGACAAGGATGGCATCGACATGGCCTACAGAGTTATCGCCGACCACGTCCGCACCTTGACCTTTGCCATTTCGGATGGTGGTGTGCCCAGCAATGAGGGTCGTGGCTACGTCCTCAGACGCATCCTTCGTCGCGGCTGTCGTTATGCCCGCAGAAAGTTCAACGTCCAGATTGGATCATTCTTTTCCTCTTTGGTGGATACGGTCATTGCCGAATTCGTACGTATACATGTGTTTCTTTTATCGTGAAAGATCTGAAGATTTTAGCCTTTCATTTTGACTGACATTGTTCATAAATACTGCATCTACATTGTGGTGATTGTGTGTATAGGGCGATGCTTTCCCAGAGATCAGAAACCGCGTTGACGATGTCAAGGAGATTTTGAATGAGGAAGAGGATGCTTTCTCGCGCACTCTGGATCGCGGCGAGAAGCTGTTCGATGGATACCTGCAGAAGGCTATCGACTCCAAGTCAACTCATCTCTCGGGAGCCGATGTCTGGCGCCTGTATGATACCTATGGATTCCCAGTCGACTTGACCCGCTTGATGGCCGAGGAGAACGGAGTCTCTGTGGATGAGGAGGAGTTCGCAAAACAACAGGAGGCTGCCAAGGCTCTTAGCAGAGCTGGCAAAGGCTCTGGCGCTGGCGCTGGAGAGACTGTCGCCTTTGATGTCCACGATATTGCTGCCGTTGAGGCCAAGGGAACTGTTCCCAAGACCGATGATTCTTTCAAGTACCAGTCCGGCAACATCAACGCCCATATCAAGTTGATCTACCGCAACCACGAATTCCCCAATGATACCTCCTCGATCGAGGATCAAAAGTCGTTCGGTATTCTCTTGGACCGCACCAACATGTACGCTGAGCAGGGAGGACAGGAGTATGACACTGGCAGCATCACTGTTGATGGCAAGGCCGAGTTTGTTGTCGAGAACGTCCAGGTCTATGGTGGCTATGTTTTGCACACCGGATACCTGAAGTACGGAACTTTCCAAGTCGGCGATGAGGTCGTTGTCCAGTTTGATGAGGTAAGACACAATCTTTAATCGCTCTTGAATGTGTGCTCGTGTATGTTATCATGGAGCATGAACCTAATAGTTTTTGTTCTCTTTTGTTCTATAACACAGCTCCGCCGCTGGCCACTCCGCAATAACCACACTGGAACCCATGTCCTCAACTATGCTCTTCGCGAGATCCTGGGCAATGTTGTCGATCAGAAGGGATCGTTGGTTGCACCTGAGAAGCTGCGCTTCGATTTCACATCCAAGGCCGGCATGACTCCTCTGCAGATTCACGAGACTGACTTGATTGTGAGCGACTTTATCAAACGCAATCTGGCTGTGTATTCCCAGGAAGTGCCCTTGAACATTGCCAAGCAAATCTACGGTCTTCGCGCTGTTTTTGGCGAGGTTTATCCCGATCCAGTTCGCGTTGTCAGCATTGGACACGATGTGAACGAGATTTTGAAGGATGTCTCAAACGAGAAGTGGGCCAAGACCAGTATTGAGTTCTGCGGTGGAACGTACGTGTGATCAGCATTGACATGTTATAGCAGTCCTTCAATTAATCCTTTCTTATGAGGAAACGCATACTAACAATTGACAACCATTTTCGCCATGTTTCCATATAGCCATGTTGCAAAGACCGCGGACATCAAGCAGTTTGTTATCATTGAGGAGACTGGTATCGCTAAGGGTATTCGCCGTATTGTTGCCGTGACCGGAGAGGAGGCCCACCAGGCTGAGAGAGTCGCCAAGGAGTTTGAGCAGAAGCTCAACCATGTCGGATCTGGCGTGCTGTCAAGCTCGGCCTTGGAGCAACAGCTCAAGGTTCTTGCCAAGGAGTTGGACGACATCGTGATCTCTGCATACCTCAAGTCTGTTTTCAAGGAGCGCTTTGCTGGTATCAAGAAGGCATTTGACGATGCTGATAAGGCACGCAAGGCCAAGCAGGTCAAGGACGCTGTTGACCAGTGCAAGCAATACTTTGAGGCCAGCCCCGAGTCGAAGGTGTTTGTCGCCCTGTTGGACGTTGGATCGAACGCCAAGGCCACTGGTGCTGTTGTGACGCATGTCAAGACGCAATTGAAGGACAAGGCTGCATACGTGTTCTCGGTGGATGAATCAAACGGCAAGGTGTCGCACGCATGTGTGGTTGGTCAGACGATCCTGGATGGTGGACGTTTGAAGGCAACAGAATGGGCCGATGTTGTGGTGAAGATCATTGGCGGTCGCAAGGGTGGCAAGGATGACTCTGCCCAGGGCGCAGGCGAACATGCAGACAAGGTCCAGGAGGCATTGGACGAGGCCAGGAAGTTTGCCGAGTCGAAGCTGAACTAGACGAATGACAAGTCTTATATGCATATCTCCCGCGTTTTCTCTTTTCCCATCTCTGTTATTGTTTGCTATTTCGTTTTTTGTGGCCTTTGTCGTTCTTATAATAAATGATTCAGGATAATAGTCTATACAACTACACTTTCTACGGTTGTATATAGTACGCTTTGGTGTGCATTAGCGTGAACCATGGATAGAAAACTCGCTTTTGCGTGAAGGATGTGTACGCGACGGGTGGAGGAGGGCATCCCCGCAAACGAGATGTTCGCGAGTATCTCATGCGCGTTTTTTTTTTCTTTGTCTAAAGGTGGAAGGGAGGAGCATGTCCCTTTTGATATGCACTCTGCTCTGCCGTACAACCTTGTTCACTGGATCTTAACCTTACGCGTTTCGAATGTGTATTCAAGCTCGTCTGGTAGACGTTTTTCCATCCTGATACGTGTGCTCGGCCCTAAGAACAATGACGATTCGGGGTGGGGGGGGGTTGATTCATACAACGTTGAGGCATAGACAATGGGGGTCCCTGGTGCCGAACGTAAATAGACTAGTAGTCTCCATCTCTCTTCGTGTTGAAGGTCGTGGGGCTATGTGTGTGTGCAACGACTGCCAAGAGGCTCAGAGACGCTCATGCACTGATTTATTAAGGGTGGACAGGATTCTGACGTTTAAAGAGAACATGGAGGAAGGAGAGTATATACCACTGAAACAGCCCCGAAGAGAGTCAGAGGATGAGGACGAAATAGAATCCTTTTTGTGCATATACTCATCCATAGTAGCAACAGAAACGTTTTTTTTTTTTTTATATATTGAGATGTTGGTGTTTTATAATTGGTATCGAGCTGAAAAAAATAAAGGAGCGAGAAAGAAGTGTGTGTGTGTTGGGGGGGCTACTTTACAACTTGGCCTGCTTCTGCCCAAAGAATCCAATCTTCTCCTGTGTATCCTTCATCATCGTGTCCAGCTTCAAGGCCAACATGATCGCGCCCTTGACTTTGATCTTTCCCGTCATGAACGCCTTCTGTCCGTTGGTCTTGCCCATGAACAGATCCACAAAGTCCTTATCCTTCATTTCCAGTGTAATATCCGGCTTCAGTCCGTCGATCTTGCCCTTCTTCATCTGACCAAGGCCGTTCTTCATGTCCATCATCCAAACCGCGGTGTCGCCCTTGCCGTTCTTCACATTGAACAAGAACACGCCCTTGACCTTCGCGACCTCGGCCTTGCGTTCCTCCTCCGTAAGCACCTGGAGGTACTCTGCAATCTGGAGAATCAAATAGCTCGACTCGAAGCCATCGTATCCCAAATCACTCTCGGCACCCTTGGGTGGGCCCATGCCCAGGGATCGGAAGATCACATCGAGCTTCATGGCCATCATCATCGGGCCCTTGAGTCCGATCCTGTCGGTGATGAAGGCACGGGCGCCTGAGAGATCACCCGTGGCGAGGGCGACCATGTCATCGTCGACGAGGTACATGGTGATGTCGGGGGTACCGGGGGCGGGTCCTGGTTTGATGATACCTTGGTTCTTGACCTCGGCGTGCCAGACCTTGACCTCGGCGTTCGGGGACTTGTCCCTCTTGACCTGGAATTCAAAGATGCCGTTCACTTGCTTGACGAGGTCCTGACGCTCCTGGGGGGTGAAGGCGTCGAGGGCTTCGTTGAGGCGAGCAAAGATTTCGTCGGATTGGAAGGTTGACATGATTGTGTGATGTGTGCTTTTTTTTTTTGTCGTTGCTGTTGCTGTTGTTGCTGTTATTGCTGCTGGTGCGGTAAGACGCGTTTTGGTTGGTTCTGGCGTTTGGCTGTTGAGGAGGAATGAGGAGAGAAAGTGGATGAGGAATGGAATTGCAGAGTGATGAGGAACCCTTTTATACAAGGGAGGGGAGAAGAGGGGGTGTAACTGAAAAAAAAAAATAGTGGGAACCGGCTGAGCAGAAGCAGCAAAGCGGAATTTGGGTTAAGGTGAATCTTATTTCTCTTTGTTGTGGGGCGGGTTCGGATCCTTTTCACTGCCTGTCTTCTAGGATTGATTGTTCAACCCAACTTCCCAACGCGTTGCAAACACGCGGATCGGAAAGATGGATAGCTGGACTGGGTCAGGAAACTCGTTCGAGAATAGAGAGAGAGGAAGCGAACATGTGTATGTGTGTACGTGTGGGAGTGTGGGAGTGGGTGAGTGAGTGAGTGAGTGAGTGTGTGAGTGAGTGGGAATGCGAGAGACAGAAGTAGCCAAGACTGCAGGATACGGATGGAAGCAAGCAGCAAAAAACAAGAAAGCGGGCATGGACAAGTTATCAAGTTATTCTCGCGAGCCCATTGGCTGACAGCCGCAGCCGTGAGCCGCGGGCAGGGGCATTTTTCTTCTCCCTACCCCACACATCAAACACCACACATGAAATGAGAGACTGGGACGATCCTTTTCCGCACTGCCCCAGCATGTGAAGAGAGAGAGTTCTGAGCCGCTGTCGCATAAGAAAACTAACACACACATACGTTCATACATACACACGCACACACATACACGCATACACGGCACTACAGCTTGTCCTCTCTTCGCGTTCGACCAACAAAGTACGTTTTACAAGTTCCTGCCCCGTAAAACTTCCCTAGAATTGTTCGTCAACCCGGATGCTGCATCCTCCAAGGACAGTTGCCAACGATCGAGTGGCTGTGTGTAATTACATGGATGCAAACGAATCCAGACCCTCTCCATGGTGGGCATCCTTCTCAGTGTAGCAAAACAGGCATTGGGAAGATCATACGGTGACCTCGCGAGAGGGGAGAGCACATGACAAAATCCGGAGCCGCCGTTACACGGGTCGTTTCTAAATCGTGCTTCGCGCGGACGGGTTCTTGGCATTTTCTCTTTACGTCATTTATTTTACAATTGTCGCCCCGAGAAATAAAAAATATTTATATTTGTTGTCGGGTTATGAATTATTGAAAGAACGTCGCGCTTCTTCAACTTTGTTGGTTTTTGCTTCCATGCATTTTTTTGTCTCTGTTCTGTGCAACAACGACGAATAAGGGGACCAGGCCGTAAATCGCGGTGTACGCATGCAACATGACGGCGAATGTTAGGGAATGGGGTGAGCAAAAGAACATGAAAGGACACCACGTGCGTGCAAGCCGAGAACCGAGATCGTCTTCCCTCCCAATACCGCATGCCTGCCTTGCTTGCCAAGCAATGGGTCGTCCCTATATTTCTCTCCCTCTTCTCTCTCTCTTCCTCTTTCTTTCTTTTCTTCCCTCATTGCTCGCACTTGCATACAAATCCGTCCGCTCTCCTGAATAGATTGAGCACTCCATGCTACTGCCATTGAGAGCCAATGGCCAGATACTTCACAGTCTTTAGGGACGATCGTCCTCCCCTCTCCTCGCCGTGGACAGGTCGAACAGGGGCACTGCACGACTTGAGTATACGTATCCAATGGTTGACAGGGGAGAACAGAGCAGAACAGGGCAGAACAGAGCAGAACAGCACAGCATAGCACAGTTGAAAAGACAGAGACAGAGACAGAGAGAGAGAGAGAGAGAGAGTGTGTGTGTGTGTGTGTGTGTGAGTAAAGTGAGACGAACAAAGTGTCGCGTCGTGTCGCGCAGTCCAGTCCATGTGGTCACAGACACACCTTGCGTCCAGACACGCCTGAACGCGTGGCGTTTCAGATCGAGTCTGATTTTTTCTATAGGCGGATAGTGTTTGAGGATCGGGCGGGTATGATCATATTTACCTTCCTTTTTTGGAACCTTCGACAGACGAACCAATCGCGCGTTCCCCTGTCCGTCTCCTTCTCTCGTTGTTTTGCTCGCTCGCTCGTTGTTCTCCTGCCCTTGCCTCTCACTCACTCACACACTCACTCACTCACCCACTCACTCTCGCACCCTCTCGAACAGTCTCTCCGCTTCTATTTTTTTTTTCTGTATACCCACATCTCTGTGCAGTGTATATAGAGCTTCAATAGCCTGTTTTTCACTATGGGGTGCCCACTCTTTTGTTGCTTCCCCCCTCTCTTGCCATATCTTCATCCAAACACTCACTCATTCCTTCATTTACTCCTTCATTCATCTATTCATTCATCTATTCATTCATCTATTCATTCATTAATTCATTCATCTATTCATTCATTAATTCAATCCCCTGGCTCCATTGCATCGCTTCGGGTTCTATCAATGCTGCCGATCGCAGCAATCCCTTCCTTTTAACCCTCCTTCAATTCAGTCCACTCAACGCATACTTTCCGACGTACAAACACCCTGCCCACCCTGCCCAATCATGAATGCAGGTGGCGCCGAATTGTTCAAAACCATATGCGCCGACTTTGAAGACATCCTCCCAAACGATCTCCATGACTCCTTCTCCAAGATTCTCGGCGCACAGTACCTTCACGAAACCAACCACCCTCATCACCAACAACAAGTCCGCGGCATCGTCTGGGGTGCAAGTCTTCGACCCATCATCTCGCTCCATGTCCAGATCACCGAATTCATCCTCACCCTCACAGGTACACCCCGTCCAATCCACGTCCACTTTCTCTACCTCGAAGCCTCGCCACAAACTTATCTCTCGGATGAGGCCCTCAGGGCCCTCGGCATTGAGGACATGGTCGTCGTCGGTGAGGCTCAAGAGCGCTCCAGTACTGGTTCCATGCGCTTGCCCCTGAAGGTCAACGGGTACACCCTCTTGGTCGCCAGATCGCCCTCTGACGCTCACTTTGCGCACCTCAACATCCTCGGCCAAGACTTTATCCAGCTCACTCGTGCAAAGGTCTTCTTCGGCGGCGACATACCGCGCTTCGAGATCAGCTTTGCATAAATCATTTAATCAACTACTATCCCATTGTCCTGTTACTCCCGCCACTCCTCTGTCCTACTCGCATCTCAAGTCCATGAAAAGTCCATGAAAAATCCATAGAATCTATCCAAAATAATGAATACAGTTCATGTGCCTTTTTTTTTTTGTTTTGTCGATATGAATGTCCATGACCATGTATAATACATCAGTTCTGCCGACGAGTTACAGCGTTGTGGTGCTACATGTTCTTTGTCTCTGTTGTTGTTGAATTTGAGTCCTGCTCATTATCCTGTCTCGTAATGCCCCGTTCCCTCTGCTGTCCATTGTTCTCCATGTGTGTCAGCCATTATTGAGTTCCTTGTCCTTTCTGGAAACTGGATCGTTATCACGAAAAGATAGAGTAAACAAAAACAACAAGGCGCATAAAGGAGATTGCAAGGCCGAGTACCTTTTTTTGTTCTTCTTCAGTTTATTGTCTTCTTGCTCTCACAATAATGGGTCCATTGTGGCAAGATAGTCATGATGAATACAACAACAATTCACGACCCCTTCAAGTATCATCCAGTTCCGAGTTTCGAACGGTCGTCATTGGAAAGTCGTTCCAGGCGCCTGTGTCCTTATATGTGGAGGTTGCCCATTCCCCTGGTGATGTTGTTGGCGTTCCAGACAATCAGCCTTCCATCAATCCCAGAGGTCGAGTACTGGTCAACATGATCGCGAGATCCAGCATAAGCACGGATAGAGTTGATGGTGTTCTGGTGATGAGTCAGGACTTCAGTGTCGTTTGAGGAGGTTGACTGAGCACGGCTGTCCATGCGGCGGAAAGTATCTCTAGCAGTGATTCCTACATCAGCCTTCTTGACAGCAGAGTCCAACGAAGCCGAGAATGCCCTGCGTCATGAACAAAACGAGAAGATGACTATAAATATAATGCAATTGCGGACATAAACACCAATGTGTCCCTCCACTACATTACCATTGCTGTCCCTTGGTCTCAAACAGATGAGGAGCACAATCGTGTCCAGCAGCAACGATCTGGTGCTCGTTCAACCAGATTACAGAGAGATAGGGAAGGAAGTTAGATCGGACCGTCTGAACAGCTCCGGTGCCAGGGCTGACCATGGTGATTGTCGAATCGTGTCCACTGAAGGCGAGGGAATCACCGTTGGGCGAGAATGCAACGCTGTGGACCCATCCTCCTGTGCCGCTGGAAAACTCGCCGCAGACAGTATTGAAAGGCAGCTTCTCGCCCCAAGGGGATGGGGCAGGCCTATCAATAAGCGCAAAAAAAAAAAAAAAAAAAAAAACGTATATTACCATCACAGTTACTTCACATAGGCCGATGTGTGAATAGAGTATGTGTGAATAGAGTAATGTAACCATACCTCTTGTCGACGCCCTTGATGAAGGCAGAAAATACGCGCGCCTATGAAAACGGTAGTGATTAGATTAACGTGCCTGAAAAATGCGCTAAATCCTTCTTGGACTAGTCGGAATGATGGCTAATGCGCTAACCAAATTAGTCGCTCTGACCGAATCAATTGAGCGAATGCCTTCCCCAATTGATGGTCGCTATGTTTACCTTCATATCAGCGCATCCAGCAGCGAGCAGGACGTTGTTTGGATGCCAGTCCAGACTGAGGACAGTGCTGCGAATAGGCTTCTTGAGGTGCTTGGACACCCACCAGTCGTTGCCCTCCTCGAAATAACAGACGCTGATACAGCGCGAACCAGACGCCACCGCAAACTTGTCCTCCTCGGGCGACCAACGGACAAAGGTCGCAGCACGGTTGATGCGCAGGAGCACCAAGGTGGGTTTCCACTGCTGCGAGGCCTGGTCAAGGTTCCAGACGTAGGCATTCCTGTCCTGGGAGCAGGTCACTATTCTGTTGGACTTGGGGGCCCAGTCGATGGATGTCACGGGCTTGTCGTGCTCGGCCAAAGCCCAAGCCAAGGTCCAGCCAGCACTAGCCTTACGAAAGATGTTGACGACATTGGAGTTGAAGCAGACTGCCAGCTCTACAAATAATTTATGGGAGAGGGCATGGAGTAATTTAGTAAATAGTGAGAGGCGAGTACTGCAGAGGCACGATATGGTTTGTGGTTGAGATAGGAATTTGTCGACGTTTATTACCAGTGTGGTCCTGGTTGAAGGCGTGGCACGAGATGGGACCGAGACCGAACTCATAGACGATGGGCGACTCTGCAGACATGGCTCAGGGCAAAGACTTGAAGAAGAACAGAGAGTTATATTTTAAGCTAAAAGAGAGAGGGAAGTGTCGGACGCTAGCAGTCTACGACGTGAAAGGGAATGGAAGTAATGGGAAGGATGATGATGATGGCGATGAATAAGAGAAGGGAAGGTCGGTAAAAAAAAGGGGGAATATGTCTAAGAGCGTCATGATGATCCTTAATTTTGTAATTGAATGTGCAGCAAAAACCACAGCTCTCTGGGAAAACCCCCATTGAGCCAAGACATCGGTTGAATTTACATTCAACTCATCAAGACCATGGACGAAGTGCGAGAATACCATCGTCAACGGGTCAGGCAGGCACTCCTCCGTAGCGCTAGTCCCGGGAGTGGCGCCAGCCACGACTGCAACCAGGTGATCAATGCCTCATTGTCTGCAGGTGAGATGGGCATGGCATGGACGCGCTTTGCCGCCAAACAATGCTCTTTTTCACACGTATCCTGATCCCAATCAACCAATCATATTCTTTACATTCTACAGCCGAGAGGGTCCTCCATATCCCAGAACTTGCCCATCTCATACTCAAGCTCACCCCGCTACGGGCTTGGCCCTCGTTCTGTCGCGTCTCGAAGTGGTGTGCCCAAATCACGCTCCCGATCATCTGGAAAACCGTTTCTTGCAGGACGAACAGGACCTATACAATGATTGCACCGCATTTTTATAAGCATATACATCTCATACAGATGCTTGCCTTCCCAGGACCACGGAGTAGTGCAATATCGCGTTTTGTGGAAGAGACTGCCTGGATACACGAACTCAACTTGACATCACTGAACCTCCGAGAGTCCGGGGTGACGACAGAACAACTCGTATGGTTGCTACAGCATTCTCCAAAGCTGCGCTCGATCGATATCGTGGGATGCCGAAGCCTGGAGCAGCACCCATTGCAGACCCTTCACCCATACACACATCTCGAAGCCATAGCTTTCACATACGATGACCCATTCCCAGCGTCAGGGCGCTATCCCGAGAACGTGCTAGGATCTTGGCCGGCTCTCAGGCACCTAAATTTATCTGGATACGTTCTCTCCAAGGATAGGGCCGCCTTTCCTGTATTCCTGAGCGAGAACACAAGTTTGTTGAACTTGAAATCGTTGGAGCTGGTGCAGCTGCCAGAATGGGCCGACAGAGCTCTCACAAAACTTATCGGCAGTGGCAATCAACTCTCCAGTTTATCACTGACGGGATGCAACTTTACTCCTCAGGAGCTGATCGATCTGTCGCCATCTTTACACTCTCTATCTTCACTCACGATCCGGATTTGCTCCCAAATCAAAACGGAACACTGTTTGTCGATACTACAATCACTCCCTCGGATCCGTCATCTCGACTTGGGGGGCTGTTTTACGTCTGACTGGTTCGAAGAATTTGTTAGAATAATGCCCCATATTGTTTCGCTGACTCTGACGTGCGACGAAATTTCGTCCGCTGGGCTGAAGCAGGTTTTCATGAACTGTCGTGCACTCCGTTGTCAGATCATCTATACCTCCTTAGGACCGAACTCGATCACGACCTTGTTTGGAGGCGAACCATGGAACTGCCTACATCTTCAAGAGCTGAGATTGAGCGGCAGTGATTGGTCTCCTGCAGGATGGAAAGATAGGAGTGGAATGATGAAAATCATGTGGTCCAGGTTGGCGACCCTCAAGCGATTACGCGTTTTGGTACTGCAGAACGATATCGGTACTCATCAACTGAAAAATGAACTGGGGGTTACGCAGCTGGGAAATCTCCCTCAACTCGAGCTGCTTTGTCTGACAGGATTCGGGATCTGGCACTACAAGGATGTATGGTGGATTGCGGAGTCGCTACCAGAGCTAGACAGGTTTTGCTACGCGCCCAAGGAGATGAGTACGCCTCTCTGGTCATGGCTCCGTCTGAATCGACCGGACGTGTGGATCATTCCTCTGAAAACAGATGCGGCCCTTGGATGATGGCGTCTGATTGTCTTTTTTTTTTCTGCAATAAAACATATCAGGATGATGTCGATCATGATATGAGCCATCAGTATGCTCGACAGACTGCTCTCTGTTATATTTTTGGGTGTAGCCGAGCACAGACAAGCGTAGGTGAAGCATGGGCGCGTAAATGGCATGGCCATGACAATGGCTGTCTCGGCCCAGTTATGCACCGCTCCATGACATCAACATTGCTATGTGACCTATATAACCCTTACCTTTCTACTCCTCTCTCTCTCTCTCTCTTTCTCTTTTCTACTTTTCATCTTTTCCTTCCCTTTCCTTCCACGTAAGCATACATTTACAACCATCCACTTGAATAAAACCAGCGTACCCACTTACACCTATATTCAAACAACCGCCACGTCCAACATGGAGGAACATCTCACTGTAAGTTCATGTGCTCGGCTTTGATCTACTTTGATCTGCTATGGCAACTCTTGCAGCTATACGGTGTGACATCTTGCGTTTAACTTCATTCTCTAGTATATTTGCTGAAAAAAAAAAAAGAAAAAAAGAAAACTAATGATACTAATGATACTAATGATAAAAAATAGATGCCCACCCACAAATGCCATGAGGCCAAGGAGTCCGAGGGCCAGACCACCTCAGGTATCGCGGCGCTTTCTGCCGGTGCAGCGATGCTCCAGAGCTTCAAGCCCCTCGGCGGTATCTGTGAAGCCCTCTGCGGTCTGCACTTGTATCCGTAAGTTGGTTTTTTTTTTTTAAAAAAAAAAAGTGTTCATGTGTCTGCTTCTTTTTCTATGGATTATCAGTTGAAATTAATACGCTATTAATTTATTTTACTCCTTTTTCATTTTATTTCTCTTGATGGGTAACCGTGCATGGACGGATGTAGAGAAGACCCCAAGCGCCAGGTGATCGCGTACCACTACTGCCATGTGATCGATGAAGACCGCCGCCAGTGTTTGCTTTATGACAGCGATAGCGTGGATGCCAAACTGATCGGGGTCGAATACGTCATTTCTGAGAAGCTGTTCAAGTGTGAGTGCGAAGTTTCAAGTATTTTGTTTCAAAAAAAAAAAAAAAAAAAAAAAAAGAGAGAAAAAAAATAATAATTGGTGTGCACAGCATGAACAATTTTTCTCACCTCGCCCATTTCTATTTCTATTTTTTTTTTTTTTTTTTTTTTTTTTTGGTGTGTCTGGCGGGCACAAACAGCACTCGACGACAACGAAAAGAAGTACTGGCACTCACACAAGTACGAGGTCGAGTCCGGTCTGCTCGTCCAGGTCAGTAAGAGTCTCGTCCCCGAGACCGTCGTCCAAGCGGCCGAGCTCGTCGCACTCCAGGCCCTCGTCAACACCTACGGCAAAACTATCCAGCTCTGGCCCGTGGACGACCAAGGCGAGTGTTCCAGCAAGGTCCCCACGGGCCCGCCCCAGGTCCTCTTCAGCTTCACCCGCGACGACCAGGTCAACCCCGACCTCCTCGCCCGGCGTGATCAACAAATGGGCATCTCCACCGCCGCTAAGCGCAAGGAACGAGAGGGAAAGATTCAGGGAAACCCCGTGGCGGAGGGGGCCGATCAGTGGTTGAAGGGCAATCCCTGGCAGATCTATGATGAGGGCTCCCATGTCTCTGTGAAGAAGGTCTAAGTGATGAAGGGGGGGGGGGGGAAGGAACGTTTCTCTTGGGAAAAAGAAAAAAAAAACTAATTTTTCTCACGGACCTTGGGGCGCATACATCTCATTTCAAATGCAATTTGTAGTCTAGCGGCATCCTAATTTGCAAATAAAATTCACAAAGAAAAAAACGGAACTACAAATGCCAATAATATTTTTGATTCTTTTTTTTTTCAGCGCGCTGCAGATGTTCTGCTCTTTCGTTTGTTTATTTTTGTCCCGGGAGAACATGGATTTTGTCTATGACTAATCTCTGTCCATGTACTCGGCAGGAGGAGCATAAGGATGATAATGCATTGGTTGTCCATCCAAAGGGCTGAGCGGGGACATCATCTGCATACCCATATGGGGTCCGATGTTGACAGACATGCCTTGATGTTGGTACTGGTGATGTTGTTGTTGAGAAGGGTCGTGCGCTACATGTCCCATGCTCTGCGCCTGCGCATAGTCGAAGGAAGGATGTGCCTGCATGGCATGAAAGTGTTGTTGTTGCTGTTGTTGTTGTTGTTGTTGTTGCTGCTGCTGTTGCTGTTGATGATGGTAGGCCTGGGCATGCGCCTGCGCTTGCGCCTGGATTTGTTGCTGTTGATGATGATGTTGTGCCTGGATATGTGCTTGCGCTTGAATCTGTGCTCCCGTTTCCGCTTGTGCCCGTTGCTGTGGCTGCGGCTGTCCCGCAGCCGCCGAGCCCGAGCCCTTACCCGTCTCGTAACGGGACCTCCGGCGGATGACATTTCGCTTGAGGGAGATTGGTCTGTGGACATGGTGCAGCTTGTAGTACAGCCCGCATGCATTGCAAAGGATTTCGCCAGCGTCGTCCTTGCGCCACAAAGGGGTCAATGTCGTCTTACAATTGGTGCATGTCGGCTGCAGGCCCGCCGCCGAAGTCGACGATCGAGATCCGGGTCCTCCTAACGAGGACGACAACGAATCATCTGCACATGCACCGTCGAGGAGAAGCCCGTCGCAATCGCGCGGGTTTTGGCTGGCCAGCATGGGCTGGTCACCAACGTTGGCGCCGCCGCTCTTGAGGCCGCCCTTTGCCACACCGGCAGTTGCGCCATACGAGTTCCCTTGCTGCTGTGTTTGCTGCAGATGTTTGGGCCGATGGACCGCATGCAACTTGTGGTACAGTCCACAGGCATTGCATAATGGTTCGTTGTCGGCTGAACGTCGCCAAAGCGGCGTCACCGTAACACCGCAGTTCTGGCATCGGACACCCATGCCGGCCGCGGCCCTGATCGCTGCCTTCGAAGGCTTACGTGCCTTGTTCTGTTTGGCGGGCCTAGGCTCAGTTTGGGACCCATCCGCAGAGGAGGCAACCGAGGAGGATGTCGAAGTCGAGGAGAGACGGCGGTGGCCTGAGAGGTATGGATGGTCCGATCCGTGGCTGTAGGCTGTCGAGACCGGAGAGATCGTCGGCAGCGAATTGGATCGGTTGAGAAGTACGGTGGGGCCATTGTGACTCTCAACCATCGGGGATGTAGGCGTCAGGGGCGATAATGGACGTGGCTGCCGAATGATATACATGGACTGGGGACGAGGCGTCGAGGGCAGGTCATGACTAATACGGAGCGGTGAGGGCGTCGAGGACGGCGTGTTTGGAGGAGAGATCAGACCAGCTTGGAGTTGGATTTGTTGCAGGTTCTTGGGCCTGAGCGACTGCTGTGAGCGAATGGGGAAAGGCTGTTGCTGTTGCTGTTGTGGAAGGATAGCTGGTCGGCTCTGATGCAGCTGCTGTTGTTGTTGCTGTTGCTGGTTCTGAATGCCTGGTGGGATAATGCTCTGGATCGCGCTTGGCTGTCCTGTTAGGGCCTGTGTGGCTGCAGTCAGATACGATATTGGCGAAGAAGGCCAGGCAGAGAAGATGTCTGCATTGTTCTGATCGAATGGATATTCTTGGTATGAGTTGAACTCGAGCGGGGTCAGTTGAGGACGGGGGCTGCTACCCATGCTGATGTCGCCAATAGACAGGGCCAGCCAGTCTTGATTGGATTGAAGGGTGTCGAGATTTGAGAGCGAGTCCTTGCTGTCCAGCAGCAAGGGTGCAGTCATGTTGTTAGAAATACAAGAGGAGAAAGAAGGGGCCAAGGAGGAAGGAGAGGCAGGTATTGATGTAGCTACAGATGTGGTTGAGGTAGCGGTGGGGTAGAACGATAAAGAGGAAGGGACGGCAGATGTCGAGGTGGGCATGGACATTAGGACCTCTTGTGGAGATGTGCTAGTTAGCGTATATGAGGTCAAATTAGATGCTACTGTGGTTGCCGCCATGGTCGCTGCGGTCGTAGATGTGACGGTAGCACCAGAAGAGGACATGGTTGTGGCTGTGGTGGCAGACGGCACGGCCGAGGATGTCTCCGTGGGGAAGCCAAAGTCATTCGAGAGGAAGGGCATCGCGAGTATGCTTGGTACCATCGATGCTGCTGCTGCTGCAGATGTCGTGGGATGGCTTGCGTCTGAGATAGGGTAATCGGCCATGATATACATATGTGTCGGATGAAACTTGGGGTGTGGAGGTGTGAGGGTATGAAGATGTGATGTGAAGCAGAGAGGGGAGAAGCTAGAAATTGGTTAAATTAGTGGGGGGAAATACAAAGTAGAAGATAAGTGTGCCAAATGCGAAAGAAAAGAGACAGCTACGAAAAGGTAGGAGACAGGAAGAGTAGAAGAGGAAAGAAAAAAGAGAGTGTGAAAGAGAGAAGCAACAGAAGAAGAGAAGGTACGACTTTGCCGGGATGGACAGAAGATGCGTGTTTATATAAAATCCAAGGAGCACACCTCATTCCGTATTTGGGTACGACTGAGGGTATTGAATGGACAAAGTTAATCAAACCAACAAGCTGGCAGGGATCCGCTTGGGAAACAACACACACAGACAACCACGGAGAGGATGACTCTATGGGACTCAATACTCTGGTTATAATAGTTGTAATAAAAGTTACCGGCAACCATGAAAATAAGAATAAGAATGAGAGAGTGCCCATCTGAGTTCACAATTTCAATGTGTTTTTTATTACTACTCTTTAGAGTACTGTTGAGTGGACCCTTTTTTCTTCTTTACTAGTTGGCGGTTCAAACGAAGAACCCTCAATACTTATTTCATACGGCGATGTTGCATGTATGAGCGCACGAATGGAGTGCAACCGCGCCAAGCGCAAGAGTATTGTATTGTAGTGTGAGTGAATTAAAAAGTGTCTGTCAATATATGGTTGCTGCAGTATATGAATATGGTGTATATACAGTAGACTACCCGTACGCAGCATGAATGGGGGGAGGGGGGTGGGGTGAAGCTCAAGAGAATAACATACCTGTTTCCATTCATTCGCGCAAATTAATTAATATGTCAATTGATGCGTGACCGATGCTCACCTTTACTTTGTTCTGTTTTCTCTTGCTCTCTCACTCACTCTCTCACTCACCCGCACTCGCTCTTGCTCTCTCTTCGTGCGTCTCTGGCTCGCCTGTCTGTTGTCTGTTCCCCATCATCTCGCGCCCACGAGCGCCTCTGCCCAACTCATTCGCCTATTCAGTTCTAATGGGGCCTGTTTGTGTAACACCCGCTCTCCTAAAACAACGCCTTAAGTAAACCTTAATCCCTCTCCCTCTTTCGATGGCGAGTTGTGAATGAATTGAAGATAGATTACTGATCGAGACAGTTATCCATCTGGCCATAGTCCCACACATCATCAACTAGGAATCGGACCGTTACATAGTCAGAATGAAAAGCACACAGGTCCAAAAAAAAAAAAAAAAAAGAAAGAAGGAGACAGAGGGCCTAGATACTCAATCTCCCCCTTCCTCACCAATCTGTTGCTCCCGCTTATTGCTGTATACGTTTGTGTGGAGCGCACCAAGCTGCCGTCGTCGCTGCTGCCGTTGCACATGGACATCTGCAACATACTGGGATGTGTCCGAACAATACGCACCGCACAACTCCCTGGCTTTTTTATTTTTATTTTTATTTTTATTTTCCCTCTCGCGTCATCGCCACTCACACCCACAGGCGCAACGCATATCGCCACCCCTGTGGAATAAAATGAAGAAAAAACAGGGGGTGGGGTTTAGGGAACTCCGTATTTTTTCCTATGGCAGTGTACTTCGCCATCCCCTGTTCTTTCATGCAACTGTTCCATGAACAATGCAGCCTGAGAGACATCTGGACATCTTTCCTCGTGGCCGTCTTTTTCTCTGCATGACAAACATCCCAGCGAGAACCAAAAGGCGCCTCGTCAAGCGTAGAGTCACCATGCAGCGGCCAAGGACGCCGTCTTGAAACGATTGCAAGCACATGGTCATGCAGTATATCTGCTCATGCGCTATTCCTGTGCTCTGATGGGAAGAGCACTCGGCTTCAGGCTGAGGATACACGCATCCAGGTCCTCCTCGCTTCACGACCCTTTGAACTCCGAGGGCCCGTCGTGCCTTTAGTGACAGGCCCATGAAAACATGTCCCTCAGAAGACTCTTTTCTTTCCCATGGAGAAGAACAGGCAGGGTAAGGAAAATGGCTAAAAAAAACTTGTGCATGTGTCTGTTCGCCATGGAACAATTCCAACTATACCGTTTGCTTGCCTGCCTACCTCTGCCTAGCCTCGTCTTTTGCGTGAGATCACATGGATTGGACTCATTCGGCCCCTGCTTTTTTTTTCATGAACTTTAGGGACCAGATCAAGACTCCATTTACGATGACGAGTAGCGTGAGCGCTGCATTATGTCGGTGCTTGTAAACCCTATACCCGGACTCAGTAAAATGAGGCCAGATCAGACAGATTCTTGAAGTTGGAATACATCACTCTCGAAGCAAGAACACAATACCTTGTCAAACTAGGATGGTTTCTCATTAATTTCGCTCCTAATTCTCTTTTCCTTCTTCATCCTTTGTCTTTGTCTTTTTTTTTATTTTTTTGATGCTGACTGTTGAACCTCTCGACTTCGTACTTCTCAAAGAATGCTTGAGTGAATGCATAGTTTGCCCATTATAAATGAAAGGATCAAAGACGGCGCTCCATCACTTGTTAGTTTATTTCGATAATGTGGATCCTTGCACGTCATCTATTCTTTACTCTGGCGAACGACGAATCTGAATCTTCCAAAAAAAAAAAAGGCAGTAACGATGACAACCTGTAGGCATACATCTATTCGATGCTATCTTGCAGATGAATGGCGCAATAGTCTCATGGTTATGCGTATGGGCAGTAGAATGTGTAGAGCGTGTTGTGCCCTGTAAGTCTAGGACGCGTGTTACCGTAGACATCTAGACATCTATGCGGCGCGGACTCACCATGCGCAATGGGTACCATGGAAATGTACATGTAGGCTATGTACCTTTGCTGGCCTCGTTGCGGTTTCGCTCTGAGCGCGAAGGCTGTGACCTTCAATTTTTTATGGTGGGCGAGGGCTATGAGGGCGAGTGATTTGTGGAGAGGGGGCATGCAAGCACGGGTTACACAAGGCGATATCTTATCTTGGGCCAATCGAATCTCTCGATGGGCATCGTTTTCTAAACCTTGAAATGGCTACACTTACGTACCATTTCGCCCTCTTACATACCATGACACCCCAGACTGATCCCCTCTGTGCAATGGCAGCCCTCCCCCCGCGCTCTTTATCCCCCGCCCCACTCATTTCAGCAATGGAATGCGACAAAGGAAGGCAAATAAGAAAAAACACATGCCTCATACGGTATAGAAAGTCAATATGTACAAGTAATTAAACTTAGGATGTGAGCAGCAGATGTAGCAAATGATGATCTTCGGTGGAATTTGCATCTGACCCCATCTGCGATGCCAGAAATGAGAAATGAAGCTGCTGTCGACATGAACGCTATTTCACCCAAACATACGGCTCTCCTGTCCCTTGCTTCCCTTCCACGTCTAGGCAGGGTCCTGAGATAGCGGCAAAGATAAATTAGTGTTCCCATCTCTGGAGGCCCACCATCTTGGCCGCAGGGTTAGAAATCACAACGATCAACATGGTTGTGCACACACAGACTGCAGCAACGACGCTGCAATACCGTAATCCGGAAATTGGAGCTCACTGCGTTCTGTGTCGGAGCTTACACTTCATTGCATCGAATTTTTTGTGGGGCGGAGCCAGGAGGGGGGTAGAACATGCCTCCTGACGGTTTTTTCCGTGGACATTGCGCTTCCAAGCAGAAAAAGACAGTTCAAATGAGATTGGTATCGTGCATGAACATAATAGATCGTGGTGGGGTGAGACAGATGAGCAGCACACACGCTGCTGCTGATGGAGATAGCAGAAAACCCTTGCATACACCTTTGTCGATTTGTTTACAGGCGCCCTTTCTGAGCCTTACAAGGCAATGTCACACCAAAAAAAAATAAAAAATACGCCCATGGTTAAACACGAAGAGGTCATTCTTATTCTCAGTTGTCTTGCTGCCTCTTGGATCGGTGCGCTACCTGTCTGTTGCAAACCTTGCGCTTAGGTGAGCCAGACGAGCACTCGCCGGCTAGCAATCCCTATTCCTTCAATCGCTAGAAGGGGTTACATGAGTATGTTGTTTGAGTGATGTGTCTATTGTCTGTTTATTGATTTGTTGTCCCAGTTTTTGATCGCCCATTTTTTCTTTTCCCTGCTTGCTCTCGTCTGGAATCCTGATGTAAAGCTCCGTTGGAATGGTTGTCGGAATCAAAGTTATCTCTGCCTACAGTTATATCATTGCTAGGTCACAAAGTACTTTTGCTAGACTCGCATGCACTCTCTTATCAAGCGGCCTATCCACATACCCCTCCTGCATGCATCCCTTGCGTGTGTTTTGGTCAGCCCGCAGCTCATTTCTAATCAACCCTTGAGACGTTCAAGGGAGGATGCGTTATCCTGACAGATATCTGTAGCTGCTGTTATTACCTCCAACGGGTCTGTTCTTCAATGTACTACATCATTAAAATACGATAACGAGAAATCAAGTGAATGACGGTATTCAAGATCATTGCGATGTCTTCGACGTGGGTCTCAAATTTCCCTTATCAGGCTTGTCCGAGCAAGCCCATGAGGACATAGGACTTTTACATTCGTGGAGACCTACTTCCTTTCGTCCGTCCTTTAGGCGCGTCTCCGCCAAAAGGAAAAATAAATTACTCTTATCGCCGCGTTGCTCATTTTCGTAGGCACGTTAATGCGTCCCTTGAAGATTGCTCAAAGGCTATGCGGCGCTCTTTAGTATTGACTTTTTGCCTTTTGGATCTCACCCTTCCACCACATCCTCAATCCTGGGATGCAGGATCCGCGATTGAATGCATGGTCTATTGAACTTTAACCAACCTGGGCCTTGTGAGCGTGGAAGCAGCTTCATTTTCCGTGGAGTGAGCCCTTGCAGTAGAAAAAAAACCCCCCCTTGAGATTCTCGTGGAAGCGAAGACTCCGTGTCGTTAAAATTCCGAAGGTGTAAAGGATGCTAAAGACGCATGATGATCTTTGTCGGACCGTCCGTTCGAATGCCTAGAACTGCTTCGTACACGTATCTTATTGGACCTTCCAGTGCAGGATCGCGGATTAAGCGATCGAGGACCAAGCGATCGAGGACCGACAAGTGGTTCGTCCTTTGCCTCTGGCGCACTATCGCTTGCAGCCAGACTAGGCTTGCTTGACCTAGGACGAATGACCAGCGTGGGTTTCCTTTTTCCGATCGACTGAGGTAATCAAGACGGAGAGGAACAAGTGGCCTTTTTGGTTTTGGATGCATCGAGTCTGTGGTCAAATAGCATTGCAGCTATGACTATAAGTGTCGTTTCTTTCTCCTCTTCAATGGATCTTGCATTCAAATCGCAAGTCCGCATTGAATATGATTCGTATTTGCAGGTTGAGCTTTGTCGCACGTCTAAAACCTCAAAGAAGACCAGTAACAGGTATTACAATACATAGACTGAAGAGAAGGGTAATGACTAGTGAGTCATGAACAAATTGTTTAAGCTAAGGCTTCTTCAATGGCGCCCGACTTCGGCTCTCTACCTAGGCTCATTGCTCGCCATGCAAGGGCGCACCCTGCTTAAATGAATGTTTTCTTTGTTTTTGTTTCTAAGAAGCGAATGAGCTCATAAACAACTCCCTTGCAGTTCTCATGTTTATGGTCAAGGATCTGCCTCCCCCCGCGCGTTTCACAGCAATGTTCCGTACCTTCAATCGCGCTCTCTATTTCAAGTATTAATTCCAGGGCAATATCTAATGAGGTAAGGGAGTATGTGATGTGAGCCGGGCGGTTTAATTTGCTGGGTCAGAGTGGAAGTGTTCTCCGTGGAACATTGTCCGTAGGTACTCGCGATTTTGATACCCCTTGGAAGATATTGTACAACGGTAGATAGTATATCTTTCGAGTACTCTCCTGCTCTGCTGTTCAGTATGTTGAATGTGCCTTGATCGCGAAAAAATAAAATAAAGGGATGATGATTGAGTAACCTCTAGACGCGCAAGACAAACATAACTACTGGATGTAAGACCATAGTTTTGAATAAACGCGCTGGTATAGACTTTGCAGCCGAAGTTGAGTGAAATAATCACGCGTCAAGTGTCAGCACGAAGAGGCGCAATATAATGAAATAAAAATAAGACATCAATAACACGCGAACGTGCATCTCTTTAGTCTGAGTGGCATGCAGGAGCGCGAATGGTTGGTGCGTCTGTAGCCTTCAGGAACAGACTAAGAAAAAGCATACAGGTTGTCTACGTGAAGACTGTCGAGAGGTCTAGAGCCGAGGTCATTACGATGGTCTATTGGTCACGCGTTCAGGCTATGGGCCTGACTTTTTGTTTAGTGTCTAGAGTCTCACTGGCGCCGTTACCTCTTCAATCTTTCAAGACAGTTCGTTTATTGATGTTTTTCTTTCTTTCATAGAATAAGGAAATGCTCACTGCCTTTTTTTTTTACCCCGATGGCTGCCCTTGCATGGTGCCCCAGGTCTGGTAAGACACCCTTGCATTGTAATGTTTTGGGTCATCCTGCAGATGTTATTGCAGGGGTAAGTAATATACCTGCAGCAAGAGCATTTTTGGCCCCACACAGCCAATGCACTCCATCATAACAACAGCTCCACCTGTCCGCAATAATAACAGAAAATAACAGCGACAGCGGCAGCAACAAGAATGAAAGCAAAAAAGAAACATCAACAAGAATGTTGATCCAGCTGCACGATGCGATAATCTACATACAGGTTCTGCTGCTGCTCCTCATTTACGACCGCAATATAGCCACGCACGAGAGCAATTTACAGCTCTTGGGATTTTGGGCCCAGGTACTTCATTTATCATGCATGTGTGCATGGACAGCAAGGAAATTGAGTTGCATCCTGCTGAAAAGCTTGGAGGTCTGCTCCAGGGCTTGTTTTGGGAGGAGAGGCAGTGTCTAAATTGTTACCATCACCAAAGTATTATGGTGTTAGCGAAAGAGTTATAGTTTCTCTAGATAATTAGCCCTGCCTCATCGCAATGCGCAAGCTTGATTGTAAGGAAAACAAGCAGCGCCTGGGGAGCGGGTGGCTCAAATAAGGTTTTCTGAAATGGCACTCCGTTTGTTCGAAAGAGAAGAAGGTTCATTGTCACAATGACACTGCGCCCTTTGCTAAACTACCCTTGGCAGACTCACAGTCGGCCATGCATCTCGTTTTGTGGTGCTCGTTGCGGCCTTTCCTCAACCATCGCAGGCTGGATCTGGACAGCAGTCCAACCTAGAAAGGTTCTCCCCCAAGAGAATGGGTTGTCCATTGGTGCCTATAGCTATCTATCCATTTTACAGTTTTCTTTGTACGACCTTGGGCGGGTTCAACACCGCTTCAGTATGGACATTAGAGCACTAAAGAGACATCGGAGCAGCCGTCATGTGGAGAACACAAAGGCAGGAAAGAAAGATGCCGAAGATGAGGCAGGGTTTGAAGAAAGTAGATGGTGGACTAACGGCTTACAATGGCTGATGGGAAGGTGTTTGTTTTTGGCATGCTTGTCTGCATGCCGTTTTGAACAACGTGAACGGTGTTGGAATACAGGCCTAAAAAGAGTGCATGAATGAATACAACTTGACGCAGTGTCATTCGAGCTAGGTTTAACAAGCATGCAGCTCAGGGGGAGGCCCCATGCTCTAGTCGCCTACAGGGACAAAGATATATTGGATATATCATAGACTACCGCTGGTTTTAATTTCCAACAGGTACAATGAATCTGCTGAAGGACGCGGAACATGTCCTCTTTTGGGCAACTCCTGTGCTGTTTTGACAGGCGCCCCGAACACACTAGCCAACAGGCCCACGCTTGAATGGGCTAAAAATGACTGAGTTGAAAGAGCGACGCCTCATGCCTGTTGTATTCACTGTGCCCACTGTAAATTTCTCTCACCAGAAACCCATCTCCCTGCTTCAATGCAATTGCAATTTGGAGTATGACAGAGACGCAACATTTTCGCGAGCTCCCTTTTACTATGAATGCTTTCCAGGGGCCAGAACGTTTTCTTGCAAAGGCGTACGACACAGCAAATCCAGGACTTATTTTTGAGACGGCAATCTTCGGTAATTCCATAACTCATCATTCAACCGAAAGGAGGGGGGCTCAATCGTCGCAGTGCACTGCGCGTGATGAACACGCTCTCTCTCGAGGAGCCGGAGAGCCGGAACCGTAGGGAACATACTTACACAACACTGCATAGTTTTTCAATTTCTGGAGAACACAGAGCCCACGCTGCTGCTCCACGGACTCAACTCAATAATTTCTCAAGGTCTAAAAGCCATGCATACACTTTATCGAGGCAAAAAATAAAAAAACAAAGTAGAAAAATGCGGGGCGGAGGGTGAGCGGAGGGTGAGCGGAAGCCCTCGTCTATCCTGTCGTTTTCGCCGTCGCGCCTGTTTTGTCCGCTCAAGCGTTAGGCTACAGCTGTTTCCCAGGATGTTGATTTGTAGACCCATTACGCGATTTTATCGCGTCCCCATTGGCTGGAACCTCCCATCTCGTCTCGTTGCTTTCAGCTTCTCCAAAGTCGAAAAAAGGGCTAGTTGTTGTTGAGGATATTGGGATTGTTTTTAGTTTGTTTAGGAACGTCCGGGCGTTGGGTAGCGACGTTTGTTTTGAGCGGATTGACCACTATATAAAAAAATAGACAGCTTACCAGCGCTTACTGCCACAGTCCAGAACGCGAGGTTCAAACTTTCCCCAAAAGGTGTAACACTGCAATGGGCCTGTGCCATGTGCCAATGGTAACGTGACATGCTTGGCGGCGAAGGCGATGTCGGTGTGTGGAATGAATGCCAAGAGCGCATCTCCGAACTCGACAACATCACCGATCTAGAACAGGGACGACACAGAGAAACCAGGATGTCGTTCAACAGCGAGACCATAGAGAGTATGCGTGCTAGCAGCGCGTTTGCGGACCTTCTCCAGCGGCTGAGTCTTGCGGACCCCACGTCCGAAAGGGATGGTAGTACTTCCAATGATACCGGCAAAAAGTTTGGGGCACAAATAACACCAACAGTCGATTATACCCTCGCCAGAGAGCAAACGGAACTCTCCAGTCAGCGCTCCAGCCTGGACTTTTCATTTTCGTCGCTACATATTTCTGCGGAGGAATGGGAGGAGATCGACCGAGAAAGCTCGGGTATTGCATCTACAGTATTACCACCAAAGGACGACACGGACGTCTCTTTAACAGTGTCCAAGGCGTCCAGAGCCGAGACAGCCGTCGATGCGGTCAATATTGAAATCTCTCGCCAGGTTCCAGCCCACGGCAAGTTCAAGTATTCGCCGTCAGTGCTCGCCCACCATGCTAATACTGCATGCGAGAAAATGTTACATCTAAAGGGGGCGCAACTGTGGCAAGAAGCCCTTCAGCCAAAACCAGGACATACCGACAATGGCCGCAGCAGAGAACCAGCAACCATTGCAGAGGCAACCATGACGCGGGGCATAGTTTTCGAGAGCCGCCTTCAGGAGAGCATACCGAAGAAAGTCGACTGCGAGGCTGAACAGGACAAGGATTCGTTCTTCCGTCTGGCGATCAGTGATTATGGCACCACGCTTTGTCAGGCGATTTTTTCGCTCGACGACAGCTTTTACACCCCGGAGATGAAGGAGGCTGGGATTGTTTTTGGGCGATTTATCCCAGATTTTATCAGAATCTTGCGAGGGACACTGCGACCGGACGGGACACACAAAAAGAGGTTGTATATCATTGATGCCAAGTCATCCTCATATATCAAAGTCAGCCACCAGGTAAGGAAACAGGATAGCTGTTAGATTCTCGCTGGGTAACAGAGCTGCAGATGTTTGGAATAAGAACTGGCGTTCATTACTGACGTTCATTCTTGTCTGAACTTTACTCTAGTTCCAAGTAACGCTGTACGCCATCTTTCTCGACCACCTCATCAAACTGCACGGGCAGCAGGATCTTGTAGAAGTCGATTTCCGGGGCGGTGTCTGGATTCCGCAGCACGAGGAACCAACGACCTTCTCACTCGCGTTCATGCGACCAGTCGTGGAAGAATTTATTTTCAGGGACTTACCCGCTATATTGAAGAAGCCCCTTCGGTCTGTTGTTTGGCACATCGACAACTCTTGCCATCAATGCGAGTTCCTTCCCAGATGCAAGGGGGATGCTCTTGAGGAAAAGACCCTCTCGGTGATCCCTCTGCTCTCCAAGAGGTCGGCCCTCTGGATAAAATCGATGTTCAAGACATCCGTTGCTCCACAAACAGAGATCGAAGATCTTGAGGACCTGATAAAAGATCATGCCCACCTTAGTGACCTGCACAAGTCGTCCTTTACAAAGGTGCTTCATATGAACGAAGACAGAGACAGTGTGCTGTTGGCCTCTTATCGAGAGCGTGCGGTGAAGGTAAGGACTTCTCTGGACGTATCTATGTATACCTTGCGTCTCGCTTGACAGCAAGCTTACAGAAACATTCATTCCATTGGGATAGGTTCTGCCTCTTCGGACACTGGACCTGCCAAGACAGTATTGGGATCGGCTCTTTATCAATATCCTGACAGATCCGATGACATTACTACCGTACGGTTATTCGCTGGATACGTTCAAAGAGCGATCCACCTATCCAACGCGCTCTGTCTCTAAGGTCATTCCGTACTCGCCATATCAAGATTCCACTCGAGCTCCTGCTCACATCCAACTGACGTTAGAGTTGGTCGATACCCTATACGAATGTCTTCTCCATATATCAGAAATCAAGCCGAAGCCACCTGTCCTCTCCATCTTTTTCTATAGCCAGGCTATGCAGTCGGATCTCCACGCGTTATTGCTCAAAGTCATCTCACACAAGCCAGAGGGCGTATACACTTGGCCTGCTGTGATAAGAAGCCGGGCCATGGATCTGCTTACAAACATGTATGAAGATCCTAGCTTCCTCACGCTTTCGGAAATCGCAGGAACCAATATCAGGCTGCCAGATATGTTGCAGCTCACTCAAGGCTATAAAAACAGCTATCCCATGCACGACAAACGACTTTTCTCGATCGAAACCGCCATCCAGAGATTCTTGGTCCTCCCGGTCATTGGATCGTACTCGTTCAAGGATATTATGACCCATCTTGTCGATGTTGAGGCGCCAGCGATTATCTCTGACAGGGATCGTGACGACGATGGGTACAACCTGGACGCCTTCTATCAGCGTTGGACCAACGGTACAAGTCCAGGGGATGGTAAGTATTGGTATGTTACCTTGAGAGCTATATTCCACCTTCGATATCAAGTGCTCACTCCTGATAAATGTTTTGTCCATTAGTCCAACTGCAAATTAAAAAGTGGGCAGAGCAGCAGAATATAATCCTTATTTCGTTATATTCGTTGGTCCAACAAGAATGCGGAGATCTGTCAATGTTTCTCCTGGCTCCTCAGACCTCATTCAAAATGAGACGGCACCTCAAAATCCAGCATACCGTCTTGGCACAGTTTGCGTTCTTCCAGCAGTGGGAGGCCATCGTGCTCGCCGAGAAGAGGCGCTGGATGCGGATCACCCAGACAAGGGACGAGGCTATGCACAATCAGTACCTCTTTCGGTGTCGCTTCTTGAGGAGACACATCGGACCGCTACCGGGCGCAGAGCCAAGCACACGGGCGGTGTCGCGGACGCCCTCCAACACTCCATCGTCGGAATATATTGGCATGTTTGAGGTAACCAGTAAGCTGGAGCCAGGTGTCTTTGTAGGCGATACGTTCAAGAAATGGATCCTTAGCCCTGACAATGCAGCGGTAAGTGCGAATGATTCTAGATCGATATGCTTAATCTTATCCTAAACAACGCACTTACTATATCGCCTCTATCTTCTGTCAAAAATCCCGTAGGGTCTGAGAGAAAGGATGCAGTTTGACGATATCAGCGCGCTATTGCGAGGCTATGGACGGGGCTCGCCTGCAATCGCGCATGTTGCTCACTACGATCCCGAGTTCAAGATCGTATATGTGAGCGGCGCTTACAGCAACATGACTGAGGCCTTGGGGTTGACCGAAGGCGAGTATTACCTCCTGGAGCGCCGAGAATTTTGTCCGACATTGACCACATCCATGGACAAGCTGGTTGAGATAAACGGGAACTGTCGCCTCTTCTTAGTATGTTACGATCGCGATTCGTAGGGCTGTTCTTTCTTCACAGGCTTGGTCCCTGAAGATGATGTTAATGATTCTTTCTGAAAAAACTTTTTCTAGGAATTGATGAGGGATCCGAATAAGTGGGGACTGCAGCGTCCAGAACAATATATGGATATCTTTTTAGAATCGATGACCAGGCCTGCGCGACAGTATGATATGACGATCTCGCAAGAACAGGCCTTTTCAAAAGTCATCAATAATCGCATGCAAGTCATTTGGGGACCTCCTGTAAGCTGAGACATTATGCCATGTCGTATCGTTTCCATGACTGAGAGGCGACGGATTGCAGGAAAAAAAGAAAAAAAGCCGCCTGACAGACCTTCCACGTCTTTTATTTCCTCATTCAGGGCTCAGGAAAAACTCACTTCTTGGCGCTTGCTGTTCTGAGATTCATCGACATTTTACGCAGTCTATCAAACAAAGAGAAGGGACAAGGCCCGCAGACGATCGTCCTCACTGCATTCACGCACACCGCCATCAACAACCTGGTGGCACGAGTAGCCAAGCTGCACGATCTGATCGCTCCCCATATGGAGTCTGAGCCTCTCATTCGACCTTTGGTCCTCTACCGCCTCGGAGACCCATCCTCGATTAACATCAAGGGAGCCACGGTCGTTGATCCCCTTAACCTCACAAAACTTCAACGACAGGTAGAGGATGACGGCAACCCGGACATTGTACGCGTTGTCTGCGGTACAGTGTGGCAGATCCGAAAGGCGGCGCATCCTGAGAAAGGAGCTGAATATATGCGCAATATCCAGATGTTGATGATTGATGAGGGCAGTCAACTGCTGGCGGCGGATGCAATCCATGCGATCGAGTGCCTCGATCCTGAACGCGGGCGACTGATCGTGGCAGGAGACCACCTGCAGTTGGGACCCGTCATTATGGGAACCTATCCAGCGTCGGAGCATGCTATCGATGCGACGGGCTCGATCATGAAGAACTTGATGCGCAAGCGAGATAACACATCGGTGTCATTGGAGTGGATCGAAGGGTCCGTCGCAATGGATATTGGACCATGCACCTCTCAGCTCCAGGAAAACTTTCGCATGGTAATGATAGAAAAAAAAAAGAGATGCGGATTACATGTCTATCTATATTTCTTTGTATATCAAGAAACGTATTGACGATCATGCCCACATGGTGTTTACTTTCTTCCTATTCTGCTCTGTAGAATCGACAACTAGGAACATTCATGCAGAGGGTTTATGGACCCAGCTACCAAGTGCAGACACCGGGTAAATCGCTACCTTACAGTGGTGGTTTCCGAGGCTCATCCTTCCCACCCGAGATCCGTCGCACATTGGACCCGGATAGGTCGGCCATCTGCATCGAACTTCAGCTCACAGACGATGCATGTCAAGAGTCTGTCAGTGTGCGCAGCGACTCTAGGGCAGCCGCGTACCTCGAAGCTGTATTCGTTGCAGGCATTGTTGAGTATTATCTCGAGATGGTCGGACAAGACACTATCACGAGTCTCTTTGTGGCAGTACCCCATCACATCCAGCGACTCGCGATCCTCGATAAGATTCAACTACCAGAGCTGGAGCAAAAGTATCCTCTCGCGCAAATCAAGGTCGACACGATCGAGAAGATGCAGGGCCAAGAGGCTGATCTAGTGGTGGTGTGCTTTGCGCTCTTTAACGAGTCCACGTTGGTCAATGAGTTTGCGTATTTGTACTCGGTACACCGCTGGATTGTGGCGCTGTCGCGGGCTAGATGTAAGACTGTCCTGTTGTCGACACCCCAGTTGAAGTCGCCCAATATCATGGGTGGTGCGGGGAAGGCGAATCCAGGTGATTTGGAGAGTCTGGACGGGTGGGGCCTTTTGCAGGCGTATGATAAGTATGCGGAGGACCTTGGAGGAAAGCTCGTATGGCCGGTCAGTCGGGAGTTTCTGCAGGGTATTGGTATGCAAGGCGCCTGAGGTGGGATGTTCATTGAGAGTTTGAGACATGATCGGGATAAACACCCCACAAGTAAATAGCACCGCCCTGTGGGCGCAGTTTTTTTATAAGTGTGTCGTTTGCTCCATGCATGATGTCCGCATGGGAGTGCCCATCTAAAACAGTGGGGAGGTAAAAAATTGAGAGCCGACCCAAAAGAGAGCAATCCGCATAATCATACTGCAGAGTTCTCGTGTTCACGGCCTCTAGACCCTCACTCATTCATCTCTTTCTTCATCTCCCACGCTCTCATTCCACTCACTCCACCCCATCTCACATTGCAAAGAAGATCATGTTGGCCCAGTCGGACGCAAGCCTGAACGCGAAGAAGGAGGAGAGCAGCTTCAGGCAAGCACTGCACCATGTCGGGGAGAAGCTGCACCTCCGTTCACCTGCTCCTGTCGAGGATGTACCCCCTCCAGGTTAGAACGCACGCATATGAATATATACTCTCTTTGTCTTTACTCATTCGTGGAATCGTTGTCTTGGGTGCTTGCCATTCCATTTTCCTCCCATCTCGCGTGTCTGTTTTTGGAAACCGTCCCTGAAACCGTTCCTGAGACCATTAAAGTATTCCCTTTCAGACACGCGCCATTAACACCTGCACTCCATTCTGACCCTTACTGAAGTTCCTCCAAAGGATGAGAAATGGCTCGTCAATACCGTCAACAAGGCAGTCCCCGCAGACCAAGAGCCCGACCGTAGCTTCTGGGATAAGGTCTCCCACAAATACCACCGCTCTAAAACTGCCGCCGTCGCGGAAGAAGACGAGGCCGAAGCCGTCTCAATCAGCGTCCCCGCCGATGCTGCGCTCAAACACTTGGGCATCCAAGGCGACGACTCTGAGCTCCAAGCGAAGAAGAACTACTTTTTGCGAATGGCCGAACGCGTGAAAGTGAAGTTTGACGAGGACGACTCGGACTCGGACTCGGATTCGGATTCGGATGGTGCCGACCACAAGCCAAAGACAGAGCAAGAGAAACTCGAACGCAAGGAGCGCAAGAAACTGGCGCCCAAGGTCGATCCCAAAGAGATGAGGGAGGCCCATCTTGCCATTTACGGTCAGCCCACCGGGGTGGATCCAACTGCGGACCTGGAGGCGGATAAGAAGCTGTTTGGATCCTGGTGGGGATGCCATCCTCGTCGCTCCAGGGCGGAGAGGAAGCTGGCGAAGCAACAAGAGGCTGAGAAAGAGCGGCAGCGCGTTCTAGAGGAGCTGGCTGCCCAGCGCAGGGCCGAGGAAGAAGCTGCGGCGGCCGCTGCTAAGGCCGAACGGGAGGCGGCCGAGGCGGCTAAGAGAAAGTGGTGGCAGCTTAAGGCCCCTGAGACCCCGGAACAAAAGACGCAGAAGGCCAAGGAGAAACAGAGAGAGGAGGAGAAAAAGGAGCGCAAGTCGACTTCACGTAAACATCAGGCCATTGCTGCCGCAGGTACGTTCAAGGCCAGTTCGTAAGGAAATCTTTTGCCGCGTTTATAAGGTGCTAACAGAATTGCTGTACTTTCTTACGTCCATTAGCTGCATATGAGGCCATGAAGAAGTACCAGGAGCACCAGGAGAAAGATGGCAAGGAGGTGTCCCATGCCGAGATGAAGGCCGTTCTCGCCGGTATGGCCATGGCCGAATGCGTCAAACTATTCGATTCGCGCCGCGACGATGATGACGATGACGATGACCAGGACGATGCTGTTGCCGAGGCTGGCTCCAAGGTCCTCAAGCTGTTCGAGCTCATGAACTAGGGCCATGGGACTTCTTTTTCAAAGATCCCATAGAGAAGAATAATTACCAAATTAAAGGCGACATCGAAAACAATATTGTTGCTGTTGATGCATGGCTTTATTTTCTTGCAGTACCCTGTGCTGCTGTCATATGGCGCCATGTTCAGAGATGACGGGCCATAGTAGTCGCTATGCTGTTAAAAACGTGTTCCCCCGCTCCTGGTTTTCTTTTTCAGCCGCGAGGGGGGACGCGCTTGCCGCTTCTTGAAAAAAATGGGAAGTTGACAAAATAAGGACATTGTTAAAATAATGAGCTCAGTGATCTACCTTGCTGAGATTTAAAAAAAAAAAAAGCACTTAACATTACCTTTTGCCGCTACCGAATGTAATGCGTTCAATCTCACCCATGAATTCTGGGCTCTGGAACAAGTGCTGGTCGCCCATTTCATAGTCCATCATATGTGGTCCACCTCCTCCTGTCTTGCGATGCTTTCCAGACCCTGAACTAGAATTCTCCTTGATCCTCTCCAGTTCCTTTTCAAATGCCTCCTTTGCCTGCTTTTCTTTCTCATGGTTCTCCCGCACCTGGGCCATCTTAGCATCCAATGCTAACAGCAATGCCTCCGAGGTTTTCGTCCTGTGGTGAAAGAGAAAGAAAACGAATGAGGCGCGTTGTCAGAGCTGGTGAAGAGATTGGAGGAAAAAAAAAAAGCGGAGACCAGACGATCCTTACCAGTCTTCCAGCACTTTGAGCATGATTTGGGCCTGGCCTGGACGCAAGTCTCGTCCCATGGCCGAGTGGACCTCGACCAGTTTTAGCTTCTGATCCAAGTTGGCATTGATCACATTTTGGTATATGGCATCCATGATCAGATCCTCCAGCTGGCGCACATTGGCAATCTCGAGATACTCCAGCAGATCCTTGTATGGGATGGCCTGCAGATCCCACAGACAAAAAAAATAGTCAATAACCCTGTCAATCCACCATCCGGGATATGTATTGCAGCTCTTGAACGACAACGTTACCCGCACTCGCTCAGAGAGCGTGACAATTGAGAGCTGCTGCAGTTTGGTCCTCTGGGCCTCAGTGATCTCTGGCAAGCTGTCCTTGTTCTCTATTTGAGTAGGCATTTAACGATGGATGAGTTCACAAGCCTTGAGAAGACCGATATTCTGATCAACCTCATGCTGCAACCGGAGAGCCCCCTTACGTTGATAATCCTGATATGTTCCAAATGAGAAGATCTCGAGGAGCCTGTGGTACTTTGCGTGCTCAGGGCTGGACCTCAGCTGATGGATTCGGTGGGACCAAAACGGCATACAACATTAGATCTCGGAACCATGTCCTCCAGAACACAAGGAAAGTATGGACACTGTATCCCCCAATTTACCTCTACAACGTTGGGCATATCGAGAAGCTCGCCAAAGACCATGACGCCAGGCGCAGCCAAGACATCCTTGATGAGCTGGACACATCCTGCACCTTTGGCTGACTTTGATAGGGCTAGATAGGGTTCCAGACGTTGTCCAAAAGAGGACTTGAATGATTCCCCCGAGGTTGATGTCTCTGCTGCGATTGAGGTAGCCATGACTGGAAATGCCGTATGTAGAATCAACGACGAGGATTTGTCGAGAGAATGGTGACAATGGTGTGCAATGAGAAGGAGCGAGCTGCGGCAGTTGGTAGTCTCTGATGTCTTTTTCTCTCTCTTTCCGTTTTCGGACTAAAGGCTGGTGTCTTTGGATGGATATCTGTCTCTGCTTTGAGGGTCCTGTTCCTTGTCGATGGTGATGATGTTAGCTTTGTCGAATGTCGATGGGAAGAAGACCAAGAAGGACGCGTTCCCCTCTTTTGAGAGCCTTCGCGGTCGCGAGTGACCACCTTCCTTTGGGTCGACTAGTTGATTACGGGGCACATCGTTGCATTCCTAGCCTTCAACGACGCGGTGGTATCCATTTGAGTTTAAGGATGTGGCCATCAAATGCGTAGCGTTGCGCAAAGGAATAAACCACACCTTAATATTTTTGATATACTTCTATAGATGGACCCATATGTCCAGGATCTGTCCCAAGCTTCTAAAATGACCTTCCGCTTAACGTAAATAGCCTAGACAATGCGCTAGCTTGTGGACGCGGCCTCTTTGCCCTGCTATACGCCTCCCGTTGCCAGGCGAGAGGCGTTCTTCCGATCTGTATCGATCTAGTATCTGTCGCTGTCGCGGCGCGCCGGGTCAAGTACCGCAGTACTTTTGGTATATAAAGTATCATGCGAAGAGGGTGTGTTGGAGTCCCTTTTGCTATGAATGCCATTTAGATACCACAGTACCACAGCATACACCGTAACACCTATAAAATGCCTCTTGTCAACCCACAAGCATTTCTCACTCTTTCCTGTCCTTACCTTCTCGTCTTTCTTTTTCGCTCTTGTTCCGTCCAGACCCCGAATTGGGATCGTATTGGGAGTGAACCTTCATATCCAGGTCACTTGCATTTTTATTCATGAGACTATTCAGCTTTCTAAACTACCAAGCTCCAGGTCGGTGCTATAAAACCCCTAGCAGCCGCATATTAAAAAAAAAAAAAAAAAAAAAAAAAAAAAAGCTCGTTCGTTTGCTTCTTTGACTCATGCTGAGATCCCCCATAAAACACCGCAGCTCTAATGTCCAACGCGCTTTTCATCTCACTGTCCACCATGCCCATCACGGCGACATCACATTTCACCAACTGCGATATCCTGTAAGTGTTAAAGTATATTTGTGCTAGGGATGCTGCCCCACGTCCAATTCCTCAGCTGACATCGTGCCCGGGCTTTCAGAATCCCACAACCCCAATTCCACATCTTAGCGTTCTGATCACTACAAAGTGCTACTCAAGAACTCAAGACCACAAAACTGTAAGTGAAAGAATGTATTTGGCTTTTTTTTTTCATCCTACATGTTCGTCTAACATCGGCTCCGTATTCATTTTAAAGTTCGGTCGAGTTACGCACAGCACTTCCCCTCTGAATAGTGCCTACTCAGGAGATTAGTCACCGATGCTCCTTGTCCAACCGATAGACCATTTCACCCTGTGGATCCACTTTTGCATCGATCAACAGAAGGCCATATCCGAGCCTTACCCACCGCTTCAGTCTCAGCGTCATTCTACTCTCTCTATGCCTTCTCTGAACCTCCATTGGCTCATTCGGATACAGTGCTGAACATTTAGTCGCAACATAAAACCTTTAACTAGAAACATCTATTCATTTTCAAGTACAACCGCTGAAATCGAAGTTTGGATCATTAAAATGCGTATTATCCTTCCATTTACAAAACCAAAGATCACCGTTTTGTCAATACGACCTCTAGCTCAAAGGGGTTTGTTCAACCGATCAATTGCTATTGAAATAAATAATATTTTTCTACTAACTTTCAAGTCTGTTATCTTCTTTCTTAACTTCTGTGTTGTGTACATGAGATATGGCCTCAGTCCATTGCCGTTCTGGATGCTGGTCCTATTAGATGGTGAGCACTCATGCATGCAACCTGAAACATTCGTTTGTTCGCACTGGCCACTGTGGTAGTTGGGCACGTTTGCGTGCAGAGTGTGAAGACCAGCTGAGCTTAAGGAAGTATATAGCAGAGGGATTGGGTCTTTGTTTCTAGAGCTCGCGATTGCGGACGGTGGTTGTAAGGGCGAGAGTGAAGGGAATTTTGCTTCGCCATCTATATAGTATCATGTAGGCGGGTGCCAATGCACATGCTCCGGCCACAACTGCTTCGCCATGAACGTGAAGCACAAGCTTAAAAGCATAGCTAGTACAAGTCAATCCAAAGTCAATAGTACGCCAGACAGTTCATTTTTTTTATCTTTTTACAGAAGCAACAGCGAAAACCACAAGGTGAATATTGATACAGACATTTGGGAATAAGCAGAAACGCAGGAGCAAAAACGCAATTAGTAATGGGTATATGGTAGATAAAAGAGTGCAAAACCTGAGAAATCTGCAAAATCGGCCAAAAAAAAAAAAAAAGACGTGTTTAAAAGAAAGAACGCGTTCAGGAGCGGAAAGCGCGAATTTGAGCAAGACCAAGACTCTGAATGTATTCGCTCGATCGCATGTACACCTCGTCCTGGTACTTCGTAAACAGAGCCTTATGTGTCTGTCCAGGCTCCTCCAGCATTGTCAAGAGGACATTGATCCCAGCTGTCAGCATCAACTCTGTGTATCCCGCATAAAGCTCGTGTTCTCTTGTCCATTCTCCCCGGAATAACAGCATCATTGAGGCGCGGTAGCCGACGGCTGCAATCATGCTGGAGGGCAGTCCAATGAACCGATGATCACACAGAGTGATATCGACAAAGTACTTCGCCAGCGTCCGAATGTCCACATCGTAGTTGTCTGCACGAGAGATCCTTCTCAGAAAGCTCATCGGTCCTGGTGCTCCCATGTCGTAGTTCAAAGCTCGAAGCATGCCAATTTCCGCCTGTCGAATTCTAGCTGGAGTGTACGCGTTTCCGCCCAGGTAGACCAGTTCTTCGATAGCGGGCGACTGAATTTCCTCGTACTTGGACGCGAGAAGCAGGGCCACCGTTCCAGCAAGCTGAAGCTGATCTAAAGGAATGACGACCTTGGAGAGGAAGCGATCCAGGTAATTGATGCAGAGATGCATTGTCTCCTGCAGAAGGTCGAATCGGCCATGCACTTGGACCAACCATTCGATCAGCTGGACTCTGTAATGCCAAGTCAGATCGATTTGTCTGCTCATGTAATCCGGATCTGGAAGGAGTTTTATCTATAATCAAGTGTGTTCATGACCAGGAAGAGAGGACGCGAGAGTGAGTAGATGTCATTCGAAGCGAGAGGGAGCTATGTGATATTTACGATGCTACGCCCTTACCTCCATCTCTCTCTTGTAAGCAAATATGGATGCTTGATACTCAAAAACGAGCGTGGGATCTGGATCGAACTCCTCCTGCTCCGACGTGATATCAATCTCCATGTCTGGCAGCACGGCACAAGAGCCATTGTCTCCAGTAGGGGTAACTTCCATTTTCGTGTCATCCAGATACAACTGCGAGTCAAACAGAGGCACTGCTGGGATTAGTGGACCCTGGTGAGATTTGGCTCCATTCCCTTGAACAGCAGAGATATCCTTGAATGGTTTTCTGGTAGTTAGCTGCTGAATGGTCTGTGCACCAGAACGCGCTGTAGTCGGTACCTGAGCTCGAGTAGCAGAGACCTTGGGCGCAGCTGGAACTTTGGCTGTGTCGTTTCGGTTGACTGAAACATATCCAGCGCCATGGGCATGTTCGTTCACCATGGCCTGGGCCTCAGAGAGCGCAATGGTTGATGTCGCCAGTGCCGAGGTCCTATGGCCATGTCTGGTGGATGTTGTGGTTGCCGTAGATGGCTTTCGAATGTTACCGGAGTCGATTTTAGTGGAGGCAAAGCGAGTCGTGCTGGCAGAAAAGGAGGAACCCAAGACATTGGCCTGTCTTTTTGAAATGGCAGCGGATGCGGACGAGTTTCTGACCAAAGCAGGGATGGCTTTGGAGGTGGTCGGAGCTGGTAACATGGACTGGGCCCGCGTCCGTGCGATTGATTCAGCCGGTGTCTGAGTTGGGACCGGAGGAGCAATAGCTGGTTTCATCTTCCTGGGTACGGCTCCCTGGTTTGCCGATGGCTGGTGCAATTGCTGGGCACTGTAGGTGGTGCGGGCAACACATTGGGTTGTAGAGCCATCGGCAGGCGGGATAGTATTCTAGCGAAACCACATTGTTATATCATTGTATTCACGGTTAGTCCGGCGCAAGGGTCGTTGGCTAACAACGAATACGGTAGAGTTAATTGCTGGTTACATACGTTGATATTGGTATTTTTCTCGAGAACGGGTTTTCTGATGCTGTCAGCTTTCTTAACGGTCGCTGTGATATTTGCTTTGATTCCAGAGGCATATGCTGCTGGCACCGGTCCGGATGACGTTCTTTGTGTTGAGTACTTGTTTTGCTGGGGCTGTACTTGGTATTGGGCGATCCTGTTCTCGTCTTGGACCATAACGCGCGGTGGTCGAAGCATCGAGGTTGGGGGAAGGAGACTTGATGTCCTGGGACCCTGCTGACGCGTGGCGGGGTTCGATATGGTAGGGCGTGGCAGTTGTTGGGTAGCCATTGCGGCGGTATTGACTCGGAGCTCCTGAACCCTGAGAGAGCGCTTAGAGAGAGCGCTTGAGTGGGTTGAGCACGCCCTATTGGCTGTAAGGCGACGTAAGTTCTAGTTTATGTCCTTGAAAAGGAGGAGGGCCGTTAATGGTTTGGTCGTGCTTTAGCCCTGGGAGAGGAATAAAGGCTGGGGATGAGGCGGGCGATGGGGATGAGGGAGTGGATTGGGGATGAGAAGGATGATGCCGAGTAGAGCGAGCACGACGCTGACTCTCTACACTTTCTACATCTGTTTGTTTGTTGTTGTCGGTTTTTTTTTTCTTTCTCTTGTCCCTCCTTAGTCTAAGTCTACAGTGGCCTAGTCCCGCGGCAAATTGCATATGATCCGTGTCCAGGCCGACTCCACTTGTGCACGGGAAAAAAGTATACAGGGCATCATACCCATTCCTTCTCCAAGTCACCATCCATTGGATGCCCTTCAAAACATGCCGTGTATGCCGTCTCTGACTCCCGCATTATTATCGACTCGACTCGACGTTCCAGCTCTTCCTCGTGCTAACCAGCGCATCCATCGATGTGGATGTGGTCGTCAAGGGCCGCTGTCAGTGCAAGCTGGCAACTGGCTGCTTACTGCTTGACTACATCCACAGCGCACCCTCCTATGGGTCGAGCTATTTGCGGGATGAACTCAATGCGGGAAAAGTAGAGACCGTGGATCCGATGACATTGGCGACTGGCGCCTCTGGAAGCAGCAGCAGCAGCAGTAGCAATAGTCCAGTGGGTCCAGTCCTTTTCCTGTGCCCCCTGGAGACGTCAACTGAGAGAGCCTCTTCCCTCCGCTGGCTGGGCGTTGCCCTTTTGGGTGGGCTCAGCCGAATTGAAATGCAGACAGCCGCACTCCAGTGAGGTGGTGGCGCAGAGGGCAAAAGGGTCCAAAAGAAAAGAAAAAATAACCTCCCTCCAAGGCTGCAGTTTGCCTAATCGTGTCATTTGCAGACGGAGTCTGGCAAGATATGCATGCATGCATGCAACTGCGGCCCACCTTGTCTACATCACTGCTGTTGCCGTTGCCACTGTCCCTATTCAGGGCAATGACCTCGCCAATACCACAATTGACAAACTGCGCTCTTTGGGCATGATCCAACCAAGCGTGGCGTCAAAAAGAGCCCTGGGATTCTGTATAAATAAGGCCAAAGAGTTCTTCGTTCCTCCCTTTTCTCTCCCTCTATCCTGTCTTCCTCTTCCTCTTCCTCACAGTCCTACTCTTCCTTCCCACTCTTGTTTTTTTGTTACTCTACATCTTCTCTCCTGCTCGACTTTCAAGAGACACAACATCCAACCATGGATTGGCTTGCGATCAAGACCGGTGCGCTCCTCAACACATCCGCCGCTGTCCTCGATAATGTCATCCAGTCTGGATCGAACTTCGAGTCCTCGCTCTCGCCTGCTGCGATGCGTGTCGTCAAAGGAGGTACGTCCGCCTCCATCATCATTCACTGCATCGCCCTCGACTGCATCGCCCTCGACTGCATACCGAGCATTCAATCAAGAGAACAAAAAGCCATGATTTGAACTAAGCATGTCTGCTCTCTATGATTTGATGGTTCTATAGTTATGGGAAATGATGTCCTCTCTGCTGGTTTCCTCCTGATGATTGTCGGCAGTTTCTATACTTTCTTCAAGGACCTGATTGTTCAGTATTACTACCAGGTTCAGTCCTGGTTCTATGTTTCCGTCGAAGTTCAGGAGGGCGATGACTGCTACAAATGGTTGTCTGGTAAGAATTGTTCACAAAAACAAAAGAGAGAGGGATGGCCCGAGGGGAACCATGCGCGTACTGACTTGGACTCCCTCTTGGGCTGAATGATGACGTCTTCTTTAGAATGGGTCGCCGAGCGCCCTCTTACCAAGTCTGTCCGTCATTTGACGGTCAAGGCTGTCTGGGACGATGACCAGGAAGATCAAGGCTATTACCGCAGCAACGACACTCGCCAGAACGAGCGCCCTCGGCTTCTGTTCTTGCCTGGCATGGGTTCACACGTTCTTTACCACAAGGGCCACAAAGTCAACGTGTCGCGAGAGCGTCCTGAAAACGCCGCTGGCGCCAACGCGGAACAGTCTCAGATCTTGGCGTCGATTCAAAAGAAGCAATGTCTCACCATTTCGACTTTTGGCTGGGATATGAAGATGCTTAAGATGATTCTTCAGGTACGGTGATATTTCTATCCAATGACATTAATTGGCTGTGGAAGAGAAACCTAGAAAACAGGGTATTGATCTTGCTTTTTTTTTTTTTTTTTTTTTTTTCACCGTCTCTCCAGGATGCTATGGATGAGTCCTACAAGAAGAAGGAGGGCAAGACCACCATCTACACCTCTCAGCCCTACGATAGTTACTGGTCCGGCTCATCTACTCGCGCCCCTCGTGCTTTCCACTCTGTCATTCTTGCTGAGGGTCTCAAGGAGGAGCTTTTAAATGGTAGGGACACGGATTGCGCAACATGTATGCAACTTGGCAGCAAATTCCCTTTTAGAAACTAACTTCTGATGCCTTGTACCGGATAGATATCACCACCTTCCGCAGCTCTGCTCAGTGGTACCATGACCGTGGAGTTCCATACCGTCGCGGTTATCTTCTTCACGGACCTCCTGGAACTGGAAAGACTTCATTTATTGTCGCTTTGGCTGGACATTTGCGCATGTCTGTTTGCATTGTCAACTTGGGTATCTCTGGTCTGAATGACCAGCAGCTGGATCAGCTCTTGAACAACGCCCCTCGCAACAGCATCTTACTCATGGAGGATGTGGATGCAGCTCTGATCAAGCGCAAGGCAGGACAAGCCCAGGCGGGATCCAACAATGTTACTCTCTCTGGAATCTTGAACGCTCTCGATGGAATCACTGCACAGGAGGGTAGCGTCGTTTTTATGACCACTAACCATATCCGAAAGCTGGCCCCTGCATTGATTCGTCCAGGGCGCTGCGACCGCAAGATGCTTTTTGATTATGCAGACAAGCACCAGATTCGCGGTATGTTCCTCAAGTTCTTCTTGAGCCGTTCTTCGACTGGCCAGGCCAACAACGAGCCTGTACCCAAGCTCCCCTTCAAGGCATTCAAGGACGCTTCATTGACAGGAGCGACAGCAGTAGAAAACGATCCCAAGGAGCAGGCACGCAAGGATGCTTTTGACGCCATGATCAATGACCTTGCGGACAAAATCTGCGAAAGGATCACCTACCAGGATTCTGTCACCACCGCTCAATTGCAGGGATTCTTCATGATTCATCGTGAGCACCCCGAGACAATTTTGGACATGATTCCTGCCTTCTTGGAGGAACTGAAGAAGGAGCGCGCGCTCTTGTCGGACAAGAAGGAGAAGCGCCGTGAGCGCCGCGCCAAGAAGAAGGCCAAGAAGGAGGCCAAGGAGAAGAAGGCCAAGGAGGACAAGCTGGCAGCAGGCGAGTCCGTCGAGAGCAGCGATGATGAGGATGAGGATGAGGATGATGATTCTGGATCGGAGTCGTTCTCGGACTCGGATTACTATGAGGAGATCAAAGGTGGAAGTAGCTCAATTACGGGCTCGAAGGCCAACAGCACTGCCGACTTGGGTGAAAAGCCTGTTGAGAAAGAGGCACTCGATGCCACCACAGCTGCTTAAGTGGATCAATATAGAGCAGCACATGTACAATAACAATAAATATATCTCTTTAAAATACAAGGCTCCTCCCTCGGACATGACAACCTGCCCTAGACTGAGCCTTCTTAGACTTGAGGAACAAGAAAGCCAGTTTCTGCATTGATACTGTAATTTTTTATTATTATAGTTTTTAATATTATCTTTTCCGGTGTGAATTGGGTGGCTCAAGGCGGTCCTTTTACAGTTCGTCATGGGTAGTCTCCTTGGTTCCCTTGGTCTCGCCGGCGTCTTCAGAGTCCAGCTCTTCCTCGGCCTTGGCGACAATATCCTCGACATTGACAGCGACCCTCTTTGCCTCACCGCTGCCAGCCGAGGCCGGATTCGTGCTATCTGTGAATTCCTTCAACATCTTGTTCAGCTCCTCTGCCGTCATATGACCAGGCTTGATCTCGTCGGCCTCCAAGATGTCCTCACGCTTCTCAATCTCGGCCTGGACTTCCTCCTGATCGCGGGGTTCGGCCAAGGGAGCCTCGAAAGTGGCCTCAGCGGAGGTATCGACATCCAAGTTCTGACGCAACATGTTTTCAACACGCGCGGCAAAGGACTTGACGCCCTCCTTCAAGCTGTAACCACTGCGGACGAGTGTGATATCGTACAGGACCTTGGTCATCTCCTGGAAGTGCTTATCGTCCTCAAAGGCCTTGGGATCCTTGCTGGCACGCTCGAGCATACCGAGAATCAGGGGGTGGCCAGGGTTGATCTCAAGGATCTTCTTCTGGTTCTTGATGAACTGGTGCATCGTCTGGTCTTTGTTCTGCTTCGCTTGACCTTCCATCAGACGCTCCATATTGGCAGTCCAACCATAGTCGTTGGCGACCAAGGCCGCGGGTGAGGTGGTTAGACGCTTGGAGACACGGACCTTCTCAACGTCGTTAATAAGGGAGGCGTGCATCCAATCCAACAGGGGCAAGAACTTCTCCTCAAGCTCCTTCTCGGTCGCCAACTCGTCCTCATCGCCCAACTTCAGGTCGGACTTGGCGACGTTCTGGAAGGCCTTGCCCTCAAAGTTGCTGAGGTGAGAGAGGACGATCTCGTCGATGGGATCATCCATGTACAGGACCTCGAATCCACGCGCCAGGAGGGACTCCACAAAAGGCGACTGCTTGATCTCGTCAACGTTCGATCCCGTAAAGTAAAAGATATCTCTCTGACCCTTCTTCATGCGCGCGACATAATTCTCGAGCGACGTGTACTTGTCCGAATCCGAGGACTTGTAGCGCAAGAGACGCGAGATCTTCTTCACATTCGACTTGTCCTCCAAAGCGCCCAATTTGAGGCTGGTGCCGAACTCCTTGATGAAGGCAGCGTACTTTTCCTCGTCCTGGGACAGCTGCTTGAGCAGATCAAACATCTTCTTGAGCAAGTGCTTGCTGATCGACTTGATACTCTTGTTCGATTGGACGGTCTCACGCGACACATTCAGGGGTGCATCCTCAGCATCGACGACGACCTTCAGGAACGAGAGCCAGCGGGGCAAGAAATCCTGGCTCTCATCTGTGATAAAGACGCGCTTGACATAGAGTTTGACGTTCGACTGGACCTGGTCGACACGCTGGAAGAGATCCTTAGGCGCCTTGTTAGGAATATAGATGATAGCCCTGAAGTCGACATCGCCCTCAGCCTTGAAATGGGAGTATGCCATGGCCTTGGCATCAGGCTCACGTGTCAAGACGGGGTAGAAGGCCTGGTACTCGGCCTCGGTGACGGTCTTAGGGTCGCGGATCCAGATGGGCTTGTTCGAGTTCATGAGATCGTCTTCCTCGTACGAGATAGTGACAGGTGCGGGCTTCTCCTTGGTCTCCTCCTTAGCCTCTTCGACCACGACCTCATCGTCCTCAGAGTCGTCAGTCTTCTTGTCGGCGACGGGTGCAGGCTCGACAGTCTTGGTCTTGGTGCGGCGGAGATAGATGGGGAAGTTGATGAATTCAGAGTACTTTGAGACGAGCTCTTGGATGCGGTCGTCCTTAAGGTACTGATCTTGATCCTCCTTGAGGTGGATGGCGATCTGAGTACCACGGCCGAGGGTATTGCCGGCAGGGTCTTTGGCGATCGTGAAGTCGTTGACGGCGGTCGACTCCCAGATGTATTGGTCGTCATTGTTGTTCTTGCTGGTGACGCGGACCTTGTCAGCGACCAAGAAGACAGAGTAGAAACCGACACCGAACTTTCCAATCAGGTCCATATCGGCCTTGTCCCCAGACATGGTCTCCAAGAATTCGGATGTGCCGGACTAGATTGACAGTGACCAGTTCACATATAAAAATGAATGACTGATTTTCCCACACAGTGACCATTTTGATCGCATGTATCGTCAGAAATCTTACCTTCGCGATAGTTCCCAAGTTCTTCTGGAGATCCTCCTTAGTCATACCAATACCAGTATCTGTGATAGTGACGACGCGCTGATCCTTGTTGATGGCGATGGTGACATTCAGGTTGGGGTTTGTCTCGAGTGCGGATGAATCCGTCAAGGACTGGAAGCGGATCTTGTCCAGGGCATCCGATCCGTTTGAAATCAACTCGCGCAAGAAGATCTCGGGGGTCTTGTAGAGCGAGTTGATGACAATGTTCATCAGACGTGATACCTCCGTCTGCACGAAAAAGAGAGGGACGAAGGAGTGGTGTTAGGACGCGTCAATTGAACGCACCTCATTTTGCTGTCAATTGGCCAGAAAGAGAAAAGTAACACTGTACCTGGAACTGGTACTTCTCGCCCTGGATCACAGGCTGTTCTGAGGCATTGCCATCGAAGGCAAAGCTATCGGGGATGGCGACCTTCTCGCCGGGCTGGTTAAAGGCGGCTTGGGCACCGGGAGCCTCGGCTGCGACGACCGAGATGGCGGCGAGGATGCTGAGCAGGAGGAAGGACTTTTTCATGGCTGGACGGGGTGTGAGTTATTATTTAGAAACAAAGGAGGTGGTTTACAGATAAAAATGACAAGTGAAATAGCAAAAAGAAAAAAGTACAGGAGGTAGAGGTAGGGTTGAAAAAGACGATGGTGAGGAATGAGGAGATGAAGGGATGAGGAGTGGAGTGGTGATGATGAGAACAAGAAAGAAGAAGAAGAAAAGTCAGACGGGACAAGAGAACCTTAATATAGGATCGGATTGTGGAGAAACCGTTGGACGATTTTGATGTGTGTGTGTGTGTACGGTTTGATGTGTTGGCCTGTGATACGTCTTTCAATGCCCACAAAGTATCGTCCTGGGATCCACAGCGGTGGCACGAAGTGATTGGTGGACTTTTAGATTCATCAAGCAGATTTCATATCTGATACGGATAAGATGGGCGCGAGTGGGTGCCTGGGCGCCGTGATACATCCTCCCATACCTGTCTGAACAGGCGCCACGGCAATACTGTGCACATGCACGCCGTTACAGCTGAGCTCCATGTCACTAGTGTCTTGATCCCTCTTGATAACAACCATCGAGAGCATCATGACCTTCCAAGAGGAACTCTCGTTTTTCTGGTTGGATATGTTGGCTTTTTTCAGGGACGGAAACTTCCCGTCTTGTCACGTGCGGCCATGTCCCATTTCGCTACAGCGCGCGTTCCCCCTTGACTGTTGGGGGGCACACGCGAAGGGGATGTGCAACAACGAACACCAGTCCTCCCGCTTCATCATCATCAGCAGCAGCAGCAGCAGCAGCAGCAGCATCATTGATCAACCTCACAAAACAAGTGCCTGCCGTCCTTTTTCTCAACCCCTCCAACATCAAATACCATCCGCTCAAGGCAAGCAGTGATTGAAATGAACTCTGTCGCTGCTTCAGGGCGGTCCCCGCGGAAAGCTCAGCGGAACTCCATCACACCCTCGATAAAGGCAACAAGGAGTTCGACAACTAACAGAGCCAATACCCCGGACATGGCTGGTACTCATGATGAGGAACCAAAGACCGTCCAGGACCTGAAGGACGAGCTCGAAGAGAAGTCAGAAACCGTTGAGCGGTTGAAGGAAAAGATTACCCAGCTTGAGGAACGTGCGAAGTATCTTGAGGCCGATGCCCGCCTGAAGGCCAGCATGATGTCCACAGAAGTCCTGAGTCTCAAAGAAAAGGCCCGGAAGTTGGAGATTGAACTCTGTAAGACTTTTGGCTCGCCCATTTTGTTCAAGGATGCGGCACAATAGCTCCAATCAGTTACTTATACGAATCATTTCTCACTGATAGCAACGATCGTTGATGAGCGCGATATCCTGGAACAAGAAATAGATGAGCTCAGGTCCCAAATAGTAGACGGCGAGGACAATGTACGTATCTCATGATGTCTTTAGCAAATCCAAGTACTCCCACGCATCCGCATCTTGCTGCTGCAGGTTCAAACCTAATTATCTCTTTACTGCATGCTCAATCTTTTTAGGATGAGGCCAGGCAGCTCTCTGTACAGCTGAAGGATGCCTGGCTTAGAATCAAAAATATGAAGGCCACTCAAGAGGAAACTGTTCAAAACCTGTTCAGCTCCGAGGAGGCGAATGCCAAGCTGAGGGCCGAGTTGGCTACTGCAGTCAATGCCTCCAGCACTGCGAAGAGCTCGCAGGTTGACGAGAGACAAAAGTGGAACAGCGAGAAGCAGGAATTCGTCGCTGAGATTAACTCCTTCAAGGTACTGTCTTGTCTATATTGCTCGGGATATCAGTAAGATGCTTCGAAATTTGCGCATAAATTGACTCGTTGTGCGACATTGCGCGCTTCGTGGTATAGGAAAAACTCTCTCTGGTGAGCAAGAACGGAGGCAAGCAGGTGCTCGACTGGGAAGAAGACAAGGCCAGACTGCGAAATAGTTTTGCACACGAAAGGTCAGCTTGGGACAAGGAGAAGAGGGGGTTCCTGGACCAGATTGCTTCGTTCAAGGTCAAGGCCTCTACTCTCACGATGCAAAAGGCTACGCCGCCGGAATGGGTCTTGGAAAAGCATAAATTGACGGAACAATGCGCAACTCTGCAAAGCCGGGTGACCATACTGGAGACCAATCGTGCCAATGAGGGTAATTCAAGCAGCTCAAGTGTCAAGAAACTTGAAGCAGATAAGCAGAAACTGCAGAAGAAGGTTGAAGCGCTACGGACCAAACTTGTCGAGGTCATGTTGCAGATGGAGGAGGAAGAGAAGAAACCGAAGGTTTGTACTGATAAATACGTTTCAAATTGCTGCATACATTTCCTGCCAATTCTATCTATCTATCCCTGCCTTAATGACTTACAAATATTGCTTTCAACTATGTTCAGGCTGGCCGTAGTCGACGTCGTGGTGCTGCTGCCCCCAGAAGAAAAAGACCGGTTGCTTCGGAATCCGACTCGGACGAGGATGAGGCGGTGGAGATCCAGGAAGCAGAGCCGCCAAAAGCAGCACCGCCTGCGCCAAGAACTCGAGCCAAGAGGAGTGCAGCAACGAAGCAGGTTAGCTACGAACTCAAGAGCGACGATGAAATCGACGACGAGGATCTTGAAATGGATGAGGCGGATGATGACGACCAAGACAAGGAGGAACCTGAGGCAGTGGAGTCAAACGAAGAAGGTGCCAACAACGATAAGGCCGTACCTTTGACTGATGATATGGATGTGGACGGGGAAGCAGAGGAAAGTGCTCATCCACCGTCCACCTCAACCAACACTCGCTCAAAGAAAGCACCCAGCAGAAAGTCACGAAAAGCTGCGGATGATACCTCGGACTCTGAGTTTGAGCCGGACGAGGTCATTGGCCGCAGCAGAGGCAGGAAGGCAGCCAGCCCTGCTGCGGAGCCAGTTTCAAAAAAGACCAAGGCCGCATCACTGAGCAAGTCGAAGTCGAATGAGACGGAAACAGCGCCTGTCACCAATGATTCCGGGGCAAAGAGCTATTCTATCGCAAGTAAGTCCACAGAGTTTTCAGGGGCGGCTATCACATCCAAGGCGAACTCATCATCGACATCTGAAGCAGCTTCAGCAACACCATCTGCGTCAGAAACGGCAGTGAGTACTCCTACTATGACCGCTGAGGGAGAGTCACCAACAACCGTGGTCAAGATTAAGAAGAAGCGCAAGCTCCTGACCGGCAAGGGACTCGATGAACTTGGAGACATTTTGAACGGACCTGGTTCCAGTTTGACCTCGGCATCACCCTCGGGTCTCACCTTTAGCAAAAGCAAGGCACGGATCAAGGCCACCTCGTCATTATTGACCGCGACTGCACCGGACAACACCAAGTTAGAGACCCTTAACGCGATCAAGATGGCCTTTGCGCTCCCCAAGGCCCGGAACTCTTCACCTAGTCGTGATAGTTAATCCTCCTCTGTACCGTTGGTTCTTTGTGTTTTTTTTCCTGTTTTTTATATTTTTTTTTCTCATTGATGTAAGTGGTGGTTGAGGCCTTGCTGGAGGTGTTGAAGGCGTTGAAGATGTTAGTCGGAACTACCTGTAAGAACTTTTGTAAACTTTGTATTTGTACATATTATCCAATCGCCCAACCCATTTGCTGTAACTTTGAACCCTCCGTTTTTGTAGTTTTTTTTTTTTTTTTTTTTTTGCTTTGACTCTCTCCTACTCTATTCCGCAGTGTATATCCAATAATACAAGAAGAGCGAGACGATCATTAATCAATATTGCAGCATCTACGGTTCTGTTGTTAAATGACATTCTCAGCAACTGGCTGAAAAAAGGCGCTTGGAGACGACGTCTGTTTTTCACTTCCATACCCCCAACAAACTCCACGGAGCAACACCTCAAGTCCAGATAACACGCTTGTCATCACTCTTACATGAGGCAGTACATCAATAATTTTTTTTTTTCCTGCGAAAGGCCAGATGTCTAACCAGTTGATTATACTGGAGCTGATTTCTGTAGGCTACCACCAAGGAACAGGATTTCAGGATGGATGCGCTTTTCATCACACGCCAATATAAACGCGCACGAGCACGCGTTCTGATAGAAGCACACATTATACTGTGCTTGGTAATCTGGGCGCCATTTCAACGCCATCAACGTTAAAACCTAGTGGCTACTATGTATTCTTATGTTACTGTGCTAGCTTGTCAAAGCCGGTGAGTCGCTACTAACTTTTCTCTTACTTTTTTTTTAGAAGAAAAAAAAAAGCGCCAGTAGTAGCGTATCCAATACCGTCCTCACGACCACACGTATCCCTCCACTGGTACGATTCAATCCCCAGGTCGATGTGGAATTCTTTAGTCTGGCCTCCCCGCTCATCACTTACTCCAGCGTGAGTGTCGTCGTTTTGCGGCATCCTCTTTCGACGACCCCCCTGGGCTACCGCAGCCTTTTACCGTGTGCAACACTAACCGTTAAAGTGGCCTTTCGAACCTGGACCTGTGAAGGAGACGAATGGAACATGGTGGAGAGAGTGGTCGCAGAAACGCAGCGTCGTGCTACAGACAAACCATGTATAATGCTGCGTTTTTTGGAACACGCAGATGACTACAGCTGAGGTAGCCCGCCTGAAGGCGCACCAGGTAACCAGGAACACGGCTCCCACTATTCTGAATATGAACATAGAGTCGAATGGACTGGTGGGGGGGAGTATGAGGAACACAGCGAACGGCCTCATTTACATCGTCGGTCGACTGAAAAAAAGGGCGATAGAGATATTCGACCAGTTTGTGGAGTGGAGAGAGAGAGGACTGGAGAGGAGTGAGGCCCTGGACATCGTCACGTCTGGATTACGGCTCTGAGGCTTCGCTGTTAGAATACTATAGAGCAAAAAATGAGGGAGAAAGAGATGTAGGTCTACACACCACATCAACTGAACCCCTACAATAAATAAAGTACATTAAACTCTGGTCAAATATGTATCAATCAGCACCACCACCGACACCATCCCCATCTGCAACATCCGCTGTCTTCTAGCCACAGCTCAGACATAAAAAGGAAAGTAGGGGACCCGAAGTATCCTCAAGGCAAGGAATTCTTCTGGTGATAATACTGCGACCGTAAATAAAATAAAATGAAGATTGCAAAGGACACGATAGCAGACACTGAGAATGATGGACATCCATCGAGTAGCAATATTAACTTCAGGATATAGAAGGGGCATACCCAAGTGTTCGTGGCCGTAGAAGAGGAGCGATAGAACGACTTGCTACACAGTCACGGATGTAAAAAGACAGAGCTGACTTATTCCCGGTGCCCGAAAACGCTCTGCCTTTGATTGTTTTTCATGCCTTTCCCCATTATGAAAAGATAATAGGGGGGAGACAATGGGGGAGTAGGAGCAGCTTTGATGTGCTGTAATGAAGAATGGTCTCAAGAATCGTTAGGAAAAAGCGCAGCGGCTAGGGGCAAAAGGCCATTTGGATTAACGGACAGTAGATAATGAGAAGGACTAGAAGTTCTTTCTTACATTTGGAGTCCCGGCTCGTAAAGAAAAGAAAAAAACTCTCTACTTAATATTTAACAGAACGAAATTCAAATAGATACCGGAGAGGAAGGGGAAGGATTCATAGCATAGAGAAGAATGATCAAGAAGATTATACCATCGAAGAATCAGCGGCATGGCCAAGCAAGTCAACAGGTTCATGGTCCGTGATAGAAAGTACTTGGACTATTAGCCGGCAAGAGAGCGTAGGGGACGGGATACATCCGACACCTATTTAGTGGACCGGGGACAGCGGGTTTAAATATGTCCCATATTTATCTCGATATACAAACTTCCTTACATCGACTCTAGATAGCGCGAGAAATAAAATATTATGAACGTGTCATTTGCTTTCATTGCGAGGGGGAAGAAATAAAGTAACAGAGCGGGAAATATCCGTTGTTTGGAAGTGGACTCCAGATACGAAAGTGCAGTGTATGTTTGTTGGCGTTGTTGGCAACGTTTTCATATGGCAGAAGAGAGGACGTTTATTTGGCCTTGGTAAATTAGGTTAATACAAAGTTCTTCGCGTAGACCAAGCAAGGTTCGAGACCACGAGCTACTTCTATACTATTGCAAGCGTATATAATTTGTGGTCCTGGTCCTCGAAAAACGTTATCGCGTCCCTGGTTCCTAGGTTTACTTAGAGAGACTTGAGGGATGAGCCGAGTTGCAGGCGGCGACGGCATTGTTGTAGGTAGTCTGGCAGGTCGAGCTAAGGCCAGAGCTACTAGCCAGGCAGTTGTTGCGGACAGATTCGGCAGCACCAGTGCACTGCTGCCACAGGGTGTTGACAGGGATGGGATCAGCGGTGACAGGAGCGGCGGGATCTTGCTGGGCAACTAGAGATGGATTGGTGGTAATGAAGAGATGTGTTAGATAGCACAACTCGCTCAAGGGGGACAGCATCATCTAAAAAGAAAGAAACCTTTACCAGGAGCAGCAATGGCGACGGCAGCGATGGCAGCGAGGACGACGGCGGTGAAGGTCTTCATGTTTGTAATATTGTTTTTGATACGATGTTCTTGTGTAAAGATAGAGAGATCTGTTGTCTAGGATGAAGATGACGTGAAAATACTGAAGAGTGCACCAGTCTGTTTTTATAGTCATCACTGTCTGATAGTCAGACTAGTCTCGTTATGCAGTTCCCCTTGGCCCTTTCGCCCTACTCTCTCCTTGCACCGGCAGTACCCCTCCAAGGAGGTCTGTTGGACTTCATCTCCTGCCATGCTCTTTTACTCCTTTGCCCTATCACATTGTTGCTGCATACTAAACCTCTGTTGCGCCTCACTCCTACAGGTAGGTGACCAGCCCCTGACCCCTCTGCTCCTTCGCGTTTTTTTTTTTTTTTTTTGATGATGAAAGGGGACGCGTGAAAAAAAATGAACCGACGAACATCTAGGCATGACCCTTTCGGGATATTTGCCCCCTTCATTCACATCCAAAGCATTTCGGAGGGCTAGGAGATAATCTTGGATTTACATGGACAGTACACAGAGGACAGGCCATTAAAATATTTTCTAACTGATTTTGTATATGCAAGTTGATTGATCTATTAAAACTGTTTTTCTTATTACAGGTTGTTGTTTTTTCGCGTTGCGCTGCTGTCATTGCTGCATGGGTATAGGCTGATTGGTCCAGAAGTTATACATATGTAGTTGTATTGGTTGAGTCATTTCACGTATGGGGCATGGCATATCTTCCTTAGACAATCTAGACGCTAACAGTGTTCTGGTCAAGGCGGCGAACGCGAACGGGCAGGCCTTTGGCGATAGGCAAGGTGAGACCAGCACCATATCCTGGCTCGTGGTCAGGGTCAACCAACTCAAATTCGAATCGCTTGAACACTAGCGACATAATAGTGATGGCCTCAATCGTAGCAAATTGCTGCCCCAAGCCTATTTATATTACGAACATAGGACGTTAGTGCTGAACCAGTAGGAGCCGGAATAGGAGTAAACCAATTCATCAACTTACAAGTGCGAGGACCGGCGTGGAAAGCAGGGAATTTTGTGGGCGAGGCCTTTTCGCCCTCGAACCAGCGCTCAGGCTTGAATTCCTTGGCATCGGGGCCCCAGATAGCAGTGTCACGGCTAGTACCGTTGAAATACGAAGAGACAAAATAAAAGTCAGTACTTTGGGCACTGCTTTCTTGACTGGCTTATCTAGTCATGTCAAATGCGCTTACCCCATAGTCCATGGGGACCACTGGTAGAACTCGCCCTTCTTGATCTCAACGCCATCTAAAATGCAACATAACTGTGGTCAGCAACCATGAAACACACTCGGTCCAATACAACTCAATGAGGCGCACTTACTTGGCAAGACATCATCCTCAACGCACACCTTGAGGTTGCGCGGCACACTTGGGTACAGACGCAATGCTACAATTACAAAGAGAACCACACAGGCAATCTTGATGTCAGCAGCTATATCTATTACTTTTTTTTTTGTCCGTGTCACATTGAAACAAGCGAAGAATACCTTCATATAGGCTAGTTCGACGGCGAACAATTCATCCGGAGAGAGTAGACAAGACGCCAGTAAGAGGTGGCATTGTAGAAATGCATAATGAATATTAATATCGTTATAATGCACAGCCGATCGTCCATCAGCCTCATGTGATAAACGTGTTCCAACTTACCATGCTTCGGCATACTTCATCTTCTTTGAAGACTCGTATGTGGGCAGGTCGTCCCCGAGAACGTCCTTGATCTCCTGACGGAGCTTGTGGACAATGTTTTTGTCAGTGGAAGAGCGATGCATCAGGTAGAACATCCAGGAAAGTGCCTGAGCAGTCGTATCACGGCCAGCGATGATGAAGTTGAGGATGCTGTCCTTGAGGATGTCATCCGAGAGGATCTCGCCGTTCTCATCTTTGAGGTCGATGAAGAGCTGCAAGAGATCCTTCTGGGGCTTGTGGTAGCCATTGGCGCGACGGCTACGGATGATGTCGAGCGCAAAGTCGACGACGATCTTATTATCCTTGGCAACCTTCTTATCGGTGCCCGTCAGCCACTCGATCAGCTTCCAGGGACCGAGGAAGAGGCGCGAGCTGACCGTTGCGTTCAGACGATCGAAGGCCGCTGCAAATTCGACTTCCTTTTCCGGATCATCGAGGCATCCAAACGACTGTCCAAAGGAGACCCTATAGGGTTGATAGCATAAGAGTACACCGAGGTTAGAAAGATAAGCGCGAGGAACATGTGCCACTCAAGATTGCGCTGTGTATATACGCTAAATGGGTGCTTTTATGCCACCAAACAGACTCAAACATTGCTTTGAGAGCAATGTCAAGTTTCTGCAAGTGCTCTCAGTGTTCGCAGGTCGACTCGGACATGAGCCAAAGTTAGTCTCATCGAAAGGATCATTCGGATGCACTTACTGGCCGAAGCTGTCCAGAGTGAACTTAAGCAGGATGTCTTGGATATCGACTGTTGTGCCCTTCTCGGCAATCGTGTCCAAGTAGTTGGCAACAATGTTCGACTCTTGCACAAACACGTTGCTGGTGTAGTCTAGATTCAGTTTCACCGAGCGCCATCGCAATGTCAATAAAACTCATCATCTGCAAAGCGATTCAGTTCCTTCATCTCGAACGGGACTTACCTCTGAAAGCCTTGACATTGAAGATATGGCTGGCCATCTTGCGTTGCCACTTCCAATGCTATTAAACCAACAACGCGGTTAGATTAATCCCTGCCATAATCAGGTCACAATTCAATACACCGATGCAGTTCCGGACACGGATAGTTAACAGCAACGCGGTGCAATTGAGCAAAAAACAACAACAAAAAAACAAGGGTGCAATCGTGCAGAATCAACGCGGCTTACCTCGCCATCGGCTCCGAAGATGCCCTGACCGAGAAGATCCTCCATGGACTCGCGCAGGATGGGTCCTTTCTCATATGCCCAGAAGTTGGTCTTGAGAACGTGCTCGAGGCAGGCGGGATCGTTCACCATGATGGTTCGACCGAGTCCTGTCATGGAGAGGGTCCAGGTGTTGCCGTAGATTTCTTGCATGCGATCATGCAGGTGTGAGATCCTGTTCATGGGTGTGAAAGCCACGAGGAAGAAGTTGCCGATGAGCGGCAGACCCTTGGGTCCGGGCAAGTTGGTGCGACGGGTGCCGATGGAATTGTCGCGATACTTGATCAACATGTAGAGCACATAGAGGCCGAGCGCGGTCTTTGGCGCATGGGCGCGGTCAAAGCTCCTGAGAATGAGATTGAGGATGTTTGAGGACTTTGCAGCCTCTGTGATAATTTGCACAGCCGAGTTCATTTTTGATATCGGGATACGTGTGTCTGTAGGAATGTGAGTGAAGGAAGATGTAAGGCGAAGGAGGAGGTTGGAGAAGAAAGAAGGAAGAGAAGGAAGGAAAGGAAGGGCCGTAAATAAAGAGTACAGGGCACCGGGGGGGCAACCTAAAGGAAAAGTCGGAGTCCGGTGTGGGCTAGGTTTGTACCATGGGCCGGGTACATGAGCTTGAACCTGTGCAGTAGCAACAGTAGCACCAACTTTTACATGAGCAACAAATATACTACCATTGCTAAATTCTAAAATGCTAATAATATGGCTGATCCATACATAGACTACCTTCGTCTTTCTTTTTTTATTATTCGGTGCTCATTTTGTTCATGTTTCTCTCCCAAAATGCTCTCTTCGTAGATCCCTTGCTCGGAACCAGGAACACACAATAGGGCCTCAATCTACTGTGCGTAGTCTGTGATACGATCGTATCGCGAAGTGCGCAGATGACTTTGCAACGCTCTTCTTGTTATCGGAGAGACACCAAGGAGTGCACTGCGTAAAAATATTTGGCTGATATAGTCTATAGCACGTTCAGAGGGCTGGGGTATGCAGAGTTGATTTCCCGAGAGGTGAGGCTTAGTGGAACGGTATGGTCGCGGAGGTACATTACACCAACCCCATTTAATACCTTGAGCATTTCAACCATCCTCCCTGCAAACATCTGTGCTCATTTTTTTTATCCTGTAGGCCACTCGATCGATCACTTTGAATCAGACACAACCCTCGATCTGAGGCGGGCCAAAAGTCCGACCCGCAGGTCTCTGACACCCTTTCCACACTTCAGCATTTATTCGGTGATGCCGAGTTGGATTATGCATGCAAATCTCACTTCTAGTCCTCATGGTGACCAACCCCTGTCTTTCTATAGCCCTTTCTTGTCACCCTTCCTTTCTTCATTTTTTTTCACACGGCATTCATTACCCCAGAGAACGTACGAGGTGGCAGTATCGGACCTTTATTGTTCGCGAAACGAGATTAAAATGGTATCCTCACCCTTCTCTAGCTTTCATGTCATGTTCAAGAGCACAGTCAGACCTCTTCCAACGCATTTATACGGCTGGTGCAGGCGCAGCGCGGCGATGCACGCGCATAGGTAGGCCTTTCTCCATTGGAAGGGTCAGACCAGGCACATATGACGGTTCCGTATGAGGATCTACCAGCTCAAAAGTGAAGTTTTGGAAGAGCATAGCCATGATTGTCACAGCTTCAATAGTGGCAAACTGTTGTCCGAGGCTGATATTGAATAGCAGAGACTTGATGAGCATCTATGCAAAGGATGCGTGTATACATGATCATATCGCAGTATTTTTTGTTTTGTTTTTGTTTTTTTACAAGGTACTTACCATGTGCGAGGTCCAGCATGGAAACTAGGGAACTTTGTAGGTGATGGTTTCTCGCCGGTCATCCAGCGCTCGGGTTTGTACTCTCTTGCATCGCCACCCCAGATGTCCGTGGATCGACCCATCGCCCAGGAGGACCAGAGTACATATTCGCCTTTGTATACTTTGGTACCGTCTATGGCAGACAGACAGAGTAGGCAATTAGCATTCGGCTTACTTGCACATTTACCAATTGAGAGGGCTACGCGTAATTCGTTTTACGCCGCGGGTTTACCTGGCCAGACGTCGTCCTGAACAGCAACCTTGATGTTTCTTGGAACACTCGGATACAGGCGTAACGCTAAATATGAATAAAAAATGCTCGGTCAAAACATGGCCTTCTACATATTGCAATACATCCAACACTATGTTCGCACAGGTTCGCTGACTCACCTTCGTAAAGACTATCGATTAAAAGAATGAATGCAAGGGCATGGAGTCAATACTTGATCCCTAAGTTGTTGAGTTAGAAGCATTCGTGAGCAGAAAGGGAAACATGGGTAATATACTGACCACGCCTCAGAGTACTTCATCTTTTTAGATGATTCGTAGGTAGGTAAGCCTCCTTCGAGGACAGTATCCACTTCATTAACCAACTTTGGCACGAGGGATGAGTCCGAGAGGGATCGGTGAAGAAGATAAAACATCCACGAGAGTGCTTGAGCTGTAGTATCACGTCCAGCACTAGCAAGAACGAACAAACGGGTCAGGAATTGGTATACAAGGCCCGCAACAACGGTATTCAACTCACTCTGCGCAGCTGTTGAGTCCTACATGATGAAGTTCAAGATTAGACAGCATAGCATTTCGTCCGATAAAGGCTTGCCGTCCTCGGTATCTGTATCCATAAAGAGCTGCAAGAGATCCTTCTGCTGTTTGTCATAGCCTTTGGTGCGGCGACTGTTGATGATGTCCATGGCAAAGTCGTTGATGATCTTCTTGTCCTTGGCAACCTGCTTGTCCATCCCTGTGACCCATTCACGCAGCTGCCAAACGCCTTCAAAGAGCCGGTTAAACACCACGGTGTTGAGACGGTCGAATGCTGCAGCAAACTCGACTTCTTCTTCAGGCGTCTTCAGACATCCAAAAGACTGACCGAATGAGACCCTACTCGACAACAAGAGACATAATCATACTAGGTGTTAGTATCACTAACACATGGTAGCAGACCTTTCCCATTTGATATGTATGCATGTGTTCATTTTGGTGACATACTCGCCAAAAGAGTCCAGCGTGAACAGGTAAAACAGGTTTTGCATATCAACGATCCGTCCCTCGTCCGCCATCCTGGACAGGTAATCCACGACGATGCCGGCCTCTTTCACAAAGACGCTGCTCGTGTACTACAAATGTCAGCAAAGCTGTTGTGAGCGTCTTTGAGTTGGATTGAATTCAAACCTACAGAAGTTCGATAATGCGAACTCACGTTTCGGAAGGCGTTGACATTGAAAATATGACTAGCCATCTTTCGCTGCCACCTCCAATGGTCGCCATCCGCACCAAAGATTCCTGTCCCCAGCAAGTCCTTTAGCGTCTCCTGAAGCATCGGTCCCTTTTCATATGCCCAAAAGTTGGTCTTCAGGACATGCTCCAATACAGCCGGGTCACTGAATTGATAGACGCGTCCAAGCTTGGGCACACTGAACGTGTACGTGGCCCCATATTCCTGATGTAAGCGCTCATTCAATTCCGAGATCTGGTTTCGTGGCGTGAGGAGCATGAGGAACATGTTCCCGATGAGTGGCCACCCCCGGGGTCCTTTGATGTCGTACCGCGGTTTGGTTCCGTACGCAGTGTGCCGATATTTGAAGATAATCCAGAGCATGTAGACGCCCAGAAGACGAGAGGCATTTCTCCGTGTGATAGACTTCAGGAGGGACTTGAAGGCGGGCGAAGCCTCACTGGCGCGGGTGATGTATCCTGCGGCGGCATTCATATTGAAGAGAGTGCCTGTAGGTATCGAATGGAGAAGAAGTGAAGTGGATACGTTAGAGGGCAGAGCCTTGTATATCACTTCATTTATAATCTGGTGTAGCCGAGGACTGCCCGATCGCCTGGCTCGCATAAAAGAACTTTTGTGTCCACGTATTCAGAAATTTCTGGGTTGACCCGAGACGGAAGGCGTTACTACCGAGGGAGCAAAGGGGGATTAAAGGAAATCAAGGAAGAAATGCGTGCACCTATATACATCCTAGAAACAGAGGAGTCCACGAGCCAAGTACCATCGGGTCGGCTCATCGTATCCACAGATCTCTGGTCATTAGGGCCATCCCTCAAACTGTGGGGCGAGGCAGGACGTGACAGGATGTGGCGTAAGGGTGTAGTATAGCAATATTGCTGACCAAGATATGGCTAATTGTTTATGCGTGTAAACTAGGCCTATGGCGACCGGTCAACAGAAAGAACGATAGTAATGACCACGCGCGTTCAAGTTATCGCATACAGAGCCTTGGCCTTGTCCAGATCCACGCTTTCTATTCCTAAACGCGTTTTTTTTTTTTTTTTTTTTTTTGCTTTAAAGATTTTAGTTTACGCTTACCATATATTCATTACTAATAGCTTATTCTCAAATGTCTGCATCAATATTCACCTTGTGGTTTTCGCTGTTGCTTCTGTAAAAAGATAAAAAAAAATTGAACTGTCCTGCGCACTATTGACTCTGGATTGACTTGTGCCAGCTATGCCTTTGAGCTTGTGCTTCACGTTCATGGCGAAGCAGTTGCGGCTCGAGCATGTGCATTGGCACCCAGATACATGATACTATATAGATGGCGAAGCAAAACTCCTTCACTCTCGCCTTTACAACCACCGTCCGCAATCGCGAGCTCTAGAAACAAAGACCCAATCCCTCTACTATATACTTTCTTAAGCTCAGCTGGTCTTCACACTTTGCACGCAAACATGCCCAACTACCACAGTGGCCAGTGCGAACAAACGAATGTTTCAGGTTGCATGCATGAGTGCTCACCATCCAATAGGACCAGCATCCATAACGGCAATGCAATGACAGCACACAATGCCACCTCGGCCTTGAGCAAGACGATTGACTACGTCCAGGACCAGAAAAAAAAAGAAAAAAAGAGGACTACACATGGACTCATGGAGTAGCCTAGCGAAAAGGATCCTCAGCAGCTACGATGACGAGCGCTATCGCAGGTCGAACGCTCTACGCTTCAGGGATCTCATCGATGTGAATAAGGGAAAATCGTCAATGGCGGCACCATAGTTGTTATCACGACAGAATTCAGCACTATTGCGAAACAGCTTTGCAGCACGCTAGTAATAGCTTGTGGACTCTGTTGAACACCATATACTGCATATACTGGGACGCGATTGCGCACAGTCCTTCACTCTCTTCATTCATTCTCGGATGCGATATCGCGAACATTTCTCGCTTGAACGAGATACTGAGATTGGCGAGGACGACCATGTTCTCTCAAGGACGGACGTTTGCACCCAAGTCAAACACTTTAAGAGCCATCGAATACACGATTTTAACGACAACTCAGCAGCGTTCAGAATATCGTCCAGCCTCGTAATTTCTGCGTGGATAGTCTTGGAGGCGTCAGCTATTGAAGCATGTCAATTATTATCGACAATACCATACCAAGGCCGGCATCAAAGATCCTAAATACGATACCATCGCCATCTTTCTCAACAGCACAGCTGCAGAGTTTGGTTTCAAGCTCACATTATTTGAGCTACGGCGCCATGAAAGAGCTGACTCTTGCTGACTGGAATGCTTTGGTTGAGTTCTTGAGCGCCCTGTGGCCCTGTGCCAGCTGAATTTCAACGTCAGAGAGTCGTGAAAGTAGGATCTACAAAAAAAACTGAAGCATCTGCTGAAGCATCAAGGTAAGACTAGGAATATTCTTCGGCCGAATCATTATGTGGATCAAGAGAATCGTCACCATGCTCTCAACCCTTCCTGAGCTCTGCGCATCTGCATCAGCTCCCGAACCAATTTCCATCACGGAGCTGATATTGGGAGGTTCAGTCATGGTCAATATATCTCCAACGTCAAGGACCTCTCACGCTTGGGAGTCCTTGACCTATATCAGTCTCGAATTCCTCTACGGCAACTTTCCAACACAACTACTCGACCAGGGACTCGAGTTGATACCTATTAACAAAAATCCTTTGAAGAAACTACAAACAAGGCTTGGCCATTCTGGTATCCAATCGATTTCTGCTGGGACTATCCAAACCTTGAGTAGGAAGTTGAAAGAGAAGGCGCCGCATAGTCATGTTATTTTCAATGGGAACTGATTAAACTATGTGAAAGAAAAATCGCAGAAAAGATCATCTTTCACATTGTGCTATATGTGTATATTGTGCAGGGTGGCTATAGTCACTTGTTCTCAGCAACATTACTCGTATTGCTCGTCTGCGACATGTTCCGTTTCCACGGTTTCCGTCTTTTCGCGTATCTTGATCCGTAACGTCTAAAATGAAGTGGAGCGACAGGAGATCGCATTGTTCGTCGACGTAACTACCGGTAGAATTTTTAGCCGTCTTGAATATGCTCAAGCTATCTTCTTTTCCAAGAGATGGGCCCAGCAGTTTTTGGAGCGTGGAGGAGACACCGCATGGTTCCACAGAGGATAGATCGAGCGGATGGGCGCCGATGTAAATATGCGATTGGGAGAGAATGCGATAGCCCTAAATCATACATGGTTTTTTTTTTTGTCAGGAGAAAACAGAAAACACCAACAAAGGAAACAACGCGACATTAATAATGAGCACATCCGAGGCGTAAAGAAGCAGCGGACCAAACAGGGTGTGAACTGTTCGGTTCTCAGGCAGGTTGAGTGCCTGAACGATTGGTCCGGAGAATTTATTTCGATTCTTTCCTTGCAGAATGGGTTTTGTGTGTTTTGTGTACGGATGGATGGATGGCTCTTTTTTTTAAAAGACAGTAGACAACAAACAGGCGCTCATGGGCAGAAAAACTAGAAGAAAAGGAACAGAGCCGATTGTGTATGTGCGTGCTGGGAAGAACGAAGGAGCGAGCGTTGTTGGAAACTTCTAGGTTTTAACATATATACCCATAACACATCCCCCCAGACCCGAAACCTACACTTCCCTCTCCTCATCTCTCATTCTTGATCTCACTCTTACTCATCTCATTCTCACTCCCAACGCTTGTTCGAAAACAAGGGGCACTATGACCGGAGCAGACAGAGCAGACACCCTGCAAGCCGAGGAGAAGGCCGTGGGGGTGCCTGTCAGTGGTAAAATCGAGCTGGACACTCTCCAGACCAAGGATAATGCAGTATCAAGTAACATCCCCAAGGGCTACACAGACCAGAGTCGTGTACTGCCGAAGAAAGAGCTGGCCTTGGTATTCTTAGGGCAAGTAGTGCTGCGCCTGTCTGTCTCTCCCTAGTAGCCTTCCTCGCTCCTCGCTGGTCATTTGATTTTCTTACCTCACAAAAATGAACACCATAGGTTGTGCCTGGTTCTCTTTATGGCCAGCTTGGATCAGGTACATACATTGCTGCAATGATCTCGCAATGAAAACAACTCCTTTTAGGAAGGGCATCTCAATAACTGGAGTATATCATTTCTCGTAGACAATTGTCTCAGTGCTGATTCCCACGCTAGGAAGGGTGTTCAACGCACCTCAATATATTGCCTGGGTCGGAACGAGTTATCTCTTGACAAACACAGCTATGCAGCCACTCTATGGAAAATTGAGTGATATCTTTGGAAGGTACGTTCAGCTCTCTTAGGGGGTGTTCATTGAAGGAACTATAATACTAATAACATGTTTCTGACCTGATGCAAGCTTCTTTTGTCTAACAGAAAGAACACCATCCTCACAGCCATCTTCTTTTTCGAGCTCGGCTCCTTGATCTGCGGAGCAGCCCCTACTATCGTTGTGCTTGTCATTGGACGCGGAATTGCTGGACTTGGCGCCGGAGGCATGATCAGCTTGACCATGATCATCATTTCTGACGTTGTCTCTCTTCGCGAGCGTGGGTATGTTTACCAAAGCGCTATAGCCGACCATCGTCCTGTCCAACGCACAAGCCTCCTAACGACTGCTCGCTGTTTTCTGCTGTCTCTAGAAAATACCAAGGAATCATTGGGTCGATGTTTGGAATTTCTGCTGTCGTCGGTCCACTCCTTGGTGGTGTGCTTGCTGAAAAGTCCGACTGGCGCTGGGCGTTTTATCTCAATCTCCCCATCGGTGTCGTTGGCACGATTGCCTTGGTGTTCATTTTGAAGCTGCCGACTGTTAACGGCACTCGCCGCGAAAAGCTGAAGAGAATCGACTTCATGGGTTCATTCACCATCGTTGTCGGCATCATTTGCGTCCTTATCTCCACCAACTGGGGAGGCAACGAGTACGCATGGAGCAGTGTCCAGATCATCGTGCCCTATTGTGTAGGCGCCTTGTTCTTGAGTGCGTTCCTCTATATTGAGGCCAAGGTGGCAGTCGAACCTATTTTGCCGTTCAGACTATTTAGGAATCGGAGTGTCTGTTCAGCATACGCGACTTCTTTTTTCATTGGAGGGTACGTTCTGGATGAGTACATGCGCGAATTCATGGGTATTCAGACACAGTATACTTATGTTGGTTAACAATCGTTCGCTCCCGTCATTAGTGCATTCATGGGTGCCATCTTCTATTGCCCTCTCTACTTCCAGTTGGTGATGCACGACTCTGCGACCAAGGCCGGTCTCCAGCTCTTGCCGCTGGTAGCAGGGATGCTTGTTGCAGGTATTGGCAGTGGAGTCCTTATTAGTAAAACAGGACGCTACCGACCTTACATCTGGGCAGCTTTAGTTATCTATATCGCCGGAGTTGCATTACTGTCGCTTTGGGACGAGAAATCTGGCTTGAATGTGCAGATCGGATTCCTTTTCGTCGTTGGTTTGGGTCTGGGCGGTTGCATGCAGAGTATCGTGTAAGTATAACCTACAGTCTTGGTGCTTTGATCGACAAATAGTTAGTGGTAACTATGTATGCTAATTCTCGCTCCTTTTATTGACAGCTTGGCTGGACAATGCGCCGTACAGAATGCCGATATTGCTACAGTGACCTCAATGATGTCCTTCTTCAGAAGCATGGGAGGAGTCACCAATGTCGCTATCGGCGGTTCAATGATCAACAACGTCCTAAACCAGCAAGGCGTTAATCCCAACAACTTTATCGACGTCTATTCGCACCCTGAAAAATATGCCATGGCCACTCAGGCTGTCTTCCGCCAATGTAAGCAGCGTTCTTTAGTTTCATTACTCAGTTGGTACCCGAAACAACGTGAGTTAAAGTAACCCTAAATTCATATCATTCCTTTCATGAAACTAGGCATCGCGTGGCCAGCGCTGGCTCTTATTGCCTCACTATTTCTCCAACACAACGAGCTCCGCAAGACTTTGGGAGCTCAGGATGCTCAGGCAAATAACCCAGAAGCGGTTCCAGAAGAGAAGTAAGAAGTCCCTTCTGGCCCCGATGCCATTCCTACCCCATCGATTGCGCCTGAGAAGACGCACTAATCCATTATAACATAGTATTAATAATAAAATATCCATTCAGGCGCGTCATTGTGGTGAAAGAAGGACCCTGAGGAATAATGTCTTTCTCCTTGCTATCGCAGCATAGCCTTTGTCCATCTTTTTTTTCCTTTTCTCGTGGGCAGCTTAATGTGCTAACCATCTCCTGAACAAGATCCATCACTCCTGTCTAATGTATATTTGTCGCTGCTGTTCCCTCGGTGTCGTTATTCATTAGTTGGATATGGAATGGACGGAAATTGATGAACATTCTCGAAAGACTCTTGTCTGTGTGCTTAGCCCAATGTAACACGGTATCTATGGCCGATTGGGCCGACACAGTGCATGCGGTGAAAAGAAGGGCATGTGTCGGCACGGCGATGCATTTACATATTCTCAAGGCTTTACAGAAAATGATGCGTGCGATGTATGGGCTCTGTCGCATGCACCTTGGGGACCATGCCTTGTTAGCCTATGTCCTGCCCTCAAAACGAGTCGACGCGCTGAACCTCGCTCTTTGAAGGATGGCGTGAGACAATATTTTGTTACAGAGAGTTCTGCACGCTCTCCTTAAAATAAAGAAATAGACACGCTGCCGGGGCTTGCCCCAGGAGTCAACGGAAAGAAAGAGAAAGCAAAGAGAAAGAGAAGGAGCTATGCTGGCATGCTGACGGCAAAATAAACAGGAGATATTCATAGCAGTAGCCTTTTAACAGGATGGAGGTTCTTTTTTCGCACAACTGGACAATACCGTGGATAGAGGCAGCTTAGCACTATAATCTACCCTACAGTCAGACGTATATTAGGCACCGCCTTTTTCCGGGCTTGCTCTTTATCATCATCTCATCCTGGCACCCATCCTCTACAGCACGCATCT